TCCTTAAATAATATAGGTTCTGTGTATGACAACATGGGAGAGTATATCAAAGCTATGAAATATTATGAAGATAGTTTATCAATGAAAATAAAAATCCATGGAGATAACCCCCACCCAAGTGTAGCATCATCCTTACATAATATAGGTTCTGTGTATGACAACATGGGAGAGTATATCAAAGCTATGAAATATTATGAAGATAGTTTATCAATGGAAATGAGGATCTATGGAGATAACCCCCACCCAAGTGTAGCATCATCCTTACATAATATAGGTTCTGTGTATAACAACACAGGAGAGTTTACCAAGGCAATGAAGTACTATAATGAGTGTTTAGCTATTGAAAGGAAGGTATATGGGAGTGATTTACATCCTGAAGTTGCAAAAACTTTGAGAAATATAGCCAGATGTCAAGAAGCTCAGATTAATCAACTGAAATAGCATTTTCAACAGTTTTCTTACTTACTTCATCAGAAAGATAGCATTTGTGAAACATAAACACACATGTAATTGAACAAATTGAAGCAAAAAGCAATATTACCACACACTCTATATTAATAAGTAATAATTACATAAAAATGTCAAATATATAAATAAAAATATAAATGTCACTATAATTTCACCCAAACCTTGATTATGACACACTGTAATATTTGCATACATTGAAAACATATTTTATTTTATTACATAATCTGACAATGTATAACATAAAACACATTTAATGACTGACTACATACTTGCATTTATAGTCATAAATAACAGTAAGAAAACATGGTAAAGAAACAAACATCTGGCAATGTATCACATACCAAATGTGAAATATATTTGTAATTAGAGATAGGAACATTGCATCTTTCATCAATGATTCTTCAGTGAACTGGTTAATGGACATTCACTCCTGAGTAACAACTGGAATTTCTTATCAACATTTCCAATGATGTTTAGACACTAAAAACGATGAACAGTAGATGGTGATATAGTCTAGGTGGGATATAATAGCAGGAAAGATACTGTGTAGGTGGACTTGGGGGAAGTCTGGACAGATACTGAGAAAGATAGATAACCAGTATACAATATGACTCCACTTAGTTATTGAGAAAGATAGAGGACATACATACAACATGACTGCACTTAGTTATTGAGAAAGAAAGAGGATATACAATATGACTGTACTTAGTCTATTGGGAGTGTCTGGACTGACACTGTGAAAGATGACATGAAATATGACTGTACTTGACAATCGGAAATTCTGCACATTTTACTTTCACATTGTTCAATTTTTTAATAAGATGATGTACATGACTTGGTATAACATATGCAAATACACATCTCGTTTTCTTGTTTTTCATGTATTAGACATAGGCTCATTTGACTAACAGGAACATTTGGTTTATATACATGTTTAAATTAAAAATTAGCTATTTTACTAAACTAGTCAAATTTTAGTAGTCTGTAAAAGAAGAATGTTAAAATTAAAAGTGCAAACCAAATCTAAGAAGAATGCCCACTCTAAATCAGAATTTGAAATATGGATTTCATATTAAACATATGCTTTGGTGAATGAACAAGGCCTTTCTAAGAACATTATTGCATATAACAGACTGAGATTCATGCACTTTCTTACTTGAAACTTTATTGTATGACATGAAATCTTTCAAAACGTGCAAATGAAAAATATTAATTATCAATGGACAAAAATTGGAAGTTCTTGAAATTCACTTTACATTTTCCTCTCACCATGTATCTTTGTGGTGTTCTCGTACCTGTTTATTTTCAAGACATTTTAGTTTGCAACATATTTCTCATGGAATAGCTGTTTATAATTTTAAAATTTAATTTTATATTTTGAAAATTTAAAATTATATTAAACAACTGTTGCACATTAGGTTGTTACGGTAAATGCTCTTATGCCTGATTCAATAAAAGATTAAAAGATTTCCAAAATGCAACTGCAGCATCTGTTTAGGTGATACGATGAAACCATGTTCAATTTATTCATATTTGATGATATTTAGCTTGACCTAGAGAGGGAATCAAGTGACCCTAGTGCCTTAAAATGGATATTGTATATATTAACATAATGTATAGCCTATATTAATTATTGTGTAAAAGATCTGGATCATACAGGACTATCCTTCTTTCAAGAATCATAGATATAGATATATAAGTTAGCTAAAAGCCTAAAACAGTTAAATTTCTAGCAGTGGTAAAGAGTGACAAACCCGAGGCCCGGGAATATAGTAATAAAAGGTATAAAAAGAATCGTATTCGCTGTAAAAAGCGCTCAGTGTGCTTTCGGAATTGAAATTTCCATTGTATCCCATCACAAAGTGTGTCCATGTAGCCCATTAGTTTGAAAATGTAATTAGAAAGGATTTAGATTAGTATTTCTTATTACGTTATGTCAATCATTCATCCATCTTTTTCATCTTTATTCATGTGTTAGTAGGCAAATGCATAACTTGTTACTTTTCTTTTAAAAAATTTATTACTACTCCCGGACCTCAGGTTCAAACAATGTAAGCAGTCCAGAAGTATATTTATTCCAAGTTTTATCTAATCTTTTGCAACCACTTTATCTTTACCAAACTAACTGATAATCTAACATGTTTGTTTGGTGAATATAAAAGATGGTTTTTACTGATTGGCCACATTGTTTGCATGTCTGTACTGCGTCACCTTTAACCACTGTGGAAAACTGATTATAATTTAGTGCACATTATTTATACAGTACATGTATATGAGATCATTAACATTTTTAAGAATGCAAGTGTTAGGGTGTATTTTCCCTTTCCTGCTGTGACTAGAAAAAATGAATGAGTGTCTGACATGAGTATCTGACATGCCTATTAAGGCATGAGGCAAACCAAAGTTCTAAAAAATATTCATTCAGACATTTTTGTTTCAATTAAAAATGTGAAAACAATGTCTTATGAATTTTATATTTTATCTACTGTCTCACCTATTTATATATGACTTGTCAATTTTTAGTTCCTGCAGGTCTGTAGCCAAGGGGAGGGGTCATTTTTGACAACTTTGGGTCAGAATGGTGAAAAACTGTATGATTTTGAAAGAATTTTTATCCAGTGTTAGAACCCCTCCCCCTGGCTATGGGCCTGTCCTGGTTATGCCTTTGAAAAATTATTGAATCCTCCAATACTGTATGCTTATTGACTTTTTATGGTACATGATATGAATTATGAATTAGATGGACTTACTGCCTGGAAAGTTCATTGCAAGAAAGATGAAAAGACTAATAAACACTCGCAACAAGTCATCAGTCGATAGAACTGATTTTCTTGCATGTCTTACTTAAATGGTTAATAGGAGTTTAAAAACTATCAGTAAAAACAAGCATTGTTGTGTAATCTGATATGTTGAAACTGAATGCTCTTGTATTGTTTCTATTTAGTAAAAATATCCTGTCCACTGACATGTTTCCCAAGCCTGAAGCCTTTGAAACACATCAGTGGACAGGATATTCCAGTAGGACAACGATTTTGCTTAATTTTTCATAATGTGAAAAAGTGTGATCATTTTTCAGATATTTTGTAAACTTGTATATTTTGGCAGTTTGATTTAAATAAACTGGATAGCTCATAATAAAATTTTCAAGCACAGGACTCAATGCTTTCTGGGTGATTCATAATTAAACTGAGGCTGACAAGAAAATCCCAAATCATTGAGTACTGTGGTTAAATTGTTTACACATGGTAAACAGTTTGATAAACATTATGGAAATGAAGGTTATTTTGCATTGATATCTGGCCAAATATAATCATACAATCGCATATGTTGAAGGTCAAAAAGTTACTTTCTGCACCTCTCATATGTCTAATGCTATGTTTGATGGGCAGTGCTCAGATAGTCTATTAGTACAAAAAAACTAGCAAGGGGAGTGCATATAATGGCCAACTGTGTTCTTGAAATTGATCAAAAATTATTTTCATAAATGATACAGAATGGTTAGCTTTATCATTGCTCAAATGAGCAAAACTTATACAAAGCTTTCCAGAACTCAAGGTTACAAACTAAGTAAAAGATATGTTTTCAATTTCTTAATATTTTTCATATTTCAATTTATACAGAACCTGTATAACATAATATTGTATAATATAATATAATGTACACAATAACTACAATATTTAGTTTTGACATAAAAAGGTGAACATTTGTTATAACAAAGAGTTTCACTTTCTTGTGTTTATATCTATGTTAAGATAGTCTTGTCTTGATTCACTTATATAGTATTTCTTTATCTCTATAAATTGCTTTATTATCAACTCTCACCAAGAATTGAAAATCTTGCATATGTACTTATGCAAGAACCTCTATATACAATATATTGTATATATACACTGTAATATTTACAATTAATTCAATAAAATAAATAAATACTTTATACAGCTGTACATGCTCTTATTGTCATAATGTCAAAAAAAACTAAAATAAGTACAACATCAAATCTGAATATACAACAATTGTAAGCTTAAAAATAATGAGTACTCTAGGTAGGTCTTGTGTAAAAAATAAATAAAAATATACAATCTGGGCATATGTGATGTATATTACTTTTGAATATGTTCAGGACGGAAGATATTCTTTACAATATGTTCAACTAAAACACTTTCCCTTTTCTGGCGAAATGTGAGACATTACGTATGTGCAGACTTATTGAATCATCATGCTACAATTATTGTCATATTGTAGCATATTGTTCCAGTTATTGTAGCATATTGCTCCTATTGTAACATATTCATCAGCTCATCTAGCAAAGATGAAGACAAGGGACGGTCATCATATTAAAAGGCACTTGCTTATATTATAGGAGTATTCTCATGGTAGTCCAAATAACTCAATAGTCGTTGAAACATATAAGATATTGCTTTTAACCCCCTTCACTAACATTAGTTCCCTGAAAAACCACCAATATTTTATAAGTCCCTTATGACTATGAGATCATTAAGTGATGTTTTAAATAATCAGTGTTACAATCCACGTCATCTTTTCCTTATAAGGGATGCCACATAGACCCATACAGAGAGCACTGAGTTGGGATACGCGTGTACATGCACAGCTAATGCAAACTCCACATCTGACGATTCATTAAACCACACACCTGTAGAGTAGACAGTCTCTATAATGGGTTCCAGGTCTGTAAAAGGGAGGTTAATGGGGAAGCCAGATAGTTTATAGTTGCTGAGTATGGAGGCAAGCTCTTGTATTGTCTCATCCTGCATTCCTTTGCCTCTTGTAGCCTCCAGCCTGGAATAAACAATAGGAATACCTTAGGTCAAAATTTTCTGACAAGTCTACATCATCATATGTATGTTATAAATTATTTATCATTATATCATTATATCTCAAGGCATATATGACACAATAATGACAAAACCTCTAATTACAAATTGCTGATATACAGTATAGGCCCTTTCCATGCAAATTTTAATTACATATGTCTGTTGAGCATTTGCGAATGGAAAATGTCTACCTACCTTGGTAGAAGAGTTCTGAAGGCCTGCATACAGAATCTGTTCCAACGTGTTATATTCCTGGGGCGCCACTCCATAATCTTTGCTTTAAGGGTCTGCTCTATCTTTGACTGTATGTCCATCACATTCTGGGACCTTGTAGGCACATAGATCAGAGCTTCAGGCTGAAATAATAAACCATTTTAAAGTTTTTTTTTACCACGGGGAGGCCATGTCAGGTAAAATAACACATACCGCACAAATATGTGCTAAAATGTTTTAAAGAAATGTTGAAATCAGGTAACTTAAATCTGTCAATATAGTATTGAGGAGTTTTGATTAAAGAACATGTATGCACATTGAAAAAATAACTGCACTTATTATTTTACCTGTACTGAACTGAGACCAGGATTGGGGAAACTTTTGTCGAAGAAAGGCTTCCAACTTGTGTCATCTTTCAGGTTAAAGTTCATCCGACTTGGCTGATCATTCACCTGGATGTTTGCCCACACCTAGCAAAAATAAAAAACACAATTTTGTTTTTGCACCTGACGAAAATAAAATGGATTGTTGCCTTATGTTTATAGATGTGTGTTAAACATACAAATTGATTAATTTACAATAATTTCCATGTCATGTGAACTCAACAAAATATTTAAATACATTTGAATAACTGTCAATTGAAGAAGAATAAAAAAACAGAGATAATAGCACTTTTGTGACATGAGCATGGTCTGTTTGAATTTAAACTTACATTGTCTTGATTCATGAGGCATCCGACACTCTGCACTGGGCAATAGTTATCTCTTGCATTGTAGCGTTCTCCTGTTGAGGCATTCCAGATCCAGTACTCATCATTCTCCTTGCTCAAAACATATGATGTCTCCCCTTCTGGTATAGCAGAACCTAAAGTCAACAACAAAGTCAACAATGCAATCAAAATAGACATAAATATTAATGCAGTATGACAGTGTCTTGTCTCAATTTATGATCAAAATAATGAAGTCAAAAGCAAGATATGACACAGCATTAACATTCAAAATGTCACCATCTGCGATTTGTTACAGACACCGACCACCAAACGTTGAACACCAACTGCCAAATGCCAACCACCAAACACCATCCACAAAAAATTTGAGACTATAAAAATATGTCACCACCTGTGGTGGTGACATAAAAATAAAAACCCACATCCCACACAAAGAAAATGTGGATAAAATTAAGCTTCAACTTCAACTTAAAGAAATCTATGAACTTACCAAGTAACATCCAAGCCTGTTTGCCCAAATGTAAGAAATAGTTGGTCAGTAGCATGGCATGCTCTTCTTCATCTCCTGCCAACATTGACAGGAATTGCTGAAAAAGAAAGTGAATAACACTAGTTTTAGGAACAGTTAGTTTTCATGTACATGTATAATACTCATCTAAGTACAGTGTACAAAGTTCTATTGACATCTTTGATACAGAAAAATACAGTACATATTAAAGATATCTTCAACTGTAATAAGCCATTATATTAATATATACTAGTATGCAATTTCCATTTGATAACTCATAAGTGAGTATTGTACAATGTATATTACATGTAGGGTTGGAATTTAAATCAATTCATTGTTGAATTGTATTTCTAATGTTGTATTTGTTGAAATATGATTTACATAAAAAAATGTACAGATATCAAATATTAATAATGTGTTACAACTCACGTCGCATGTACTCCAAATGTCGCAGAGACCTGGGAAGACGACACTGTCAGATATGAAAGGAATCATTGAGACAAATCTAGCACAACTCTCCTGTAAGTATATAATTATAAAACATTTAGTCTTGCTCAAAGACTATCCACCCCCCCTGTCACCTTCACTAAAATAAAAAGGGGGGGGGGGAGTACAGGGTCTTTTAAGCAAGACTATAAAACATTAAAGAAGCAGTCTACCCAAATGTTCACTGATATTGCTAAACAGTCTACTGACTGCATGATTCACTTATTGTCATAAATATTTTTGATTCAAGCAGATAATGTTTCAGTGATAGTATAGCAAATAAAGTTCCTTCCATTTTTGCTGATATGACCATCACAACATAGTGTATAAATAAAAAACATAAAATCGAAAATCAATGTCTTTGTTAAAATACAATGAATGAATGAGAAATACATTTATATAGTCAACCTACTGTATCTTGGGGTCATAACTCAATCAGGAGACAATATATATTCCACTTAATAAATGTACCTCAAATGTGGTATCACTTGTATTTATAACATACATGTATATAATATTTTTATAGGTATTGGGAACATTTGCATCAAAATGTTCCAAGAAAACAGAATCTGCAAAGCTGTCTGTTTTCACCTAATGGTAAGGAGCTTAGGTCTCAATATCAACTTACAGCTTGTGCCAGAGGTGCAGCATTATCATTGAGAATTTCATCGGGTGGTTTTAAGGACTTGAAGTATCTCGTCACAAACACTGTCTTCCCATTAACATCGATAACTGACGTCGTAAATACTCGCTTTTCAAACTTTTTCTCCAGGGCAGTCTGCCAGGATTCTGCATATTCTATGAGTTTTTCGTCCTCATTTGTATCAAACTGAAATGAATATTTTGTTCATTTAAGCCTATTTGAAGAGCTATATTGAGCCAAAAATACAAGGTATGTTAGTTTCAGTGGAATATGTCTCTTATTAACATGAGCTGAATAGATCCATGTTTTAACGTCTAAAATTGTCTATTTATTGCTAAAATATATACTACAGTATTTGCTTCAAAGTGGCTCACAATGCCTTTGTAGACCACCTAGACATTCATGAGACAAAATTTCTTATTCAAAGTTAATTGCATAAAAGTAACAAGTAAGTAAAACATACATAATTCTAACTAAAATTAATAAAAATTAACAAAAACAATTACTAAGCCGCTTATTTAAAACTTGCCCAGATGGTATATATCTCCAAGGGAGTTGGTATTTTCAAAGTTTTCATTATTTCCCGTAATTTTCCTCGAACATAAATCTTTGGAAACATGAAAATAATTCATGAAAAACTGCAGTCTCAAAAGAGTGACATTAGAATTGATCTCTCAAATTCTAGTAGTAACTGATAAAAAAATTATTTATTACATAATTATTATATAATTCTGTCCCCTCATTTAGAAAATACACATACTTGCAAAATGTAATACTCATCGTTCGCATTATTGCAATTTTGTTCTAACTGAAAAATTTTAACTTTTCAGGTGACCATGGATTCTACATAATATGGCCCCGAGGAAACCAATCAGGGGTACGGGTCCATTTTGTTGTATCTGTATCGCAAACCTAGATTTTTAGAGTAATTTTGCGTAATTCTCCATATAAATAATGCATCTTGGTTCAATTTTGTTCCATGTCATGAATATACATTCAGTTCGAACAAAATTGAACCGACAAATAAATATTTATATGGAGATCCACTTCCCACATTTATCTCTACCTTAAGCCAAGAGCCATTAACACTTTATCATATTATATATTTCATTATTTTTGATTATTAATGAGTATGAGTTATGAAAAGGTTTTTAATTTGATAAAATCCCTGCATTTATGCAACCTAGTCATTTTTCTGAACAATATCATGATCATTCATCAAGATACGCCAATGCAACCTTCAAAAGCTTTTATCTCATAAGTGCATAAAATGCAGTTGGAACAAAATTGCAATGATGCAATGATATCATTCTAAATTTGTGATTGTTCAAATATAAGTAAATTTTCACATCTAGTCAATGCTCTCATTACCTTTCAGTTTACAAATATACATACTTCATTCAAATTACAATATGAAACTGTATGTACAGACCTTTTCTTTGGCTGGTTCAGCAGGGGTAAGTTGAGGCTCTATGGTTATAAAGAGTGTGATGTAAGTATTATCTGGATCCCCCATGCCCATATCCAGTCCCTGACCCCCTCCAGTGTCTATATGGGTACTACGAGTATCATGCGTGTAACCCAGCAACACGGGTGGTTTGTTCAGTTTAAAGGTTCCGTCAATCTACAAATCAAAACAAAAACTATTTTCAACTTCATTAACTAACAGGAAGATTGCTGAAATGTGTTTCATTATTTTAATGTTCGATTGTTAACCTCTTGAATCCCAGGCTCTAAAATTGGCATGAAACCAGAGAAGTTTTCATTTTTTGCCACCTTTTGACATTTTATTACATACCTATACAACTTTAGATGCTCAGCTTAGTAAAATTGGACGGCAGAGATCATTTCTACACGTTTTAAAACAAATTTTGTGTAAATTGGATGAAAATTGTTCAAATGAGAGCAATTTTTGTGAAAAATTTTGTGACGGATTTTCTCGTCCCTCTGGGCACCAGTCTTATTTCATTTGTGACGGATATATCCGTCACTCTGGGTATTCAAGAGGTTAATAGGTTATGTAGGATAGCATGGTGCAGTATATCATATGCAACAGTTATGCAATGCAGAGCAGCTGTATATTAGAAAGAATATTGTTTAACTACAGTAACATTAATAACAAGATTATCTATGGATGTTTACATGGAGGATTATCATTAATAGAATATGCACAAAGAGCTAGGAAGCGCAATTAGCAAAATAGACAAAGCACAATATAAGAGTATCCACTTCTAATATTTATAAAAACAAACAATCAAACAAACATCATGTTCTAGAAAGTATATGCATGCATTCCTAAGTCTAGCTTAAAACCACAAAACAAGGAAAGAGACTACAGTAGAAAATGTCCCATAATATCAAACTTCATGTAGATTAAAGTGGCAGTAATGAGTAAAGACTAGAGAATAAAATGTTGAGCGCAAACTTTCCACATATCATGTCAATGTTTCCTTTAGAATTGTAATCTTATTTTCTGAAATGGCATAATTTGAGATATGGAGATACTTGATCGAAATAAAAGTTATTGAATATTTAAGATGCAGAGAAAGGGGAGATGGAATGACGAGAGCAAAAAATATTGTAAAATTTTCTCAAAACTTAATCTCAACTTGTCTTTGTTGCCCCCTTTGAACTTTCAGGTCACATACAAAGTTGTATATAAAGAGAGAAAGTTGAATACTTGCATGGAAAAAATATCAGTATAAATGAACAAAATAATTAATTCTACAAAGGAAGATTGGAACATTAAATCAACCTTAAGTCATAGCTATTGTCACTTTTATGTGAAGAATTCTCAAATTTCCATGTAGTAGGCTAATGGATACAACTTCTAATGGGGGGGGGGGGGTCATTCACAATAATTTTCCCCTTTTCTAAGTATATCATAAGAATCATTATCTTATACAGTTTACGCAGATGGAAAGACTGACCAACTGAGATATATAGGGCTTCATTACATACCTACCAATTTTTGCATTAATAAACAACCAACTATAAAACTAAAATCAAACAGTTCAAATTTCAAACACAGAACTATTTGAAACATTAAAAAACTAGATATCAGTTAGAAACAAACCACTGTTTCTCCATCCTAAAAGCAGACAAAATATTACAACATCTATTAAAGCACGACCACACAACTATATTACAGCACTGTATTAAGCTTAAGAACATTGTAATTTGATTATTGGTATAATACTGATTCTAGGCAGATATAAAGATGGCAGTAATGTAGTTCATATGTTAGGAGGTTAAAACAGGTGTTGACTGCCACCTTTTTCTGACTACTTTTTTTATAGCTACTTTGGCTATTGGTGAAACAAATTGTTGAAATTTACAAATTTTCAATGTATTCATACATCTTCATCATGGGTTTACCTGATGAAGATGTATGACTACATCGAAAATCTCAACATTTTGTTTTTAACACTTATTAACATACTACTGGTTATTGGTGAATATGCTGTGATTATATTAAATATCAGCACAAAACACAAACCCACACAAAGATAGGGCACCAATGATAGTAAAGCCTCAGTCACATTTGATTTACGACGGCTGTTGCTTCACAACTTCGATAATCATTTTGCGTTATGCTGCATATTTCTCTCAATTTTGGGAAGCTACTGATGTTGCATGGTTGCATGGATCAAATGAAACTGAATCATCAGTTAGAAACCATTTGTGCATACATATGTCGCATTGACCTCCTCTGTACATATAATGATACATTCCATTATGCATGAAATAGAATTTATGTGAAGCAAGGATGAAAATAAGAATGACTGAGATGACTGCCAATAAATGTCAATACTGAACTACAAGCTGTATTCATAACATGGGAACATTCATCTATTAACTTGAAAATACTTTCCATGATTATGAAGAGCGAATTGACATTTAATTATCTTAATGGAAAAACAATTCTGGCAATTGTGAATATATTTTAGTAAGTTATTTTGAATTGGAGAAATATTTACAGTATTGATGTATTATCCAATATAATGGGAAGTGCTACAACAATCTATAGAGTCCTGCTATCTATAGGAGTCTAAAAGCCCAGTGAAACAGGAAGTTACATGATGTCTTGTAATTAACATGTTTTTAAAGCTGACAATAAGTGCAGGGAATTGTATTTGATAACTGTAATGGACAAGTGATAAAATCAACTCCTTACTCTAGTATTGAAGTAGATTGTTGAGAAAGGCAATTTCAATCCACCCAACCATTTTCTCTCGATTCTCTTTTGAATATTTGTCCCTCTTTGCCGCTCATCCTGAAAAAAGAGATTATTTAATGTCTTTCTGAATACATGCACTTATCTGAAAAACACTTTTTAGACAATCCAGCATATTTTACAATGATTGGCAAAATAAACAAGGCATTAGCATGCAAAATGTCACCACCTACCATTTGTTACAGATGCCGACCAGTGAATGCCAAACACAAACTGGCATTCACAAAAAAGTTGGAAACTATAACAATATATCACTACTTGCAGGGTGACAAAAAAGTGCTGACATAAAATTATATATATCTTTTAATGATCTTTTTTACTTTATTTTTCAACATCTTCTACACATAAGACATATTTTAAAATTGTAACAGGAATACCTCCAGGACGTCAATGAGGACTTCATCAAAAAGATTTAAGAAGACAACATCATTTACAGTCTGTAGATTGGTAGAACTGTAGTCATTGTTTGGGGCCCTGAAATAACATGTACAGGTATCTACATTAGACATGCTTAAAAACAAAACATTCAATTAATCATAGCTGTGTAAAAGTGTTCAGATTGGCAGATGTTCACATTCACAAAATGCCACCACCTACCATTTGTTACAGATGCCAAACTCTGAATGGCTAATGTTCACTGACGGATGCAGTCACAAAAAAAGTCGGAGACCATAATGTGTCATCTCTTGTGGAAGTGACATAAAAAGGAACCAAAATAGTTCACATTGAGAGGTGTGCAGATCAGTGTAGTTTGAACATACAGGCTTAAGTGCATGATAATCAAACAGCCAATATGTCATCCTCATACAGGCTTAAGTGTATGATAATCAAACAGCCAATATGTCATCCTCATACAGGCTTAATTGTATGATAATCACACAGCCAATATGTCATCCTCATACAGGCTTAAGTGTATGATAATCACACAGCCAATATGTCATCCTCATACAGGCTTAATTGTATGATAATCACACAGCCAATATGTCATCCTCATACAGGCTTAATTGTATGATAATCACACAGCAAATATGTCATCCTCATACAGGCTTAAGTGTATGATAATCAAACAGCCAATATGTCATCCTCATACAGGCTTAAGTGTATGATAATCAAACAGCCAATATGTCATCCTCATACAGGCTTAAGTGTATGATAATCAAACAGCCAATATGTCATCCTCATACAGGCTTAAGTGTATGATAATCAAACAGCCAATATGTCATCCTCATACAGGCTTAATTGTATGATAATCACACAGCCAATATGTCATCCTCATACAGGCTTAATTGTATGATAATCAAACAGCCAATATGTCATCCTCATACAGGCTTAAGTGTATGATAATCAAACAGCCAATATGTCATCCTCATACAGGCTTAAGTGTATGATAATCAAACAGCCAATATGTCATCCTCATACAGGCTTAAGTGTATGATAATCAAACAGCCAATATGTCATCCTCATACAGGCTTAAGTGTATGATAATCAAACAGCCAATATGTCATCCTCATACAGGCTTAAGTGTATGATAATCAAACAGCCAATATGTCATCCTCATACAGGCTTAAGTGTATGATAATCAAACAGCCAATATGTCATCCTCATACAGGCTTAAGTGTATGATAATCAAACAGCCAATATGTCATCCTCATACAGGCTTAAGTGTATGATACTCAAACAGCCAATATGTCATCCTCATACAGGCTTAAGTGTATGATAATCAAACAGCCAATATGTCATCCTCCTAAGCAGGTATCCAGAATCCATACCTCCTTCTTCCCCCTGCTATAACCAATTTGGAAGCGCCCGATTAAACTGAATCACGTGATCTAATTATGCGCAATGACTTATACATGATATCTGTCACAGTGTTGCGACAGCCAATCAGATTGTGAGTTCTTAATCAGGGAAATGCTAACTGCTTATCGCAGGGGGTAAAAAGAAAGAATATATTCTGGATTTTGAAGCTCTTAGATCGGAGGATGCCAATATGTTTATATAAGTTGTTTTGGACTTAGCATTCAACAACTGACATTTAAATTTCCTGATCATTAGCCCTTTTTACAATGTTTCAGCTTGATAAATGTGTTGAAACTACATTTCGTTGCAATATATGACCCCAGCTCTTACAGTAATTGAATTTTCAAAAGGTTAGGCAATTTGAGACAAAGATATCTTGTTTTAATCAACTCTTGAATTAAACAATTAGTTAATCACATCAATTTACATTAATCTATTCATGTTACCAATTGTTTTATAAAAGGTCATAACTACTTTCAATTGTTTGGCTCACACAGTGGGCCTATGGGATCGACCAGGCGTCCGTCCGTCCGTTGGTCCGTCAATCAACATTGGCCGCACAAATTAAAACTGCTATTCGGATTGAGTTGTACACACATTCATTTTATGCATATCCATAATGCCTATTTGACCTATCATCGCCATTTCCCAAGTTCGCCCGGTTTCCGGGAAATTGCGGATTTTGACGTCAAAAAGTCAAAATTTTCTGTAAATACTAGACACTTTGTTGAAGTAGAACTTTCAAATAACTTTTAGTAGCTGGTGTATATGCAACTTATGTCCTCTGAAGATTTCAAAGCTCTTGGAATTACAGTTTTTGGTGTTTACTCTATAAAATTTGGCAAAAAGTAGGACTTAGTCATTTTCAGGAAACTTTCTCATGTATAAAGTCAATGGCAGGTTTTGTGATTGACAAGTTTCTCAAAGTTTGCCTTATACTAGATCATTTCTTGCAATGAATTACATCATTACTAGATTTAAGCATTCCCTACATATTGCTCAATATATGTCAGCATCAAGAGATATATGACGTCAAAAAACAGTAAAAATAAGTTATTTTTCAACTTGCTTTTTTTTTAAAATCATCTACAAGTTGCCAGGAGCTCAAATCTTACATTAGTTTTAGGATTTGACCTTACTGAGCTCTGAATATGTCAAATTTTCAAGGTCAAAGGTCATCAAACTAGGTCACACAACTGTGCTATCAAAGTTTATTTCTCAAAGTTCAAGACTACAAATCCAAATCAATATTTTTGTTTTAAAGTCAGGATATACATTCCTCTGAAGGTTCCAAACTGTGTGAGCACAGGACCGTGGGTCGTATTTTTATATAATCTGAAACCAATGTAAATATGTCCTGATGCACAAATATGCCTACTTATGAACTCTCTGTAAAAATTAAAGTAGGGGTTCAAAATTACAAAACAGATTCAAAAGCAGCAGACAAAAACAAACTATACAATTCAAAGCAAATCAGTTCAAGATGGGGATCCCGATGTTATGTCTTCTGATGATCATAGCAATAGTGCACCTTGGACATAACGCAGAAGCAGGGAAATGTCCTAACCTTGAAAAAAGATTGAAAGATGCACAGACTGAGCTGGAGCGATTAAGGAACACAGGACAATGTGAGTGCAGCTGTATGGGACAACCAGGAGCTCCAGGCCCTGCAGGTCCACCAGGTCCTCCCTTAAATCAACCAAAGGACTGCCCAAAAGGATTCACAAAGAATGAAGTGCTAAAATCCTGTCACAAGTTTATTACTAACACAAAGTTGATGTGGACTGACGCCCTCGCCTTTTGCCAGTCTCTCCAGGCAAACCTAGTTGCTATAGAAACACATGTTGAACAATTATATCTTGCTGACAAACTCACAAATGGTGATCTACCTACTGAGACATGGTACTGGACAGGAGGCAATGAGCTATGTGGGACGTGGGAGTGGGCTGGGGGTCTAAGCTGGACACCTAAATCTATCACTGGATATCTGAACTGGGATACCACATATGAATTACCACAGCCACAAGCAAATGATGAGAGGTGCCTTGGACTTCATTCTGAGTTTACCTACAAATGGCACGATTTAACCTGCAAGAGTGAGGAATATTTTATATGTGAAATAAATCTTTCTTAAACCCATTAACTTTGTAAAAGTCTTAGATAAAGAAAATGTAAACAAAGTATTTAAGAGATTATGGCTGACCTTTAAAATACTGAAAAGAAGGATGCCATATGGAAGAAGATGAGCCGTAGGACCAAAACCATAAAAAACTATTAAAAACACACTCTCAAATGACCTCCATACAGATACATAAAGAATTATAATTGACAACCAAAACCACACCATTGGATAATTATGACTTTCATCATTACAATAATGAAAAATGGGTGATAACATCTGAACCATGTGAGCTCATGTAGTACTTTACTATGTGTAATGAAATAATTCAAATATATAGGAGATTTTCCAATGACAGCCCATCCCATAATTTGTTTATTCAAACAATATTTCCTTTTCCTCCTTTATCACACTACCCTACCACGTGACCACATTTAAAAATGATACAGGGTACGGTTAAGTTGCAAATGGAGCGGGTATTCTCTATCTTTGTCCATTGGGCTTTTCTGGTAATAATACGTTGAAAACTGCTCGATGAATCTATACAATGTATAATAGAACACTTAGAATATGTGTAAAATCTAGTATACATTCAGAACTATGGAAATAAACAAACGTCCTCCATTTGCAACTTCGCTGTAGCCTGTACTTCTTTTAAAGGAATACAGGATACAGTATGGGGGTATAGTAGTGAGTTTATAGCACATTATTTTACAACAGGACATTGGGCAATTAACTTTTTTATGTTTTACAAGTTTCTGGAAATCTTTCCTTTATTACTAAATTCCATTGCTATTTCTCCTATACAATTGTTGCAATTGTGATTTGAACAACAAACCCCATAGGTGCAAATCAAAAATGATTACAACTGTTTATTCATAGTGTTTATCACAGTTAAGTAGGATTACATCTATACATCAATTGGTAAAGGCCCATGTGCAGTATAGCAAGTGATTTTAGACAGTCATATCTTTCACCATGAGTATTTTCTGGGTATAAATATAGTGGTGTTTTCTTTAAAGTGACGTCCCCATGATAGTAAAATATCAATCCCACCCTCTGAATAATTATGGATTAGGACCCCACCTTGGCACCTTTTAAAAAATGTTAGGCTTATTTTCTTAAAAGAGGATCTTGTTTTTCTCAATTTAAATGTCTCAAAAGTTTCTTCTACACTATATTAATAACTTCTGAAATGGGTATGCATGGGTATTGAAATGCGATAAAGTTAAAAACCACATTTCCCATGTTATTTTCCAATAGGGAAAATTCATGCTATCCATTGTTTTCAGCATAATCTTGGTCATTGAAAATTGATATCTTCAAAACTAGACTTTCAATACAATTCTACTCTTGAAGATGTTTTAGACACCTTGTTGAATGTTTTCATGCAATAAAATCAGAAAAAGAAGATCCTCTTTTGAGCAAATACTTGTAAGTTCAACATTTTGAAAAAATTGTTGACGTGGGGTCCTTATTTATAATTCTTCGATTTGTTTGATTGATATGTTTATCATCATTGGGACTTCACTTGAAAGAAAACATATTGTTTTAATAAAAACCACTGTATTTATGCCCAGAAAGTACTCATGGTGAAAGATATGACCGCCTAAAATCACTTGCCATACTGCACGTGGACCTTTGAAATAGTTTTACCCATACATCCAGGGTCTCATGGCGAGAATCTCCAGTATTATGATTCCAAATATAGCTGTACATACAAATACATAAAGTTAAACATTAAGCTGGAAGTGGGACAGAAAAATTCCAGTCATTTAATTCACAGCTCCAGATATAGATTCATTATAATTAAACTGACATTATGACAAATGTTATTTGCATGCAACAATAGGAAGCTACATTAAATTTACTGAATCATCAATAATATTGTGTTCTTTAAGTGTTATATAAAGTTTAAACCACTTTGGCTAAATAACATGGGGCTTTTAAGTGTCACATGTAAAGTTTAAACCATTATAGGTAATATTATACATTGGAGCTTTATGTGTCTTTTGTGTCCAATACAATGGTGTTCCTTACTTAAATGGCATTTCCAGTTCCTCATTCCAGCTAGGGTTGGGTCCATCTCCTACAGTTGTTTGTTCCTTGTTGCGTTGGAAGACCACCTCAATGACTGGCCTTACCAGGGTCTGACCCGCTATGTTCCTCAACTTTGACTTATCTTGAGATTGGGTTCCCCTGGCGGACTGGTTGCCACTGCTGTAAATAAAACAAGGTAACAATCATTAACATGCAAAATGTCAACACCTGCCATTTGTTACAGACAACAATTGCCAACCCACCAAACACTAACTGCTGAACTCTGTTCACAAAAACAAATTCGAGATCATTATGTCTCCACTTCTGGTGTATCAAAAAAATCAAAATTGAATCACTGAGGTTATCCTTATCGAACAGATGACTATTTCAGGAAAAGGAATAACATAGCATTTGAAGTCATTTTGACTCAATGGTTTTTTGTAAAAGATATTCATGAAACAAATCTTGTGGAGTTTAAAATGTCATATTTTTATTTTACTTAAGCCTTTATTATTTCACAGAGAAAAGTAAAATAAAAATAAGCAATCAAAAATTACAATTTTTTTGATTCCCAAAAATTCATTTAATTGGCTTTTGAGCAGAATTTGTATATGAAGAACACATTCTATATATCCATGAACTCTATTTGATTCAAGATGTTAATGTATGAATTATGCCAACGAGAGGGTTGTCCAGAAAAAGTTAGCCCCAGCTACAGAATGAATGAATGGTAATGACTGAGAATTTAACCATACCTTACTGCCTCAGATCGAACTGGTATATCAAATGCCCTCACAATATTGATGAGAATTTTGACATCTGTAGACTGTAAATTCTGAGCAGTGACCTTCTTACGTTCTTTTCTGGTGGGTCTAAGGGGTCTCCTTGGTTCAGTAATCTTCACAAGACTTGGAATAATAGTTCTGAAATTATATGTAAAAATATAAAATTCGGACTACTAGCATAAACTCATCCTCCTAAGCAGGTGTCCAGAATCAGTACCTCCTTCTTTGCCCTTCTATAACCAATTTGGAAGCGCCCGATAAAACGGAATCAAGTGATCTAATTATGCGCCGATGACGTATACATGATTGCTGTCGCAATGTTGTGACAGCGAATCAAATTGCAAGTTCTTAATGGGTGAAATGCCAACTGCTTATCGCAGGGTGTAAAAAGAAAGAAGTATTCTGGATTTTGAAGCCCTGTGATCGGAGGATGGCACAAACTAGGTGACAAGTATATTTTATACAGGAAGTAACTTTTAACAGAGTACATTTTTACCTACCGGTATGTGAAATTGGCCTTTAAGCATAGTAATATTGTAAAAGAAAAACAATATATTGATTGAATTATGTTATGGTCCAATAAAAAATTTGGTTGTCCAAATGATGGTGAAATCAACATGGCTTTTGCAAGGAGCAAAAGCATAGACAGTGCAAGTATATACAATGACTTTAATACATCACCTATATTGAAGACCACCTCTATATACTCACCCAACATTAGAAACCACCTCTATATACTCACCTTCGATTATGTACTACATTAGAGACTTCCTCTATACACTCAACCTACATTAGAGACCACCTCTTTATACTCACCCTACATTAGAGACCACTCTATACATTCACCCAACATTATATACATTATGGAGTCCCTCTATCACCCTACATTAAAGACTTCATCTATACACTCACCCTACATTAGAGACCACCTCTATATACTCAAACTACATTAGAGACTACACTATGGAGTCCCTCTATCACCCTACATTAGAGACTTCCTCTATACACTCACCCTACATTTGGGACTGCCTCCTCAATGACCATATCAGCGAGAGTTTTCTGATGTGAGGCTGCCCTGAACCTCTGGATGACATTCTCCCGTACCCTCTGCATAAACCTCATCACGGAGTCCCTGTGCTCCTCCAGAGCATCTCCCTGCTTGATTTTCTCCTCTTCTTTTTTCTTCTTCTCGTACTCCTTCAATAGAATAAATAGAATATTACAGCCCAAAAATAAATAAATATCTCAAAATGCTTGTTAAAAATAATTATTTCCTTAGAAAGCAGTGGTGTGAAACAGTCCTATACTTCTGTAAGTCTATCTTTGATAGTTAATCATTGATGAGGTAGCTAGGTATAGTCTTGTATCAAAGCTATATAATATCAAGGTTCTATATATTGTAACAACATACTTGTATTATCATCCTTGTGGTGTGACCATATAAACCTGGCATATAAGCCCAAAAAAATGAAATACCCAAAAATGTAACCTTACATTGGGGTACCCAGGATCTAAAAACTGGTGAGGCATCTAAAAACTGGTGAGGCAAGCTTAGATATGTGAAGCAATGTTACAGAAGAAAATAAAATATGATCACTACGCTCCATTTTCATATTTCTAATTGAACTGAAAAAAGATATTTGGAATAATATTTTTCTGTAAAATGTTTGCCTCACAATTCTAATGTCTGACTACATCTATGCCTTACATTGAATATCTCTGGTGGAACCTCTGCTTCTACACAAGGTATCATCTTGTAATTCCTGAACTCTGCAATCTCCATCTCCCTGTATTCAAGCAGTTTGTAGCGTAATGACTGATTGATGTCTTCATCTGAGCAGAAGTTGAACTCTTCTTGGAGATGTTCTATTCTGAAGTGATTTGGCACCCTCCTTGCAGTGGCGTCTTCATTTGAACCCTGTGAAGAGTATGAGTAGGTAAAGTCAAGCAATTAGTTGTGAGTACTTTTAATTCAACTTTGATATGTTGACGTTTTGTAGTTATACATGTGCATTATTAAAAAGAAATCTAATGCTGAATCCATAGGAGTTAATAATTACTGAGTATCAATTGTACTTTATGGAAGGAAGTAAGTTATGGTTGTTGTAGAATATTTTTTCTGTTATACACATGGTATATATGAGGGGTGATCAATAAGTAATGGACGCTTTTTTACATAGATACTTTTTATAGACCAATCTCTTTAATTTTTTCACCAGTGATACATCATTCAATTTTCTGAAGATTTGGAGACAAAACATGAAATATATTTTGATATATCTTTATTTCTGTGAAGGATGTATGGGTACCCCGGGACCGACATAACGTCACACATTCTGAAGCTATTTAGCTCATTTAATGTGCAATGCAGTTTAATGCCGGTTGAACAAAACGAACCATGATGGTTATGAATTACACCATTTCGATACGCCATAATTGATTATGAATATTGTGCCTTCACTTTGTGGCATTCATGCCACATTCATTCTTCAAGGCCCTGTACATGGGTTCCATTAAGTGCTACACACTTCCTCATTATCCCCTTACTCAAGATTGAAAGACATGGCCGATTCCATTCTCTGACATGGTAGCAAACTGCAGTTGCACAGCTTGTTTAATTTCATCGATGTCATTTAATCCATTTTTCTATAGAAAAAGTAGTATAGAAATAAAAGTCATGTGTGGCCAGATCTGGACTAAAGGGTGCATGCGCCAAGGGCTTCATGTTCAGGTCCAGGGATATTGTATCCTGGACATTTTGAGATATTTGGGCAGGGGCATTGTCCACATGGAGGAGGGTGTTACCTCCTCTCACTAACCTCTTCTTCCACACTGCATTCTCAAATCAACCTGCAAACCCTGACTATACAACACTTTAACCTTACAATTCTTATCTTTCTTGATTACTACAGGCAGCATGATATTCAAACAACACAACGCTTGTGGCATATCAAAAAGTTCAGACTGATATGCCAAATTGGCATTACTTCAGAATATGTGACGTAAATGTCGGTCCCGGGGTACCTGTACCCCCTTCACGGAAATATATCAACATGCATTACATATTTTGTCTCCAAATCTTCAGAGTTGATAGATAATTGAATGATGTATCACTGGTGAAAAAATCAATGAGATTGGTCCATAAAAAGCATCCGTGTAAAAAAGCGTCCATTACTTATTGATCACCCCTCGTAGGAGCTGTGTATTTGAAAACAAACAAAAGCAAACCTCAGTCTAGTCCTATAAACCAATTGTTATAGTGAACTATAATAGCATAGGGAACAAGGCATTAACACGACAAAATGTCACCAGAAATGTTACAGATACCAAACCCAAATTGTTACAGATGCCAAACACTGTGCAGAAAAAAGTTTGAGACTGTAACAATACGTCACTTCAAGTGGTTGTGACATAATTCGCAAATTATATTTTAGGAAGACCTACCTTCAGCAAGTACATGAGATCAGCATTAGATGGATCATTTGGGTCAAGACGTGACTTCTGAATCCAATCAGATAGTTTGTCTAAGTCTGTCATACCAGTAGCTCCAATTGCTGCTACAGCATCCATTTGTTTCATAGCACTGCAAGGTTGAAATAAGCTCAGACTTACAAGTGGTCTTATGGAGAGAGGGTCCTTGAATGACCCATTATGGCTATGTTTTGAGGGACCTTATACATTATGGTTCTTAATTGAACCATTATGGCTACATCACATGTTTTGAGGGTCCTTATACATCCAGAGCGATCTCCTAGTTACATCCTTCTTAAATGACATCAATCAGACACATTTATGAGATATCTCATAGGACGTAACATCGTCAAGTCATATGCTTACTTGTATATATTGTTGACTTGTACGTTATTTAATTGTATATATTCTTGACTTGTGTGTTACTTGTTGTTACATGTAATTTGTTGACTTGTATGTTACGATGTGGCTCCAAGGGGTTCCCTATATCATATAATGTTACTTACTTGTGTATATTGTTGACTTGTATGTTACTAGGTGGCACCATGGGATTCCCTGTATCATCTACTGCCCAAGCTACACTAGTGGCAAGTTCCCCTGTAGTGTTGTAGCTCTGGATATTACTTACTTGTATATATTGTTGACTTGTATGTTACTAGGTGGCACCATGGGATTCCCTGTATCATCTACTGCCCAAGCTACACTAGTGGCAAGTTCCCCTGTAGTGTTGTAGCTCTGGATATTACTTACTTGTATATATTGTTGACTTGTATGTTACTAGGTGGCACCATGGGGTTTCCTGTATCATCTACTGCCCAAGCTACACTAGTGGCAAGTTCCCCTGTAGTGTTGTAGCTCTGGATGTTACTTACTTGTATATATTGTTGACTTGTATGTTACTAGGTGGCACCATGGGATTCCCTGTATCATCTACTGCCCAAGCTACACTAGTGGCAAGTTCCCCTGTAGTGTTGTAGCTCTAAATATTACTTACTTGTATATATTGTTGACTTGTATGTTACTAGGTGGCACCATGGGATTCCCTGTATCATCTACTGCCCAAGCTACACTAGTGGCAAGTTCCCCTGTAGTGTTGTAGCTCTGGATGTTACTTACTTGTATATATTGTTGACTTGTATGTTACTAGGTGGCACCATGGGGTTCCCTGTATCATCTACTGCCCAAGCTACACTAGTGGCAAGTTCCCCTGTAGTGTTGTAACTCTGTATATTACTTACTTGTATATATTGTTGACTTGTATGTTACTGGGTGGCACCATGGGGTTCCCTGTATCATCTACTGCCCAAGCTACACTAGTGGCAAGTTCCCCTGTAGTGTTGTAGCTCTGGATGTTGCTGCCATCTGCCTCAAGGCTCAGGTACACACCTAAAATAAAATTCAAATTAGTGTCTCATAACTTGATATGTTTTTAGGTAAAATAGGAATTAAATCATATCCAGAAAAGGATGTAACACAAGTGCCAGCACAAAAGTTAGCAAATTTGCATTTTGGGAAGTTGATTTATTCAGTATTGTAAAAAGGCACAAAGAAGCTAATAAGTATAAGAATAGCATGGCAATTTTTACTCCATTCAGTTTTGTTCTGAAATCATCATGATGCAACCCAATCGACAAAGCATCAACATTCAAAATATCACCACCTGCCATTTGTTACAGATGCCAAACGAGTCAAAGACTATAACAATATGTCACCACTTCTGGTAGGGACATAGACATAACAATATTTGATGTCAAACAAATAAACAAAACATTGAGCAAACAGGCAGACTCCTAAAAGAACAGCCAGCATTATTACATATATACCATCAACCAATGTGGCCATATAAACTCACCACTACCAACACCCTCGTGGCTATGTTGAACTCTTTGGTCAGTACTGAACTCTATCTCTTCAAGCTGAGCTGTTTCTGTTGTAACAGTCCCTTCAGGTATTGGCACAAACAACTCAGCTATCATATGTGAAGTTATACCTCGGCTCTCAAATATCTGAAAATACAAAAATTGGAGAAGTATTGTTTAATGTTGCATTCATAGTGGGTATGCTAATGTATATATTAGAAATGTGAATGAAATACTTGCAGAGCTTTCATTGTGACGACAATTAGCAGAAGTACATAGGGCCAAGATTATATTTTTAGTAGATCCTTATTTCCCCTTTCCAATGGTATATTGAATCCCTGAGGCAAATATCTTGTCTGCTCTAAAGCCACTTATGGGAGATCTAAATCTGAATAACATTTCCTCTTGTAAAATTTCACTTCATTATCTCATTGTAGCTTCTTTCAAAACAATCCACTGGATTAACAGATTTTAACTTCAATATGGTTCCCATGATAATATCCATACATAGTAGAGACTTCAATCATGACATCATATAACAATTCTTGGAATATGGTACATTATGACCTGTGATATTCATTTTGGCATATCTTGCCTTTTAAACAACTAAACGAGCACTCGGTGACTGAGCCTTTGGATCTTGTTATTGTGTCTTGTGTCCAACAACTATGCGCATCAAACAATGGAAGCTCAGTGTAATAAAAGTAAAACGAGGCACATGACGTGAATGAGATCACACCATCAAAAACCTTCAAAATGGCTGCCAGAAAACAATGGTGTGATAAAAAGATATATATCTACTTGGGATAACAATTGAGGCCAAGTTGACATTTTCAGAGGCCTCGACTATGGGTAGGAGAAAGCTGCATTTTTTGTTAATTTGAATTAATTTCAGAATAAAAAATGATTCAATGCGAAAACTACACACGAGTGTATAACAACATAAGGGACTCTAAAGACTATTTTAGATGACAATAAATTGATCAAGATTAATGACACATTCCAACATGCAATCTAATCAATTTAACTCTTTCATCTAAGTGGAAAAATATTATTTTTTCATTATATCCTAATTCAATTTCAAATAATGACATTCAAATTGTTTCCTATGAATAATTCAGATGGAAACAATCAATCAACAACAAATCCTCTACAAAAGGTACCCATTTTACCGGTACTTTAAGCATAGAGACTGAAAGCTACATTTTTCCGAAATTAGCCATTGGCCCTGCAAACAGCTATGATAACTACACCTCAATATACTATTATCTATAGTAATGTACAACTTATAACATTTGATGGATGCTGAGGATATATCACAATGATATTTGAAAGACAAAAGCATTAAATACTTCACAGAAATATCCAGAGAGCTCTAAGTGATTCGATGGATTATATAGCAATATATTCTTCTCTTTAAATCCATTGGGAATGTAGCCACAAATCATACAAACTGAGGGTATATTGACTTTGACCCATTGACCAGTCAGGCTAAAATATGGCATAGATTTGAATAATCAGTATTATGGTATATAGATTATGGGGCCACGTGATCTAGGATTGGCTGTGAATGGGGGATGATCATTATGAAGCACTCTGTATAGTAAGAGTTTAATGCATACAAGTTCATTGAATTGAAGATACATGAGCTCAAACAGAGCAAGCTGTTAAAGGAGACCACATATGCAAGTGTAGGAGACAGAACTATCATCAGAACTAATATAATTCACAATGAATTCTACAACGAATGGAAACACTAGTTCAGTCTTAACTGATGTTTTAACGAATACAACAGATTTAGATCCTTTGTTGAACGATACAGAACATGATGGCAACATTGACATTTACTGCAGATATGGTTATATTTTGAAAGAGTATTTGGACGGATATTCTAATTTTATAACAATATTATACATCATTTCATGCATTATGACACTGCTTGGAATGGCTGGGAATATCTTATCAATCGTTGTGATGTCAAAATATGCTAAGAAAACATCTAGGATTATTTTGCTACAAACACTCGCTGCAGTTGACTCTATTGTATTAATATCTATGAATGTAGTTGTCACACTATCTGGTTTTTCACAGTTTTCTGACAGTGTTCCAGTACATGCAAAATGGCCCCATGATTTCCTCAATGTCGTACCATACATTTTCGTATTGGGACCAATTTCGGTCACGCTCTCAGAGTGGATGATAGTTCTCGTAACGGTGGACCGATACATCCACATATGTAAACCTCTATTGGCAAAATCATTGATGACTTTGAAAAAGGCGAAAGTGTTTATTATAATTACAGTGGTCTGTGCTGTCATATACAATATTCCAGTATGGATCGACGGCTCATACCCACCTAAAGTAGCGGAAACATATTGTGGACTATATGCATATTTAAGATCTAGATTTCAGGATGTTAAACTCTTTAATATAATTTACTATTGCATAGGCAATGCAGTCTTCCGATATACAGGACCATGGGTTACAGTATTGGTGCTGAACATTAAGATGATAAAAGCCTTTAGAAAAAACCAAGACACTGCCAATTCAAATAAACAACAAAAAGAAGATAAAAAATTCACAATTCAACTTATAGTGATCATATTCTACTTTGTTTTTGTATCAATTTTGTTCAATGTGGGCATTATTATACACACAATCTATCTATACACAGAATTTAATATAACGAAATGGAAAGAAGTTAAACGTTTTGTACTGGCCACTGCAAATGTTTTTCTTGCCAGCAATTCTGCCATAAACTTTTTAGTATACTTTTTGATAGGGAAAACATTTAGAAACAAACTCGTGCAAACCTTAAAATGTTGCTAGACTTTTAAAATAAAAGTCAATTTTCAAGCAATTAAGAGGAATAATAACATTCGCTGTTAAACATACAAACATATAATTTACTGTGCACACAGAACTTTGTTTCCAAATGTACATTGAAAATGCAGCTCCTTGAATGATAATTCCAAATAGGAGGTTGTAAGGTCACCCATGGCATATGTCATATTTCTCAATGAGTACATTAAGATGCTTCAAACAATAGAAGGGATTTCTGGATTTCTGTAGCTCAGTGGTAGAGCACTTGCCCGGAAAGCGAGGGAGTGTGGGTTCAATTCCCACTGGGGTGGACTGACTTTTTCACAACAGCCCTTAGCACAGGATTTCATTCTGTGTTTTCATTAACTTGCCAAATGCTTCTGTATTTCACAATACAGATAAACCTTTTTTATATGCAAATGAACTTGATATGCTATGGCAGCATAATATAAAGCAAGATGGATAAACGGTTGAAACATATTATGATGGGAACATTCCAAGATATCTAAAACATATAATACAGGGGTTTCACTAGAATTTCTCACAACAGGCTAAATCAATGGAAACAACAGTAAAAAAACAGGCAAAATTAATAGAAATTATAAATTAAACATGGAAACGTTGAAACATTGTTGCTAACAAAACCCCTGTAATATATGAGGTACATTAACCTGGGCAACTAAAAGATATGTTATTAGTCTAGGTTTTGGATATGTATGGTTAGCCCTATGAGTTGGAAATGAAAATCTATTTTATCAAATTTTATACAATGATTGAGTAATTGTGAATATCAGAACTGGTTAACCTGCTCAAAATTCAACAAAGCTCCAACATTATTTATAAAACCAAGTTAGAGTGAAATATATTTATCTTGTATTATCTTATCTTGTATATAGCTCAAACACTTTCAAGCTATTACTTTGTAAATACTGCTTTACATGTTTATATGTTAATTGTATATGGTTTCGATTTGGGCCATAATTTGTTTTATTTCATCATGTTGTAATTCAATGCAATTGCAAAAGTTAAATAAGAAGGCATTACATTTTGAAGGTCATTGAACACTACATACCTTGCATTTGGTGTTCATGAACAACCCATTTGGCTTATTAGTAATGATTGTGTTATTTGTTTTTATGTGTCTGTTCCTTATGAATGGTTTATCGGATCACCGTTAGATGTTAATAAGGTACTTTCAAAAATATAATTAACAATACAATTAGACAGAGTATCTTATGCATTTCTAGGGGTTAGGTATAGTAGAGTGTTGAAGGTCAAACCTCAAGTAACAAGTTAGATTTGAACTTCTGAGAACTTGTAGATGATTTTGAATTAATATTTGGTCATTAAAGCAAGTTCAAAAAAGACCTTTAGTGACCTTCAATATGTTGCCAACATCACTGTGATCTAGTTTGATAACCTTGACCTCTGACCTTGAAAAGTTTACCTTTTCAGATCTCAGTAGGTATGTTGTGATAAAGCTGACTTTTTGGATCCCAAAAAATCAATTTTAGACTCTTCGAAGGTGACTGAAGGTCAACCAAAGGTCAAATGTCAAAATCAGGTCAATTCTGGACTTCTGAGAACTTATAGATGATTGTTTAAAAATGGTCAATTAGCCATTGAAACAGATATTGGCAGAAATGTGCTGGATTTCACAACATGTTTATACATATTGGCAGTAAATATTTAAAGTCAGTCAAAACAGTATTTGTTATGTTATTGGAAGTTGTAAGAATCTGTTACAGATGCAGACCACCGAACAACATCAGCAAAAGTTCTGGAGACAATATGTCACCACATAATAAGAGGGACACATCCCTGAACTTTTTAGCATTATATGTTCACTCGGGATTTTAAAATAACAAAGGGCCTGAACAGAGGGATGTGTATTTCTGGCAATAGGGTTAGATGTATTTTGTGGGTAATGGTGCTTGGGCAAAATGAAAAATGATCCAAAATAACATTAACAGAAAGTAATTTTAATGTTTAATCAGACTTGGCTGACAAAAACTAAAAATTAAAAATATTTCAATTGATAAATCTGAAAGTCTAATAATGAGTGTTTTGGTAAGATCATATAATAAATATTTGTCTAGGCCTACAGGAATGTTGCCCAAGTTGAGACTTAGACTCAACCAGTGTCATCTATAGTTGTGGTCAGCCTAACAACCCACTAGCATTAAAACAAGTTGGTGCAGCACCCAACTGAGATTTTAAAATAAGCCTTGCACCCACCTGAAAATCCATTTGTACCCACTTGAAAATGAGAAATATCATGAAAAATTGGCATATTTTGACCAATTTTGGTCTGAATTGTGAAAATCAGAATTTTGCACCCACTTGAGAAAAAATCCTGTGGAGATCACTGCAATTATTGTACTTACCTGTATCTTGATAGACTCTGGCCATTGCACAATCAGAATGTTGAAGATCTGAGCAAAGTTCACTTTAAATTCTTGGCCTAGAGGTCTACAATGATGAAACACATCAAATGATATAATAAGAAAAGAATGCTAGCCTGTAAAGTAAAAAAAAACTCTCAATGATATGATGAAATGATCAAGGAGAATTTAGAAGTGCAAGAGCAAAACCATTTGCATAAGATTGACTTAAAACTGACTGCTTATTTTGTTGATCTGAAACAAACAATTTTTTGGCTTCTATTTTCTGAAATAGCAACGAAATTCTTGTTCAATTACAACAGAGTAAATAAAAATGTATGTGGAATGTGGAATACTGGAAAATGTGAATATCATACACATGAAAGAACAGTAAACCCATTATCATAACAAGAGGACAATTGAGTCATTACCACTGATCAGTTTCAAGCGAAGTTTCACGCACGATATGTGAACAAATTATCAAATTCCATAGTTCCCATGTCATATGAGCCTCAGTCTGGTTCAAATATCAAAGCATTACCTTAACTATAAAGTAGTTTAATTCAACAAAAATTAAAAATATCAAAATTGAAAATTACCATCTGCCATCTTAGATGCAAAGGTTATGGCCATTACCTTCGCTTGATACTGACCAGTGATAATGATTGTTTGTGCATATTTGTGATTTACATTTCCATATTACCTAAACAACATATTTGAATTTATGTTGACACTTACTTTACAGTTGTCCTTGAGACTTCTTTGTTATTGAATAGCACCTTGACGAACACCTTACTTCTATCAACCTCATCTCTCCTAGCTTGTTCTCCCCTAGAGGTAATAATACATATTGTAAGTACATCAATATGAATATTCAACTGTGATTGGTCAAGAAAAGGGCAATAATTCTGATTATTGATCATTCACTGTCAAAACTAGAAAACCTGAGAATTCCAAAGTTATAGTTACAAATCCTAATGAAGGAAATATAGTTTCTCTTATTAAAAAGTTTTGGGCTATTTTCAAGATTCTTTAATATATTTTGAATATCTCGCAGGGAGCTGGGAAAGTGGTTCTTACCTTGGACATTGAGTCTTGGGAGTGATTGTAGCACCATATGACAATTCAGGATGCAGCTTGTGCTCACCTAAAAGTATATATGACCATATAGATTTTTATAGTTTTAAAGAATCTCCTATAGTAAAACTTGATCTGCATACAGATGAATTAATAACTAAACATTCCATTGGCTAAAAATTTGGTACAATGTCTAACTGGTGAGATGTAACAAACACACTTATGACACACTGAACTATATTTTGGTCTAACTAAAACTACACACTGATGATACTTTCATTTATCAGATGTGAAACTTAAAATACATTCTGGTAAAACACACTGGTGAAACTTAAACTTCATACTGGCAAAACTTAAACTATACACACTGATTAAAATTGAACTACACAGGTGAAATTCAAACTACACACTGGTGAAAATTAAACTACACAAGCTAAAAAATGGGTTAATTCAAATAACACTGGCGAAAACTAACTACACACTGGAGAAAATCAAAGTACCCATTGATGAAAATTAAACTATCCACTAGTGAAAATAGAACAACACAGGTGAAATTCAAACTACACACTGGTGAAAACTAGCTTCACATAAGTGAAATAACTACATATGATGTAATCTACCTGGCCTCCTACGTATCTGAAGAGCCTTCTCCTTCACCTTGGCTCTACAGGACTCAGCATCAAACTTTGCTGGAGCCTCTGGCTTTGGCAAGTCTTCCTCATCAAGCAGCTTTTCATCTGCTTGTCTCTGTTGCTGGAACATATCACAAATACCACATATAGTATAGACTATAAAGTACCTTGAAATAGTTTTTGCAATATGAACTTAATTACTATTGTCTAGAGTCAAAGAGCCTATCCTTTTTAATGGTGGGCTAGTGGTTAAATATTACACACAGAATTAAGATGGAAACTTACATAGAGAACTTTGTCATATAGTCAAAGTGTTTTAGGTGCAACCAGTGCAATCACATAGACCTTTAAACATGCCTCACCATGCAAGTTAAATATGTTGAAGGGTTATATATTGAAACTATTATGTCAAACTCACCTCGTTTTCCGCATTTTCTTCTGCATCCTCATTTTCCTCGTCACCTCTCTTATTCAGTAACTTTCTTCTTCGAAGAGCTGCTTTCTGAAATAATTGAAAAAGAATGAGAAAAATAAAGGAAAATAACACATAAAGCCCCAGTCACATTTGCTCTATGACGGCCAAAGCAGAATGAATATAGAAAATCTACAGCGTACTGCTTATCCCTATATTTTAGGAGTATTTCAAAAGAATGAAAGATTGATATCAGAAAATTAACTGTTTTTGAACAGCAAGGGAGAGGGGGTCATTAGTCAGCTTTCCCATATCATTCCTAGGAATTTTAGTAGTGAATGCTTTTTGCGTTCAGTGCACCTCCAATAGGAAATTTCTTCAATTATTTAAATTATACTGAAAAAAGAACTTTTTAAAGCCTATCTATGTCAATCCAAGTAACAAATACAAACATTTTGTCAATAGGGCCAGTCTGGTCTAGTTCGAAAAGACTGATATACAGGGTGTGCCAAAAAATTTTGCAACTTTTTTAAAAGGCTAGAAAAGTATCATAACATTAACATTCTCTATTTGGTCAACTGGCAAAGTTGTATACTGATAATGAAAACCATATTTTTTTCCAAATTTTTTCAAAAGTAGTGGTCAACAGTACCTAGTAGCAGTTAACAGTACTTAGTAGCAGTCAACAGTACATATTGTTCCCTTTTAATTAACCAATCAGAATTGAGTATTTCAGCTGAGGTACTAACAATTCTGGTTGTATCATTCAAGTAATATTGCAGTAATCCCATTAAACTGAACACAATATGCTTGACATTTTAAATAAATGTTGATGATGTTTTTACAGCTCTTTGAAAACTGAGCAGTGAAAAAATTAAGCAATGAATGTTGAATCACCAAGGTTCCAGACCATTATTAAATGCCACTTCACCTTTCTAGCTTGATACTAAGTGAGCCCTAGAGGCCTACACCATAAATATTTAAAATGTTTTAACAACATTTATAGTCAGTTATGATAAAGTATGGTGATATTTTGTTTTCAGACAGAGAATAATATCCATCAAGGAAATAGGAGCTCTTTACTATAATCATCCAAATTACTCTTATCTGTATGAGACCCTATGAATAAAATGTCATGTCTGTCATATTGTTCCATTTTAGAAAGGAAACGATAATAGATTGGATTGAAACTTGAGATAATATTTTTGTCAAAAATGTATGCATCTACAAAATGTTAATAATTGTTTATGAGTCTTGGCTCTAGTAGAATGGGATTAAAATCATATCATGAGTAAATCATAGGATGTTCTTTTTATTCCATAGTTAAAGTCATCATCAGAATCGTCGGAAATTAAGTGATTTAATTCGAATTTTCCAAACGATCTGGTGATGTTGACACTTAGCCTCATTTTGAGTCTGAAGTAGCAAAAATCAATAATTCATAGCATACGGTGCCATATGTCATGGCTCAAACACCATATGCTATGGTTAAGTGAAAAGTCAAAAATATCATATTTTACCACACTACAAAACCAAGGCTTGCTTGATTACCAAGGCTTGCTCTAGCTACTCCTTCGAATTGTATTGTAAAGGCCTCTCTAGGAATCATCAATTTTGAGTTTTAATACTCATAAAAATGAATTAAATCATACTTGCAAATTAACTATGAAAAACCCATACAGATCTGAAAACTATTGAAACTTGGTTGAGTAAGAATACTAAAAATAGAAAACAAAATTAAATAGTTAACATACTGTATTTAATAATTAAATTAGTTTTCATCAAACTTAATTTTGTTTCTGGGAGAAAATCAATACAGCTGATGAAATCAAGCTAAAAATAACTTTGCAAATCTATGAGTTTTGATTGACAGGTCTATTTTTGCACTTTCCATATTTGGGTGAAATTGATGAGCTGTGTTATGAATTCAAGGTCAGGCTGATCTGGTCACTCTCTAAGGACATTTTAAAAGGTTATAATGAAAACACGCGCTACGCGCTAACGCGCTAGCGCACTAACGCACTGTTCAGAATGATCGTTCCCACAGGCCCGGGAACATGTATAAAAATCGAGTGAGTGAAGAGATTAGGTGGCTCATCAGAAAGCAGAAGTATGAAGAAGCCCAATGTTTGATCGTTAACTGTGCAAAGATTATCGATTGTCAGTGTGTTTTATCTGATTTAAAAGGAAGATAGAAAGTAGCACCTTACAAGATGAATGGTCGCAAATATGCGAATATGCTCCCTATTTCATTGCATTATTTGGGTCCATCCATCGGCGAGAAAAATCCCGTTTCGAAATCTGCATGTTACCTCTTAATATCAAGTCATCGATGTTTTATATATCTTTACTCTTTGTATTTGAAGTTATATCTCACATGACTTACCAAACGGTGGGATAATTCAGGCGTCGCATTTATATTTTTCCATTTTTCTTTTCGTGTCCGGTTACTCTCTTTCGCTTTCACGGGGGGGGGGGGGGGGGGGGGTGTATAGGGTTATCGTATAAGAGGAGGGTGAAAATCTATTGTGTATGGCCGCATAAGAGGGTCAACATTTATCGTATATGGCATCGTATAAGTTAAATAAACATATGTTTTAAAAGAATTAAAGAAGCCTATTATGAAATTTAAAGGCAGTTTGAACGAATACTGCAGATCCAGCTGATCCCCACTATATTTGGGATTTCAATACACAAGTAGTTGTGGGGGCTTGCCCGTAGCCAGCTTTTTTCCAGGGGAAGCTTTTTCACAATTTTGGCTAATAATCATGAAAAAAATTCTCAGAATGGTGAAAAACTGCATGATTTTGAAAGAATCTCTGGCCAGAGGGGGAGCTCCGCTCCCCCAGCTCCCCCCCTGGCTACGGGCCTGGTTGTGGGGGTGATTTGAAAAATCAGTCCCACATTTATGGGGGTAATCCAGATCTCTATATAGTAGTCTCTATATGCCATATGCCAGGACAGTAACCAGGATTTCCCAGGGGGGGGGTCACTTTTTCAAAAATTCCAAAGTCACCTTCCGAACCCCCCTGGCTTCGGGGCTGTGTACCGCCTATTTGCCGTATGATTATACAATTGGTACTACGTGGATTCTTGCATTATGTTATTTCCTTCTGAATATTATCCAAACTTTTCTCAACGGTAATTTCAAAATTATCGTACAGATATATTATTTACCCGACCTTTTTGTAAAATATGTGAAAAATAGTGTATATGGATTTCCAAGACCCCTATGAACCCCCCTTTCATGTTTGCTTTCGTTTTTCTCAATTTGATTTTAGATTTAAAAAGTTTTGAATTACATCAGTCCCAGTGAATTGTATTACCTATTTTACCAGGAATATTGTTGAAAACAGGATTGTATTTCATTTGGACCAGCGTGTTTTATCATTGTCCGGTAATTGGCCGTAAATATTTATTAATTCTAAGTTACTCATGTTCTTTCAGGTCAAATACAGAGAAAAGTACACGTTCATTTAGTTTTGGAATTATTTCCTAAATTGAAGTTGAATTCTGTTTTTTAACGGTGTGAAGAACATCTTAATTGGTCTTATATTTTTAGAGAAATCGTAACTTGAAAAGTGTAATTTTCGAGAGGCTTTGTTTATTTCCTGCGGCCGCAAAGTTCACATCAAAGTCTGATTGACAGGTTAGCGGTGATTTATACAGTCTTTGAAGTGTCAATGTTTTGACAAGTTCCCAGGGAGTCATAACCCTAATTATACATGTCCCTGGGCCAAGGGTATAGACCAATCATAAACATGCGCTTAAAACATGCGCATACATCGTGGGGGAAGGATCATTTTCTATTAGCGCATTGGCGCGTGGCGCGTTAGCGCGTAGCGCGTGTTTTCATTATAACCATTTTAAAACAGACTTTTGACTGAAATTGATCAATTCTACCTTTATATTTCTAAGTTGTAACATATTTAAAGAAAAATTGTCCTTTCAAATGATTATTGGCTGTGAAATATAATTTTATTTGAGGCGTTTTTATTCATTATTATTGTCATTTCAAATGAGGTTTTTACAGTGATTTGTGGGACTATTTTGTATAAGAATTTATATTATATAACTTCTATTGACATCTTGTATCATAACATGATTACATTAGTCATAACTATGAAAAACTAAATATCTAAACTACAAATACTAACTAAAGCAAAAGTTCAAAAATATATACGAGATATACAAAAACCAAAAATAAAAGGTAGTATATTGAAAAATCAATTTCACAATCTTCACAAGTTCAGGGTTTTAAGTGAGATCTAGTGCGAGAAATCATGTAAAAATAAAATATTAGGGGTTGGCTTTAATTGTGAAAAATGTAAGCAGAATTTGATAAAATATTTTTTGATTTTTTACAAGAATCTTAAAATGGCAACAAAGATGAGAGAGTGCGAAATAAGTTGAAAATTATTCTTTCAAAAATCATGCCAATAAAAATAACTGAAATATTTGATCAAATATGGAATTTAAGTTGCACTGAAATAAGGTCAGATCTGTTTGACTTTTTAGATATAGTAAAGGTTAATTCATCTCTATTCAATGATTATGACTCAATGGTTTTACTTGCTTTTAATATAAGGCATTAAACTGTACATTACAAAACAACACCAACCTACCTTTTCTTTCCGCTGGGTTTTCCAGGCATCAAGAAGTTTTTGGTATCTCTGCATAGCTTCATCATAGACTAGTTGCATCTCTTCCCTGACTTCTTCAACCTCCTCTTCGATCTCCTGCTTCCATTTTTCTTCATCTCCCTGCTTTCCAACATCTTCCCTACAAGTAAGTATGTAATATGTATGCAATGGAATGAAACTTTAGACTGTCATATTTCTTACTCAAGCATTTCTTCACCATAAATAGATTTTTCATTACAACATGTTTCCTCCGTAGAAAGTCCTGAGGATAAAAGAAATACCAATCAGACTCTTCTGAAAACAAAAAATCTTGCTACTTTTTTTCAAAATGTTGGGATTTATTTTCAAGATCTTTACTTAACATTTAATACTTCTTCAAAGGTAAAATATTGAACGTTCATTTCGGAGTTTCAATTTGGTGACCAAATCTTGTACAAGCTGAAACAATGGACAGAATAGGTTTTCCATCCTGGGTAAATAACAGTGAGATATCATCACATTTCAACACTTTAACCTTTTCAGAAGAAAAAAACAATGTGTAGAACCTTCTTTTGCTTTGTTGCCATAACATACATGTCATTTTCTTTCAACTTCCCTTTTCACAAAATTCCTGATAAATATTAAAGGTGCATGAATCACTGACTAAAAGGTCCACTAAATTTCTGTTAATTCAGTAGATATTTCGACAAATATGGGCAAAAACATGTCACCAAATGAATTTGGATTAATTTAGTAGATTTTAAATCCTTTCAAATTTTTAATGTATTGGGCAAAACATTGTATAAATTGATATTACAAAACTATTATCAATCGTGTTACTAGTGGAAAACTGCATCATTAAATAAAATATCTTGTTGGACTTACTTGCGTATTTGTAACTTGATACTTGTATTTGTGCACCCTTGTGACTGGCGTAAAGTTTTCAACTCTTTCCATGTTGTGATGATATTTTTTATCAAATTTCTGTCTGCTTGTTGTTCATTGTCTCTCCTCTGCCTCATTTCCCTGTAATTATTGTAAAAATAAGATAAACAACAATATATTTCAATAAACCAAATACTATTTCCTGAAAAGATACATAACAAACATACCCATGGAAAAAAGATTAAATGATCAGCCAACCTTATTTCAGTCCTACCTTATTTCAGCCCTACTTTATTTCAACCATATATTATTTCAATCCCACCTTATTTCAGTCCTACCTTATTTCAGCCCAACCTTATTTCAGCCCTACCATATTTCAGCCCAACCTTATTTCAGCCCTACCATATTTCAGCCCTACCTTATTTTAGGCCTACCTTATTTCAGCCTACCTTATATCAGCCCAACCTTATTTCAGTCCCATCTTATTTCAGCCCTACCATATTTCAGCCCCACAAGATTTCAGGCCTACCTTATTTCAGTCCTATAGTCTCTGAGTCTAGCCTCTTGTTCTTGCAAGCCAGTGACTGGTTTATCTTTGGTCTTCATTGTCTTTATGTGCTCCTCAAGATGTTGTGTAGAAATCTTTAAAGCTGTGAGCTGAAACGAGTAAAGAAATGCTATAGAAGATCTGGATGGTCCATGGATTCCACAGAATACTAGGTTGGTTTTACCTTACAATATGATTCAACATGTTTTACTTTCATCCATCCTCTTTCACTGTAGCTGCCTCCATATTTAAAGAATTATTAAAAAAATCATGAATAATGAACCAAAAGTGGTTAAAGAGGTTGGATGGATAAAATGATGAAGGCGAAAAGAAAGAGTAGATTGGTGACTTTCATCTATATTGTGGATGTCAATAGGGAAAGTGAAACACATTTTGAAGGAATCGTTCTAATATTAGGTTCACAAAATGGGGTTGAGATAGAGGTCTATAGGGTGGATGTTGAAAATGACAACACACAACAACCAATCAACATTACACAAATTCAAAGCAAGTACAAATGACGCACGTACATACAAGATGCAATTTCATCTTAGTGATCTTTAGCATTCTGTCTTATTTAGGTGTTCACCATGTTAGCAAAATGATCCAATAATAGAAGAACTGAGAACTGAACCATAATGAATCATAACCTCTGAAGACACAAAGAGGAAAACATAAGAAACACACAAAATTGAAGCACACTATAGTGAGTTAGTTCGTGTAAGTACATAGATGGATTGTACTAGTGTTCTAAACTTTGATGACAATTAAATTATTCATACCAACTTCTCAATCAATATCTCTAACACATACCTTCCCAGAGAAAAACTCTGCCAAGTTTTGCTGATTCCTGGTCAGATATCTCTGGTTGAGGTCGGCAAGACGTGTGGCAAGGATATGTTCGCGGCTAAATAGATGATGGTGTGAGAATGTCAGGGCATTTATGTCAACATCCAACTGGTATTTCCCCTGGCTTTGTGATCTGCCATCTATGAATCTGCTGTCAAACTCCTTTGTAATTGCCTGGAAAAAGAGAGGGAGGGGGTCATACTTCATTTGCAGATAATATTCTACCTTTAATGGTAATTTGTTTAGTTTTACTTCATTTGCAGATTATATTTGGAATTTAACAGTTTGTTTAGTTCTGCTCCAATAGAGGGAAATAAGGAACCTGAAAGACCATTGGGTTAAGCTCTTGTTGCTGATGTTGTGATCATGTGATCTCTCTTTGGGATTGATCATTCTTACCAGTTTTAACTTTCTCATCTTGTCTTCCTGTACTAATTTCTTACTCTTCCTGACAAACTACTATTTTCACAACTTAAATCTTGCACATTTATTATACTGTACATTGCACCAAAGTAATTAAAATTCTCGAAATCCCAAAAATTGAGATGAGTATTAATTGACACTGAAATGACATTAGTGTAACATAAACACTTAATATTTAAGTAGATTTCAATGTTTTTCTAGGTTAGGTATTCTAAGGCTTTTCATCCCTCGAAAGTAACTATGAGTAACATTAAAACATTGATCTAAGGCCTGTATACTTACACAGCTGACACATGACGGTGAGTTTCACTTACTTTTCTATATTCTGTTTCAAAGGCTGGTTCAATTTCTTCGGGAATGAGTGGTCTTGACTGAATAGCTTTGATAGGATTTGGCAGTGCAATCACTCGACCATCCTCCCCAAACCAGTTTTCACCCTAGGAAACAAAAACACATGTTTGAGTCATTTTTATTTTATTTATTTATTTATTTTTTGAGTCATTTTTGATAACATGTAAGTTTATCTAACTGATAATTATTAGCTTTAGCCTCAGTTTTTTCAATAATTATGAAATGAATAAGTATGAACTTGTACACAATAGCGAGGTTTTGCAAGTCGCAACGATTCTTTTACATAGGTAATAAGTATACGCATAAATCTGGTGGATGCGTTACAGATTTGAGATAAATTGGGCTACCAAAAGATGTTTGAAACCTCTCTATTGTAAAAATAAATCTCTAAGATTTCAACTTCTTGCAAATTAAGTTAAATCACAGTCAATTATTTTGTTTAGCTTAATCAAAGTGGTCTACTATCTTTCAATTTACAAAAAAACATTATTTGATCAGTGCTAAAGATACGATGGCAGTATTGTGTATATCTATATCTGGGATGGTATATATTAGTTGTACCTTATTGTCCTGGTGCAGGAGTCTGTCTTCCACTCGATTGACATTACGCTGAGCGACACTTGGCCTCACCCCCACATAGAAACCCTCATCTTCTAGGAACCTGGGGGCTTCCTCATCAAATATCTTCTTCTCTGTGGGAACTTAAGATAAAAATAGGAAATTTTTATTTAATATAACAAAATGAACAAGTCATTAACATGCAAATTTGTCACTACCTGCCATTTGTTACAGATGCTGAATGTCGACTGTGACCCATGAACCATCAAACACTATCCACAAAAAAGTTGGAGACTTCAACAATATTTGTTATACTTGAGGTGGTGACATACATGTATTACCCAATCTGTGCCACACAGCTAACTTTCGGTAATGTTAAAATTGCCAATTTCTCGGTAAACTGAGATAACTTGGGAAATTGCCACAACAGATCGGATAGATACTATGCATAGACACAAAATAAATATGCATCACCAATGTTGACAGAAGGTTTGATGGACCAACAGAAAATAATCTTAGAAACTAACTTGATATCATTGATGGAATAAAATATTTCTTCCCCTCCTCTTCTAGACGTTTATGATTGGCGGTGTAATCTGCTCGACCAATCACAATCTTCCTCCACTCCCCACTGGGATCATCAAAGTCGCTGATCAATGGAGCAGACTCTAAAAATAGACGTATGAGAAAATAAGACTCCATCCTCATATAAATAAAGGTAATGGGATTGAATACTTTTCTTTCAGAGCCCCCTTCAGAACATATTCATAGTGTGAATGATACATTTCAAGAGTCATATAATATCTAAGGACTCAATACCAGTGAATCCAATGGGGGGTCAATTACATTTTCCCCACCTAATAAGACCACAAAATATTGTTTACTGGGAGATTCTAGAATAAAATTGAAGTTGGTGAAAAATATTAAAATTTTTGATTCAATAAAGAAAAATTCACCTTCAGTATCTTCTGTCCTCTCTTCCACCTTCTCGACATCCTTCAATTAAAACACAATGCAGACATGTTTAGAAATAAATAAACTAATGATCTTTGTGCTAGCTTAATATTATGTTGTTGAAAAGAAAATGAGGCATGAACTATAAGACACAATGTTCGGTTCATCTCAAACATTTACATTGTAAGAATTGTAAGTACTTTGGTAAAAACAATAATTCGTGAAGCCTGGTGTGGCTTGTTACTTGGCAAGTTTGGTGATTATAAAAACTGATCAATGGTGGAAATGTGGCTGCTATAAAATCAACTTGGCCAGGATAACATCCAAGTTACTTGCCAAGCTAGCTACTGTGAGTCAATACTGGATTATGAGAAAGGTATGCTCAGATGTTGTATTAATTGGAAAGATAAAACACTGCCCCCAGGATTCCGTGTTTGCAGAGCGCGGACGGAATTTGCCTCTGCCCGCGGAATTGCAGAATCAACTATTTTGGTCAATTTCCGCGGAATTTTCCGCAGAATCCATATATTTTCCAAAAGTTTAAAAAGTCAGTCTTACCTGTAACAATTTGACACGTTTTCAGTCAAATCCCTTGCAGAAATAACCCAAATTATGCGAAGTGAAAATTCTAAACGCCATCGTTTGATTTCTGCCGTTAGATGGCAGCATGTATGTAGTGACTGAGTAGTGACTGACTACCTGACTATCACGATATTTTCCCGTTTACTGGTTCGAAAACCATTAATATCCGCGGAATTTCTGCAGAATTAGCCCTTTCTTCTTGCAGAATTCACTAATTTCACTTGCAGAATTGAGCATTTTAACTTGCAGAAAACTGGGGGGAGTGATATAAGAACACACTGTTCAGGCTACAGGGTTCCACAAAGAATGTTTCACCCTGTATACTCTACCATTGTTACTCTCACCTTATCTTTGTCAACTAGTGGCTCACCCTCCTCAGCATTCTCCCCACTTGTGCCTGGCTGTGGCTCTTCCTCCTTCTTTACTTCCTTCTTGGGCTGTTCTGGTTTCTCATCATCCTCCCCATCATCAGCATCCCAGTTAGAGGTAAAGAAGTTGTAGCTTTCATCTTTTGTGGGGAATATGCTCTGTAAATTAATCAGCAAATAGTTTTTAGAATATAGGATGGGGTTCACATGACATTGAATTCAAAGATGAAGAGAGAATCTATGCTTTTAATTCATTCTCCTTTGAAAAGTTTCAGGCTGGACCAATGTTTTAAAAAACTAAAAAGCAATATTAAACAGACTACTCATATTCAAACAAAATGCCTAATAACTGTAACAAAATAAGCTGAATAAAAAAATATTAAAACAGCCATGAATGAATATTCAAAAATTATACTAAAAATATTCAACAATAAAATTAGTCGAATTTATCTGATGATATATCGACAAAGCTTTATATGTAACTCCTTGAAGAATGAATATACATTGAGATATGCAAAGATAAACATCATACATTAATCTAGTCTTGAACCAGGTTCTTTTGTAATATTCCAATATGCATCACCCTCTCTATATTCTCTAGCTTAGCAAAGAAATATTGTGTATTTGTATACGTCTCTGGGGGATGGAGGGGGTTAAGAGGGGGTAGAGTAGGAGCAGAGGGAGGGGTTGAAGTGAGAGATGGAATGGGGTGGAGTAGGAGTAGAGTGGTTGAAGGGGGTGGAGTAGGAGCAGAGGGGTGGAAGGGAATATAGTAGGAGCAGAGGGATGGAAGGGGGTAGAGTAGGAGCAGAGGAAGAGTTTGAAGTGGGAGATGAAAGGGGGTGGAGTAGGAGCAGAGGGGTGGAAGGGGGTGGAGTAGGAGCAGAAGGGGAGAGGGACTAGAAGGGGGTGGAGTAGGAGCAGAACGGGTGAGGGACTAGAAGGGGGTGGAGTAGGAGCAGAGGGGTGGAAGGGGGTGGAGTAGGAGCAGAAGGGGAGAGGGACTAGAAGGGGGTGGAGTAGGAGCAGAATGAGTGAGGGACTAGAAGGGGGTGGAGTAGGAGCAGAGGGGTGGAAGGGGGTGGAGTAGGAGCAGAAGGGGAGAGGGACTAGAAGGGGGTGGAGTAGGAGCAGAACGGGAGAGGGACTAGAAGGGGGTGGAGTATGAGCAGAGACTTGATACAAGACTACTGTAACTTTATTCCTACCTTGACAACCAATGTGGAATCTTTCACCTACAATGTATACAACAACAACGCAATTAAACAAGCCCCTAAGACTAAAAGCACTATTATATATCTTTCTAATAAAATTGAATGAAAAAGTGCTATACAAGCATTTAAATCAAATTGCTACATCAATTTGTGCTGCTCTGTTGAAATATATATATAACTAGCTCTAGTACAGTGTATCGTATATCACACAGTTAAAAGTGACTCTGATTTAAAACTACATACTAAACTAAAACTCAGAAATTGAGGGTTTTAATTAAGAATATGATGCCAATGGGAAGATGGTGTCAATACTATAAGTTATTGAATAATTTGAAGTGCAATACAGGATATATTCTGCTCGAGAAATTCTGTATTGGAACGAGATGAAGCCGAGTGCCAATACAGAATACTGAGACAGAATGTATCCTGTATTGCACTTCAAATCATTCTATAAAGTTTTTATCGTGTGATCCTCTGTATTGCTACTGAGAATGTCCCCTCCATACCAATATTTTCTGTATTGCGATGGAGATGATCAATGCGGACAATCTCAGTAGCAATACAGATTGGCACAGCACAAGAACTGACCAATCAGAGTGCTTCATTTTACAGATCATACGATAAAGAAAAATTATATGTATTTAGTAAACAATGATGTTAATGCAGAATTTGAACAGAAAATGAAGTTACGACAGGAATTTATGTCAAAACATGATGTCAATACAGAAGACTATGTCAATGCAGAGGGAGATATAAATAGACCAATGATGTAAGCACACAAGCAAACACACATGAAAATGATGTCATCAATAACAAAGATGTAAACACAAATGAAAATGTTAACATAGAAAATGATGTCAACACAGATAACCTGTCACTGTTGTACCTTGGAGGTGACTTTGTCAGCAGCCTTCTTCCACTTAACCCTGTTATTCATAGACTTTTCCAGCATCTTCTCTGCTTCAACCTCATCCTTGGTTAACTAAGAATTAAAATCAAATATACAATCAGATATATTTTCCATTGAGTTGAAGATTGAATAATTTTTTGCTTATTATTGGGACAATTCTATTTTTTGGACTCTGTAGTTATAGAAATGACGACATTAAAATCCCAATAGTTAAAAAAATGCAGGCCCAAAGCCATGGGGGGGGGGGCATCTTTCAAAATCATGCAGTTTTTCACCATTCTGAGCACTTGTGTCTCAAGTGATTTTAGGCCAAAGTTGTCAAAAGTAAATCCCCCTGGAAATTCTTGGCAAAAGCTGGCTACGGCCAGAAAAGTCATGCAACGTTAGCACTATGTGTGCTTAAACGATATCATCACTAATTTAACTCATAAAAAATAATATGATGAAATGGATTCAAAGTACAATCAACAAAAGTTAAGTAAATAGTGAAAATGAGATCTGAAGACATTGAAATACAACGAACATTACAAATAAAGCAGGACAAAATATATCAGACATTGGAGACTTCATAAACTTCCATTTGGATATACTGCGAACAGACATATAGTGTTTACAACAAATGCTAGTTTGTTTTTAAAACATATTTCTAGTATAAACTATACAAAAAGTACATGTATACATAGAATTGTCGAGTATTTTACCATCTGAAATCTCCTTCGCTGCAAACAATGTAAGATAGCGTTCAACAGGCACATGCTTTAGTACCAATGTGCTCCACGAATAATTGTTTATAAGTTTACAAGTTAATAACTGTTTTATAGTAAGAACCTTTTAAATCATCAACATAATAATCTAATTAATTAGAACTTAACAAACCTCAAAAAATGGTCTCCTACATTTCATGATTTATAGTGTAAAATGATAATTATGGTACTTTCCAAAGTACATATAGTCCATTTTACAAATTGAGCATAGGTGAAGATGAACTAAATGATAATAAAAACAGAGTAGAGCTCACCTCTGTGGGATCATCAAAGCGTGTATGTATGGGGGCATCAAGTCTATCACGTAGCCGACCTCTGCCAGTCTGAACTTTGTCTTTCTCTGCCTCTTCAGCTTCTTCCTACATGTTACAATAATCAAATATTATTGTATATTACATGGTACAATAACCAGCATTATTTTGTCTTACATGGTACAATAACCAGCATTATTGTATCTTACATGGTACAATGACCGGCATTATTGTGTCTTACATGGTACAATAACCAGCATTATTGTATCTTACATGGTACAATGACCAGCATTATTGTATCTTACATGGTATAATAACCAGCATTATTGTATCTTACATGGTACAATAACCAGTATTATTGCATCTTACATGGTATAATAACAAATTTTATCATACATGGTGCAATATCAAGACATTTCTGTTCCAATCATGGTTTGAATGTATATTTCAAAAAAAATGTGAGCTTTCCACCCCTCATCCAACAAAAAAAATATTTTACCATATTTCTCATTTATTTGGAGTTTGAACAAAATAGATTTACTCTACCTTGGCAGATGCCATCTTTAGTTTGAGCTTTTCACGCAATGTAAGCTTGAGATCTTTTCCTCCTTTTGGAACAGGGCTCTCAGTAGACCCTGGAATGCATACATCTACTTTAGGCTTGGATAATACATGTATGTATGTATGTACATACTCATGTTCAGGTTAAATGTACATGAAGTGTGCAATTATACTATAGTTTTTCATTATTTGTATTTTGTTTATTGAATGAAGGCAATAGTCTGGTTGAATGATAAATTCACTACACAATGAAAACTGTCGAGTAGAACCTCTGAGTATTGGTCCAAATATTCCACTTAAACAGGTTTTGGTTGATGTAATAGTAAATTCTATCTAAGTATTTTGTGTTAAGCAGAAGATGTTCATAATATATTGACTAACCTCTACTTTCTTGCTTCCTCTCTCTTGGTGTAGGAGGCTTATCGGACTTGCTTGGTTTAACAGCTTTTCGTGGAGTTTCACCATCTTCAATGTCACCATTGACAGCTACAACAGCTGTTTCTAATGAAAGTTCAATTCCAAAATTATTAAACAGGCAATCACCAAACTCATTTAATTACTCAAAGAATAAGAATCATTTGATTACACACTAAACTATACAAACAGGGCACCAAGAATCAAAGTTGTAATGTGTCTCTCAAAATATATAAGGCGGCTTAGCCTCATTAGATACAAACAGGGCACCAAGAATCAAGTTGTAATGTGTCTCTCAAAATATATAAGGGAGCTTAGCCTCATTAAATACAAACAGGGCACCAAGAATCAAAGTTGTAATGTGTCTCTCAAAATATATAAGGGAGCTTAGCCTCATTAAATACAAACAGGGCACCAAGAATCAAAGTTGTAATGCGTCTCTCAAAATATATAAGGGAGCTTAGCCTCATTAGATACAAACAGGGCACCAAGAATCAAAGTTGTAATGTGTCTCTCAAAATATATAAGGGAGCTTAGCCTCATTAGATACAAACAGGGCACCAAGAATCAAAGTTGTAATGTGTCTCTCAAAATATATAAGGGAGCTTAGCCTCATTAAATACAAACAGGGCACCAAGAATCAAAGTTGTAATGTGTCTCTCAAAGTATATACTGGAGCTTAGCCTCAATAGATATAATTTTCACTGCTTCACTGCAGTTTCCTGAGGTGTTTTTAATTCATGCTAGATTCATCGAATACACTTAAACAGCATTTTGCCTTTTTCAATTTACCTTCATCCTCTATAACCTCAATGACTCCATCATCATCATTGTCTTCCTCATCTTCGTGATCGACATCATCCTCATCTTCGTCTTCACCACCTGACAACTTCTGAGCTTCTAGAATTTTCTGTCTACTTCTTTTCTTCGCATCGCGCATTTGTCCCTTGAAGTTCCCACCATCTGAGGCCAGCTCCTTTGTCAACTGTGGCAGAATAGCAGTATCAAAATTAAAAATGGATTACTTAATGATTAAGTATAGTCATGTTTCAAAACATATCTAAGTTTTTCACTTGCATTAAAGAAGTAATCATAGGACAAGGGCTTCAATAGAAGCAAACAGTTTTTAGTGATTTGTTGTTTAATTCTTTATCATTGTATCCTTTTCACCTGTTTTTGTTTGTCCTTTCTCCGCATAGTTAAGTTCTGCATCAAGGTCTCCGCTTCTCGGACCTCATCAAGCATCTAAAAAATCATAAGGAATGAAAATTGCTGTTTGTCATTCATACAAATTATACATCTATATGGTCTTATTAGTTCTAAGTGCTTTCTTTTCACATCTAGACATTAAGATTTCATGTAATAAACAATTAGATTATCCCCCAAACATTCCTACAGCAGGCATCAACATGCAAAATGTCACCAACTACCATTTGTTACACACAAAAAACACCATCCACTGAACACCAACCACCAATATCATCCACAAAAAAGCTGGAGAACATAACAACCTATGGTTGTGACATAATAACAGCAAATAACATGTAAATTTTTGAAAATTCTATGAGAATATTAGATTTGTGTTAAGTCCAATGATGCAGATTACATACCTCAGCATTCTGCTCTTGGCCAGTCATTGTTGTCATTTCCATCGCATCTTCTTCCATTGCAGCTGCCTACAAGCATGGTAATATGTCACATAGAAAAAATGTTATATAGGCCTCTTATATTAGGGAGCATATCAAAAGATCGATATTGGAAAAATAACTGTATTTACACAGTTAGGGAGGAGGGGGTCATTGGCCTAAAAAGTTAGCTTTCCGACATTGTTCCCGGGAATTCAATTAGTGATGCTAATTTCGTCCAGTACACTTCCGGTACGAAAAATTAAAGAAAAATGTAATCAAAACGGGAACATTTTTCTTTTTCATCGAGAGAGATTCCATCACTTTCAAGATGGCGGTTGGATTTTAAAGGGGATTCCCCGTTTGACTGGCTTGGAAGTGGCCCGGAAGTACCAATAAATGGAGGAATTTGATGGTTGAAATAAGTTAAATATTACACGGAAATATTGAGATCAAAAGCAAAAATATCTTCATTCTGTCGATAAACCCAGACAATTGTGGATTCAACTACACGAAAAAGATGATAAAATACCAAGGAATCTATTGAAGTAGGTATCTAAGTGTAAGAAGCGTAGAAAATTCTCCCATGTTGTAATCGTACAGGCAAAAGATTGAGACGCTCTCAAGACTATAGTCATGGCACCGGATAAAAGATAAATACCTCTTACTATGGCATATCCAATTTCTCAAACCAACAATAACTAATTGTTTATATCTAATAATATCGACAAATTCAGAGTCCAAAGGGGCTAATATAATCAATGAGCCAAAGATATATTTGTTCATCAGGTAGTTACAACTAAGTTTTAGAATCATGTGAAAAGTGAATAACGTGAGTTCTTACCCATGTATCATTCTTTGAGCGGCTGCTTCTCGGTGTGCGTTCATTATCACTTTGATCATGGTTAACTAAACTTTCTTTCAAGTCCCTACGCCGTTGTCGAATTTTCTCTGATAATGTTGCCATTTCAGGGTAAGCAATCTATTACATAGCTGACATTAATGATTTTTAATTCAGGTGATTTGGGTTATCACTTATTTTTGTGTATAAAAAGTAAATTGAATGGGCGATAATATGTTTGTTTACATTGATCACCGCCATTTCACGCACATGTAAGAACAAATTTTGTAGATTTATATGTCCCAGATTGTGAAGGAGTACTTCCGATTGAAGGTAGACATAATAACTCCAGCTCTTTATTTACTAAAAGTGTTACTTTCACCATTTTTGCACCAAAATTTGGGTATTTTTAAAAAAATGGCGCTGGAATTTTAGTCTTCCCACAATGCATCATTTTCAGGAGCATTACTTGTTTTCATTTTTTCAAACCATTACTAACCGTTTTATATATTTTTATTCTTATTCATGCAAGTTATACAGAACACCATAGCATTGTGGTATAATAATCATAATGAATAGACTAGCAGTTATTTGAAATAAAGCCTAATTTGAAAGTCAAGAAAATAATGCTCCCAGCATCCAAAAAGGATGGCACTTTTCATCAGGTAAATTTTGACTTCTTTTTATCTGATATCTGTGTAGACATGATATTTTACTTTAATTATGGTATTGTTTTTGATAAATCGATTCATTGCTAAAATTATTGGCTGTGACGGAGCACTTGATTTTGCATGTTTGCACTCCTTCAAACAGGAAGTTCAAGTCCCTGATATTTTTTTCAATATTTTTTGATGCTAGGCCTAGATCTAGTGCATCTTATCGAGGACCACTTTAGATTGTGGTCGTACGCGCGAATCATTGGTCAGTCAATGTTTTTACAAAGTTGGAGAAAATACTACGCATTGCACACCTAAATGACCTACCTCGATACATTCCTTAGTATTTTAGAATTCTTTTTATGTAGTTGAATCGTCAATTGTATGGGTTAATCGGCAGAACGAAGAGGTTTTCGTTTTTGATAGCAATATTTGCGTGTAATATTTAACTTATTTCAACTGTCAAATTCCTCCATTCAGTTCCCCAGTACTGTCAACCCCTAAAGATTTTCTCGCGGGACAGATTTTTTAGACCCAGTGCCCAAAATTCGCGGGATTTTGCGGGACATCTACTAAATTCGCGGGATTTTGCGGGACATTTAAGGGATTTGCGTGATTGCGCTAATAGGAGATTTTTTTTATCAAATTCGCGGGATTTCGCGGGACCATTCGAGGGACAAACACCCTAATTGCGGGACAGTTAACAGGTGTACCACCAAAAACTTCATAGAGGGACAGATTTTTTAGACAAAGTGCCCTAAATTTGCGGGATTTTGCGGGACATCCACCTAAATTTGCAGGATGTCCCGGGACATTCAAGGGATTTGCGTGATTGGGACTAATGTAAAAGCGTGTAGAAGTACTTAAATCAAATTTTCAGATACTGATTAATCAAATATAATGCACCGTTACATTGTAACTTAAATAAACGTCAACACAATTTCACAAAATACGCATAGGAATATTATTAAACTTTATTGTAATTTATCAAAAACAAAAACCATGCTTCAGGTGTGATTACCGTAATCTAACACGAAATTCAAAAATTCGGAACAATACTTTGCACTTCTGGCGTCGTGACCAACTATGAAACGCTTACCCCCATAATGTTATATATTAAAATGTACCTATTCATATACTGTAGGCATGGGCTTTCAATTGAAAGCCCATGATATAGGGGTTCGATTAATCTACATCAAATTATAGGGAATGAGGTTAATTTTCTAGATAGGGTTTGTATAAAAAACCTGGTACCGGGTAGTAAATCCTCCATGCTGGGTTCAAACTTGGTACCCGGTCGAAAAAAAACCAAAAAACGAAATATACGAATACACAACATAATTAGATCATCAGAAAACGTGTAAGATGTTTTGAATTTACAAAAATGTATGTAACTTCCTTCAAAATTGAGCTAGAAGCTTCAAATAAAAAGCATTTTAAGGCTCTTTTCTTCCTCTATCATCTTGGTCATATTTCCATTGGTAATGAAGGGGGGGGGGGGGTGCGATCGCACCCCCTCCTGGCTACGCCAATGACATTGTAAGACGATTTGAAAAACAAGACAAATCAATCTTACTCTATTTTCAATAGTTCGTATGTTGGTACGTGAATTGTTTTGATTATGATTTAAATCTGTAAATAGCTATCGTTGCTTTAGCAGAGAGGTGACGTGTGTTAATTTGCATGATGCAACGTGTAAGATTTTGATTATTAATCATAATTTAAGTTATCCCAATTTATGACAAAATGTCCACTGAATTGTAAATTGTTATGTCTTACAATGTCATAGGCGTAGCCAGGAGAGGGTGCGATGGTGCGATCGCACACCCCCCCCCCCATAACCAATGAAAATATGGCCATAACGATAGAGGAAGAAAAGTGCCTTAAAATATGCTTTTTATTTGAAGCTTCTAGCTCAATTTTGAATCATGTTACATACATTTTTGCAAATTCAAAACAAATCTTACACGTTTTCTCATAATCTAATTATGTTATATATTCGTATTTTTCGTTTTTTGGGTACCCGTTTTTTTTGACCGGGTACCGGGTACCAAGTTTGAACCCGGCATGGAGGATTTACTACCCGGTACCCGGTTTTTTATACAAACCCTTTCTAGATATCAGCGTACATTTATTGTAACTCGCGTTTGCTAACATTTGCTCAGTTCTGAGATGAAGGCCACACGGGTAGTAAAAAGGCCAACGTTGGAACTATTTGTGACCTACATCCCTATTTTCGTAATTAAAATGAAAGTTGAACCCTTCCCCTTTATTTTGATACCAAACAACAGCATGCTAGGTACTTAAAATTAGGTAAACTTTACTCCTCAAAAGTGCAAAAACTTAGCTTCTTATATAAGATAAGATAATCAAAATATAGGGGATTGCAACAATTTCGGAAATTCGCGGAGGTCAAAGCCACATTTTGCGGGACTTCGCGGGACAATGCGGGACACGCAAATTAGCCTAATTTTGATCAAATTCGCGGGATAATCCCGCCATTCGCGGGACACTTGACAGCTCTGGTTCCCGGCATGCACCAGTCATAAGGGAAATCCCTGGGGAATTCCCCTTCCGACATTTTGAAAATTGCTGACATATTTCCGATGTAAAAACTAAAATCTTTGATTGACCTGAAGATTAGTGTCGCTTCATTTGCAAGAAGATGGATCAGATGACAGTAGTGACGCGCTATCTGGCAGTGACAGTGATGATTGAATTTCTTGATTTTCAGTCTTTAGGCATGAACTAAACTAACGTAGCATGGGAGCTGCTTGTGCACTGATTCAACAAGTTAAACTTAGTCTGAGCCTTATTTCATATCTGATATCTTTTCAGCCTTTGGCTTGGTCTTCCAAGCATATTCCAGTGTCTATTTCATCATATTTGAGACCCATGTTCTACCAAAGGCACTTCAGTGATTTTCTTCAAAGTCACCTACAATGCACCTGTATAATGCAGAACAATATGTTTTTGATGAGTATAAAAACTCTTGAGGGTTTATTTCTGAGAAAATAATTGTTTTAAATAGCGATTTATTGTATATGTGTTCTTTTATCTCAATCAGATTTAGAATACTACAGAACTCCATGATTAGAACATTTAGGATATGAAAAAAACAGAAATCCTTATAGGTCTTCTAGAATGGATTCTAAAACCTTGCTAAAAAAAAGTGACACATATTACCAAACAGGGCTGTCAACTTGGGACCATCTAACATGAGTGACTTCCAAATGTTGAACACCTTCCTTCAAACTTTGGACAGCTTCAGTGAACACTGGCAGATTTTGGACACCTAAAATTTTTCCAGCTCGCTGACGCTCGCTATTCAAGTCCGTCAAGAGGGGGGGGGGGGGGTAGGTGTAAATATTTTGGAAACAAATGCGTGATATATACACATGCTTTGTACCAAATGCGTGACATAAACGGCAATCGCGTGCAAAGACCGAACGGAATGCGTTCGCTTTTTTTCGCCGTTCGGTATTTTACTGTGTCTGCATTTCACAAAAAACGATTTTTAAAAATTTCAACAAAATGCGTGCTTTGCGTGATATTTGATCATACACGCTTAATTGATGCGTGATTTCTATTTTTCCAGCAAATGGGTGACAATCACGCCTAATGCGTGAGGGTTGACAGGGCAGTACCAAAGCACATTCTTGTTAATCAAATTAAATGATTATCTTCTCAAAAATGATGCAAAGTTCCATCTCAAAGTCTTTACCACAGATCAAGAATATATTGAACAACAGTTTAGGTAAATTTGATATGAATCGCTGCAGTGCCTTTGGTAGAACATGTGTCTCAAACATGATGAATTTGACACTCTGCAATTTTCAGACGAGTACTAATAGGTAGCGAATGGGTGTCAGAAAATGTGGTACAGGGAAGTCTAAACGTTAACGGATTTGGCTGAAATTTTTTGTGCTTGGATATGACTATCAGGACAGGAGACCAGTTGGGCAAAAAAGAGCTTGATTTATAGAAAAAAGTCCAAAAATTGAAATTCCCTAAATTGCACTTCAGTGGCAGATCTGAAAGCTAACAAGGGGAGGGACACATTTCAAGGTAGAAAAGAGTAACAAAATATTAAAGACATGAACTATGGATCACTGTTAATGAATGTTATATCTTGTTGCAGATCTGTGAGCAGAAAGTGTCTGCTAACAACGAGGCCTGAGACGAATATTGTATCTTGTTGCTACAACTCAAATCGTGCCAGCGTAACACGCATCCATCGCTATCTTTATCCTCGTATGTACCCAACTGTCCTTGTCCAGTCAGATGGTTCAACAATAACTGTCCGGTACAAGGAGCCAAGAAAAATTATCCAGGTATTGTGAAACTACATAATGATCACACTCAATATTCTATGTTATATGCCTTTTTCTAAAAAGTCTATTACTTCTGACTTTTTCATGTTAATCCTTTGATTTGAAACATTATCTGGTACAAATTGAAAAATAGGCTTTTTCAGCTCTAATATTCTTATGAATTTGGACATTTCAGTAACTTAATGCGCAATAACTTTGATCAAATATGGAATTAAATTAGAAATGCAAGGAAAAATACTCATTATTAAATTCTAACCATGATAAACTGGGTGTTTTATGTTGTCAGAGATTCATAATATGCAATTTTTGATGACCTTGACTTAAAAATGTTAACTCAACTAATATTGACCCACATAAACATAGAACTTCATCTGACTTCTATCTTGCTTTTTAATTTGTGCCAAGTCAAATGTTTTGGGAAAAATAGTGATCTTAGACTTTATGCTTTGGCCAAGAGAATGAAAGCCTAAATGAAACATATATTTTATATTTGGGCATAGGTTTCTCAGATATTTAATATTGTATAATATGGTTAATTATAATTCTGTAATTCACATTTATATTGTAGTTGCCATTGGACCTATCCAAGCTGACAGAGGCTGAGAGAGTTGCACGAGTAAATAGACGTAAACCTAAGAAAAAACTCATCATAGACCAAGAAATTGACACTAGCTTCGATGCCAATAAATACCTTAATCTAGGAAAATCAAAGAAGTAAAGAAAACATTGATACTGAAGACCTTCTTTTATAACTTAACCTAAACTCTAATTTGTGAACAATTACCTATAACTGATATGAAAACTATCAAAATGGCGACTAATGACTTAAAAGTTCCACCAAAAATAAAGTGCATCTTATTTAGCGAGTTCCACCCCATAACGGGCCCTAAGATCACATATCAGGTGCCGCAGGATTATATTACAAAGGAAGAATTTGACATGTTACACGTGTATATAATAACTAAACCAGATCTACAAAGCAAGGTGATAACTATCAATGCACTTGGACATAAAATTCTCGGCTGCCCCGTTTGCATTGAGAATAGGAAATATAAGAGGAATGCATTGATTTTCAACTTGTGTTTTGTGTTTGATGCTTTGGCTGATACAACTTGTTACGAAGGAGTTGTAAAAAAACTGGCTGAGTATATGACAAGGTTGGAGCTTGAGAGTGGATTCTTATCACAAAAAGGGAGCAGGTCTTTGCTCCCAGAGCTCCTTACCAGTGGGCTGAGAGATGTCAACGAGAACGGCACTTGTAGTATCCCCATTAACCAATCAACAACCATTCGGCTGAAGGTCATCCCATGCCGTACTGATCCCGAACCAGTGCAAGGTCACAATGTGCCAATTTTCATCATTGATAAATCATCACTGCCGATTTCTCAATGGGATTTGACCACCCAGCAGTTGCTACCATACATCGATGGATTCTTACATGTTAGCAGGATTGCTGCGGAGGCTGATATTGATATCAACATCGTGAAACTGTGTGTCCAGAACATGCTACAGCAAAGAGTCGTAACCCTCATATCTATCTTCCAATACAGTAATGTCTACACTGATACGCCATCTATAAATATCCTCACGGAGAATATGGATATTCAGAATGAGGCTCTTAAGTTTGTCGTCAAGCAAGGTTCTGCACTCCCAGAATTCAAAGATGTGTTTGTGTTGTATTGTGGTTTGAATCCTGGTATTACTGTGAGAGACTTATGTGCTAGACATAACCCACATACACTTAGAGTTGATGAGCGGAAATTGATCCAGTTTGGTCTCATAAAGGGATTCATTCGAAGAATGCATAAATATCCAATCAAACTTCCCCATGGTGCGGGGTCTCAAAGGTTGCGCCACCTATATAAGTGGTTTGATGGGCGGCATTGTTACGATGAGATATGTTGTGAAGAGGGTATGTCGTATCAGGAACTTGATGATAAAATAGAGAATGATCCTAGTCTTATTGTACTATGGAAGTAGGCTTATTGTACTACGGAAGAAAGTTTTATTGTACAATGGAAATTGTAAATGGTCTCATTCTGAGTAAACTCTGTCAAAATTAAATGTAGACCTTAGTTTTAATCCACTGTTTTATTGTACCATTGATATCATACATTCTAAAAACTGCCAATCCAGTTTAAACTCAGATCTTAGATTTCCTATACCAAAATCTCATCTCTCTCATCAAAGTTTCAAAAGCATTTGCTCTCTTTTATATTAAATAACCTTTTCAGAATTTGAAATTAGTTATTCCATTTTTCATTTCATTCAATGATCAAGATTTTTGGGTAGGCTGTTTTCCACTTTGATTTATTAAATTTGAATAGTTGTATCATAAATAAACTGAAGTCAAATGTGATTGTGTAAGAATTTAAAAAATGTAGAATCATTTTTTGTGTGAAGAAATAAAATGTAATTTTCAAATATACACTAAACTATAAGTTATGTTGATATATTTAGCAGTGATCTCCCCAGGATTTTTTCTCAGGTGGGTGCAAAATTCCCATTTTCACAATTCAGATAAAATTTGGTCAAAATTTGCCAATTTTTCATGATTCTCATTTTCAAATGGGAGCAAATGGATTTTCAGGAGGGTGAAAGCCTATTTCCAAAATCTCAGGTGGGTGCTGTGCCCACTTGCTTTAATGCTAGGGAGATCACTGTGTACTGTATAAGTGAAGTCATCCATCTGTCTGTTTCTCTTCAAAATGATCAAATTAAGGTCTTTTTTCAACTTGCTTCAGATTAAATTCTTGCTTCAATTTTTTTTTCAAAATCATCTACAGTTCTCAGAAGTTCAAATTTGATTTTTAGACTTAGGACTTGACCTTCAATGACCTTCTCAAGGTCAAAAAGTTATTTTATCAACATTTTTCAAAATCATCTACAAGTTCTCTGAAGTTCAAGTCTGACTTATAGATCGAGCTCATAATATTGTGAACAATTAGGTGGTGATATTTTGTTGTGTCAATTGCCCCGTCTAATTTAAAATGAGCCATTAAAAATGTAAAATTGCAGTACTCCCCTATTAGACCATTAATGTTAAGGGAAGGGAGGGTACAACAAAGGATAGTACATGTACTTAATTTACACATGAAAGATGATATTTGAGATTTTAGTATAAAATCCACAGGAATTGGAATACATTGTTGGTAATGGACATCAAACTGCCCATAAAAAGCAACAAGAACAATTTTATATCTATAAATATTAATAATTTTATTAGCACAATAAGAATCAAACATCTACAAGTTTCCATTGAGAAATAAAAAGTTTCCATTGCATGAAGGCACAGGACCCCCTCATATCTGTTTCAATTCCAGAGTTGAGGTGCGTGTCAGAAGAGGGGTAAGAGACTTCTAATGATGTAAATACCTGATAATATGATAAATATTTACAAACATACATAAATTAGAATTTATAAGAATTGAATTTGAAACCTTCATATATTGAGAAAAAGTGAATAGTAAAAAAATAATAGCATTATACATGTACAATAACAACTTCATTCTTCACAAAAGCAAAGACATAAATGAGTATTCATAGGCGTAGCGCCTGGTACGCTGGGTACGCAGAGGCGTACCAGATGGTTGCAAAGTTGCTCCAAATACAACCAAATTTCAAAATTTTCCTGGACCCCAGACCCCCCCAAATGCTCGTTTTTGGCTTCGCTCAAATCTTGTTCCCGCGGTGGCGTACTACTTAGAAATATAGAGCTACGCCCATGGTATTAAATGCATATTCGATTGCCAGGTGTAGACAAAGCACCACTAGTGTCACCTATACAAATATAGAATTCATGGATTCAATTCCTCATGGTGTTAGCACATCAAGTGCAGGTCTACAATATCTTGAATATCATTTTGTTCTTTCCACAATGTGCTTATTAATTTCAAAATGTTTAATTGCAACTAGTGTGGAAGATGGTATCAAATGGAATTCATAAATCAAGAAATTTTAACAAATTGCAAGTGCATCACATGTATGAGTGATATACCACAGTTTACTATGACTAAATGACTGTGTACTAAACCAATATATTATGTGACAAAATGACATTACAATATAAACAGATGCATTGTTGTATCCATGGTAACTTATATCAGAAATGTTCTGTTTGTTAATTTGGAGGCATTCGAAAATGTATCAATCTAAATTAACTGGTTGATATAATTTATTTTACATAATTAAAAGTGAAATCTTAAATATTTCATTTTCAGACCCGTGATTCCATACAGAGTGAACTGTACACTACTTTTCTCATTTCAGACGCAATACAGTTCTTGTGATCTCTCAATACAGACTATGTACTTGTGACCTCACAATACAGACTATGTACTTGTGACCTCGCAATACAGATTATGTACTTGTGACCTCGCAATACAGACTATGTATTTGTGACCTCGCAATACAGACTATGTATTTGTGACCTCACAATACAGATTATGTACTTGTGATCTCACAATACAGACTATGTACTTGTGACCTCGCAATACAGACTATGTACTTGTGACCTCACAATACAGATTATGTACTTGTGATCTCACAATACAGACTATGTACTTGTGACCTCGCAATACAGACTATGTACTTGTGACCTCGCAATACAGATTATGTACTTGTGATCTCACAATACAGACTATGTACTTGTGACCTCACAATACAGACTATGTACTTGTGACTTTAAAATACAGATAATGTTCTTGCGATCACAATACAGGCCATGTTGTGATTTCATAATACACTTACAAGACTTATGACCTCACAAAATAAACTGCAAATGTGTTCTCAGATACATACTGGATCTAAACCCTGATTTCACCTTATGATAAACATTGTTGGTGTGGCCGTGAATATGTTTTTCAAATGAAGAAGAGTGATTGTATACTGGAACAATGTACAGAGATCTTTGGCAGCTGATAGCACATCTAACTTGAGATAACCACATCAAAATGTGTGGTTATGGCTACAGTGACTTAATTGAGAAATTGAGTTCTTGCCCGCCTTGGGGACTGGTCCATGGCACTTTTATACATATCTGAGTAAACTTTCACCATATTGTCATTGAAGAGTTGTCTATGGGACTTGCCCGTGTAGTCTGCAGCCCTTGCACTCCAGTAGGAGTTGTCATCTAGGTGCACAAGACTGGAAAATACAGAATTAAAATATGATATCCAAATATATTATGCTTGACATATCCAAATTATTGAAACTTACTCGCTACGTTTCAATGAACATCTTCTTCAGGCACTTAATAATAGATTTACATTGTTGAAAAATTTTATCTTATTAAAAACTGTGAGATATATAGAGAAACTGGAGTGAGGTTTAACAAAGTATTTTCATTCAAATAAAGAGAACTGATTGTAATTATAATGCAGCACACATATTAATAAAAATTGATGTATTTTCATTCTGATATACATTTTAAAATACATTTATTAGTAAATAAAAATTAAAACTGAAGTTTGTGGTATATTAGTTTGCAGTATGCGGTGATAAAAAATATGAATAAAGACAATGTCAAATTTCAATCTCATTACTTATGTCATGTCGCTAGTTAAAGGGGCAATAAGGACTGTAGAGAAAATAGGAAAGTTTTTTCATTTTTTCTGAGCTATCAAGGCAACATTTGGTTTAACATCTTCTTTGACATATCTATTTTCTTAAAATGTATGGATAAATGATCAATTTCAGCATTAAGAAGTATAAATTCAGTTCAAAGCTTCAAAAAGGGGACTTCCACTTTTATATTTTTAAGATCCACCATGTTTCAAAAGGAATATGAGCTAAAATAATGTTTATCTAGGGGGTTTCTTTGTAGATAATAAAAATAGATGTTAGTCTTGATGAAATATCAAAACTTATTTTGACACTGGTCCATGATCGTTGAATGGCCCCTCTGCACTAATTATTGCACCTTTAACATTGACATGTATTATGAATGGAAACTAGAACTAGAGGAAGGTACAAGCACATGCACAATGCTTCTTTTTATTTGAAAATTTTGATTCCATATTTGATTTTTACACAAATGTATTAAAGGAAAACCCACCACAGGTTAATATAGAATTGAAGCATATGTCAGCCTATGATTTTTAAGTAAGATTGTACATGAGTTACAATGTATGCAGTTAAACATGAGACAAACTGGGCAAAATTGGAAAATTGGCGAAATTTTAATATGGCGAATTTAGTTGCCTAAGGATAAATATCTGTGAAATAGGTGAATTTGACAGCATATGTAAAGCCTATGATATATAGGTAAGATCATTACATTGTTTGCAGTTCAACATGAGACAAATTGGGCAAAATTGGCGTTTTAATATGGTGAATTTGGTAGCCTAAGCATATGCCAGCCTATGATTAATACATGAGTTAAATTGTATGCAGTGAAACATGAGACAAAGTCGAGTGTTTAGGATTAATGCATTTTAACTCATCAAAAGTGCATGCCTACCTATGTGAGTATAACATTATGAAATGAAACAATAATAATAAAAGTTAGTAACCTTGCAATGCATAGTGCTACCCTAGTACCTCCTATTCCTGTCCAAGTCAATGGCCAGTTCATCTATGGAGTCAATATCATCAGAGGTATAGTAATCTAGATTCCGTCTGGGGCTACGAGGTGACTGAAAACATTGTTTAACATTACTAATTGTGTAAACACAATACTTTGAACTGTTGTGCATTGCTTTATTTCCCTTACATGTTTAAGTTAAATCAATATGTCTGGTTTGTGACTTTAACATCCAAAAAGATTAACAAAACATAAAAAATGAGGAATTTGTGAGAATGACATCATAAATCAATTTATTGTGTATTACAGAATGTTAAGGAATAACTGTATTCAGGTACTTACTGTATATAATGATGTTAAAGATCTATTAAGGCGTTCCTGAGACCGACTCCTAGCAAGAGCACGCTCCACCCTGGCATCCACTGAGAGTCTAGGGGAGATATATGGGTCATCCCCAAGTCTGTTCCTGAGTGAGGATTTGAACAAGAGAGGACTAATGGGGCGGGGTGGGGGACGGATAATCGGGGCAGAGTAGCCACGCGTGTGACGTGGAGATCTTGGTGATAAAGTATAGTCTGGAGCCCTCAGTTCTAGGACATCATCTGTAATAAGCAAGTATATGTATGGTTCACACATCAAATACATTTGCATTAAATACATCAAGTATGGATCAGTGGATAAATGGATGCTTTGAGCTGAACAAGATATCAGTATGGATCAGTGGTTAAATGGATGCTTTGAGCAGAACACAATAAATGGATGCTTTGAGCTGAACTATCAGTATGGATCAGTGGATAAATGGATGCTTTGAGTGAACATGATATCAGTGAACGCTTAGAGATGAGCACCATATCAGCAGATAATTAGAGTTGGACACTATAATGTCTGATAATAGTTTAAACACAATATACCTGTGGATGCTTAGAGTGAAACACCACATCAGTGGATGATACAATATTCAAATACTATATGTGAATCAGTTAATGATTTGAGTTCAACACTGTATCAGTGAAAGCTTTCAGTAACTATGATAAATAGTACCTACCATCGCTACTATAATCTCTATCTAGTTGGGTACTAGAGAGGATTGGTCTTGGTTGTCTTGTGCTCTCACGCATCGCCTGCAAATGGTCAATAGACAAATTAATACTATTTATCTTATTAAAGTGTTGCCTATTTTACAAAATAACCCAGGCCTAACTAGGTGTATTGAAAGAGCTATCTCAGGGATGGCTTTTACATACATATGACAATCAATCTAAATTTATTTATGATTTTAAGAAATAAAGAGTATTCATTATTAAACCAGAACAACGGCAACGCCAAAGCGTAGCGAATCCCATCGAACAGAAATGGCTGGCATTTTTACAAACGAATAGCAAATATCATAAAACAACACACCAGAAAGGCCACCATTTTCAAAATGGTTGCTCACTAGCCAAGTTGTCATCAGAAGAAATAATATGCTTTTAAGTAGCCACCTCTAAAATTTTTGAAAAATCGCACACGTACTTGTAAAACACACACATAAAAATGTTGGCCATTTTTCAAAATGGCCGACTACTCCCCAAAGTTTTATTAGACAATGTGCCATGCTTAAAGTATTCACATATCAAATATGAACAAAATCGCTCCACTACTTTTCGAGTTATAGTAAAATATGTTAAAATGGCGGCCATTTTTCAAAATGGTCACCTTCTACCAAAAGTGTCATTAGAAATAGACAGTGTGTCATGCTTATAGTATTCACATACCAAATATGAACAAAATCGCTCCACTACTTTTCTAGTTATAGTAAAATATGTTAAAATCGTGGCCATTTTTCAAATTTTTTTCAAAATGGCCGCCTTCTACCAAAAGTGTCATAGGACAGTGTGCCATGCTTATAGTATTCACATACCAAATATGAACAAAATCGCTCCACTACTTTTCGAGTTATAGTAACATACGTTAAAATGGCAGCCATTTTTCAAATTTTTTTTCAAAATGGCCGCCTTCTACCAAAAGTGTCATAGGACAGTGTGCTATGCTTATAGTATTCACATACCAAATATGAACAAAATCGCTCCACTACTTTTCGAGTTATAGTAAAATACGTTAAAATGGCGGCCATTTTTCAAAATGGCCGCCTTCTACCAAAAGTGTCTTTAGACAGTGTGCAATGCTTATAGTATTCACATACCATATATGAACAAAATCGCTCCACTATTTTTTGAGTTACAGCAAAAATCGTAAAACGACGCGTAAAGGCCGCCATTTTTCAAGATGGCTGTCATGTGCTTCTTTAATATCTACATTTGTAGCATTATTATTGTCCTTTATCATTTTTTTACATTTAAAACATATTGCTATAACAGTTTTACATATTGCACCTAAATTACTGTAAAATCGGCACTAAAATGGCCGCCATTTTGAAATGAGTGGCCATTTTGAAAATCAGCTTTCGAGCAGAACTTCTACCCCCATAGGGTATATGTGTACAAAATATGAACAAAATCGGGCCAACGGTATTTGAGTTATTGCCCGGACGGACGGACGGACGGACGGAGGCGTTCCCTATATCCCTCCGAACTTCGTTCGATGGGATAATGAAAGGAGTCCATATACTTTTGCATGCAACTGTACTTCTATATTCATGGAATTACAGTATTTCTATCAAAGTAGTACTCTAATTGCTATAATCTGATCATGACATGCGATTGAGAATATTTCTTTTTATAATGAAGACAAAAACATATTACTTACAATAGATGATGCAAAAAAGTTTGATAAGTGATACAACAGAACTACACATGCACATTTAACTTAATTAAAAGATATATTTTTGGATATTTTAAAAACATCTAGGAACCAATCAGATTTCAGACAAACCAGGAGTGTGCTTATCTAACACCAAGTCTACCCCCTCCCCCCATTAGTCTCGATTCAAAACCCTGGACCCCCCTCCCCTTATCATTATCTATTATCTACTTGTGTACAAGGTGTGAGAGTGGCAAAGTAGCCTAAAGCAAGACAAGAGAGACAATTCTATAAAGTGCTGCATATTATGGTCATTACCTTTCGCACCAAGGCTCTATTGCGAAAGTAAGGATAGTCGTACAAGTAATCATCATTATAAACAGTTGTACTGTAAGTGCCATCTATAAATATACATAGTACTAATGTACAATAAGGTACGGGTGCTATCTTGTAATGCTTTGCTATCTAGTACTTATGCACTATATTTGGGAGAAGGGGGAGGGCTATCCTGATTTGGTACATCCAAAAGCCCTGATATAGTAAGCCTATAATTCTGAACCCACAACAATGAGTATTTAAGAATCAGGCATGATGTAATGATGAGGTTGCCATGCCTACATGTAAATAAACAATGTGAAACACAGACATCCCTTTAACCTATAAACCATGCAGAAAACTAAACAGTTTTAGTACATAAAATAAAATTATGTGAAGAATCAATCTAAAAAACTACAGCAAAACCTGTAGGATAATTATCAAACTCAATTCCATTCCATGATCGAACACAAAAACACGCGTTCACTGCTTAAATGTGAAAAACCCTTTTGATTCTTCATATAATTTGAAACAGTTGGATAGGATCATAACAATGATATCAAAGGGTAGTTTTCACAAATTTAATATTCTTCTGTCTCTATCACAAAGATATACAACAAATAATGTGTACAAACTGTCAGAATGTCAGCGTGATATTTTTTCCATTTTATTATTGGAAAAATACAGCATCCAATACAGTGATTAGTTAGAATGCTATCCAAGCCACGATGCAACAAGAGGTTAAACTGCAAGCACTATAACCAAGCAAACATTCAACATCAACCATCAGTGCCACCTATATGTTTACCTTTACAACTGAGTGTGTATGATGCCCATCTGGATGGTGATGGTATGAGTGGCCCCAGTATCGTTTACCCGTATATCTCCTATAGAGGGCGCACACTGTGCAATTCTTCTCTGTGTGAGGGTTTAGGCAGTGGGGGCAATATTCTGTATGTACATATAGGGTCATATTTTAACACAATTCAAAAAACAAATATATAAAACTGGTATTTATCACATACTATGTAGAAATCTAGTGATTTGATTGGTTGCTTTCTATGACGTATTTCCCGTATCACATGAATTTCATATGATACGAGCACATGTACCACACGTTGTCTATGGTAACGAAATGACGTCATACAACTTCATTCTATTCTTTCCTAATTCAGAATGACGTCACATCGCTATGTTACTATTTCTTAGAAATGATGAATTCGTCATTTGAGGAACTAGAAGTTAAAACGACAAAGAAAGCTACCAATAAAATCACTAGATTTCTACATAGTATGTGATAAAATCGTCATCACACGTTTCAGCGTATGTGATACAGGAAATATTCCACTCATTAAAAGAGTATCACCACTCAAGCTGCGCTTTCGTGGTTATACAATTTTTACTTTCGTAGAATATTTCCCGTATCACATGCTGAAACGTGTAATAACTGATATTATTCATATTCAATAAACAGCTTGTATGTGTCATTACTAAACTATGTATCAGTATATTTATTTATGTACTTTATATGTAGACAATGTAGGCCCCAAATGGATACACCCCATCATGTAACATTGATTTCTAGTTTGTAACAATGAGTTTATTCGAAGCAGTGGTATGACGTATAAAAAATCAGAAAATGCACATTACTAAAAACTTATTGTACGTAAGAATCAAAATTACTTATAATTAATTGTCATTGACTGATGATTATATAATCTATATATAAAATACACATTTTGGAATTATATTATAAATAGCACATGTTACCAATTATGAAAGAATTTATTTATGTCCTATGATTTCTATCAATAAGAGCCTATTATAAAATGTGTATATTTTTAATTATACTGAATTTCAATACAATTAATGAGGTTACTAAATTGTTTAAGATTATTGAACCAAAACTGACCTCTAGTGGTGACCTTGACCCCTCGTGTAGGTGAAATAGATCGACTCCTAGACATTGTTGAGTTTGAGGTTCCCGACGTAGCTTTTTTCTTCTTCTTTTTCTTGCCGCCTGGAGGTGGCGACCCTGGCGTTCTGCCTATCAGACTTTTGTCCAACTGAAACATTCAACAATATCAGTATTTGTAGTTACGATGAATTGTGATTAGATTAAAGCAATTATTTCAAGTGTATGTGTGTACCCTGATAATGTTAAATTAGTTTAAGATTGTATTCCGTGAACAATAGTATTATTTGAGGCTTAGTGATAAATAATAGAAAACAAGGCTTTAGACTACTTGTGTCTTAATAGACACTTAAAGGTGAAAGAATTAGTGCAGAGGGGCCATTCAACGATCATGGACCAGTGTCAAAATATATTCAAGTTTGAATATTTCATCAAGACCAACATATATTTTTATTATCTCGAAAGAAACCCCCTGGATGAACATTATTTCAGCTGATATTCCTCTTGAAACGTGATGGATCTTAAAAATCTATACGTGGGACTCCCTTTATAGAAGCTTTGGACTGAATTAAAACTTCTTAATGCTTAAATTGATAGTTTATCCATACATTTTAAGAAAATAGGTATGTCAAAGAAGATGTTAAGCCGAATGTTGCCCTGATAGCTCAGAAAAAGTAAAATTCTTTGAATTTTCTCTCTACAGGCCTTGTTGCCCCTTAATTGAAAATGTAAGTTTTTGCGATTTTATTCATTTTGGGAGAACAACAAGAGGCTGAGTCTCTTTAAAAGATCATCAAATGTTACAAGACAGCTCCGTACCTTCCTAACCACAAATGGCGCTTTATTGTCGTCATCTTCCTCCAATGAGATTTCAGCCATTTGTCGCCGCATTGAGGGTGATGGAGATCTGGAACGAGAAATTGACGACATTGTCGGTTGTTCGTAATGTTCTTTCTCAACTTGTATATACACGGGAGACCTACAGGAGGAAATAATGAGCAACATTCACCATAAAGCAAGCAAAAACAAAGAACAATAACAGTATAATGCCTCAGTCACATTTGCTCCAATTTTCACTACGGGCCCAGCCGATTGAGTATTTTGTTCAAAATTGAATACAATATTGAGCAAAACACTCAATCGGATGGGCGCTGGCCGATGGATTGGAGCAAATGTGACCCGGGCATAAGCGAAAAAGAACTAAAGTAAAACCTGTCTAAGTGGAACACTTTTGGTACCTCTTTAAAGTGTTCCACTTGGGAGGTGTTCAACTTATTGAGGTTCATTTACATTAAGTCACTTAATATAGGGACACTGAAAAGTGTTCCACTAACAGAGGTGTTCCACTTTACAGGTTTCACTCTATAAAATAATGACAGTTAATTATACAACTTAAAAAGCAACTAAATATCACTTTAAACTATTGAACGCTAAAATAATCTATTGCGTAGGTTAAATGCTTAATCTATTTATAGTTTATTCAGGATCATTGACCCTGGAATAATATGTTATCAAGATTATGTTTTTATTATCTTTTATCATGCTATATAAGAAATGTTATGCTGATACTCCACTGAAAATCATATAAATGGAGAAATAATATCTAAATGTGCAATATTAAAAAATAACCAAAATGCAATACCGAAATGTGCAATATTAAAATGTGCAATATCTAAATATAATGTGTAAAAGTAAACAATTTTGAGATGGTTGAATATATAGATGTGCAATATTGAAATAGATTATACATGTAGAGGTAATTAATTGTCTTCAGGTGCAATAAGTTTTAATTAATTAATCTCATTAGGCACAGGTATTTAGTGTCAGATTGAATCAATGTATAATTACACCAGTCATCAATCATTGATATAAGCCCCAATTAATAGATATTAAACATTAATTCATAATCCAAGACATCAAATTTGGTGAAATATGATGCAGGGAAGAAAATGCAAAGAAGCTTACGAATGTAAGAAAAATGTAAAAATCTATTATCGTACTATAAAGTAAATAAATAATAAAAAGCACATGTAATATATAACTTTGATAGAAAAGTTGTTAAAATTGTGAAAAAGCCAATTAGACAGTACAAGGAACTTCCTCAATTAAAAAGGAGGGGGGGGGCAGTAAACCACAAATCTAAATCAGATCACATACCTTTGGCGGGATCTTGATCGTCGTGGAGATGTAGATCGCCTGCCTGTCTGGAAATCTTCATCCTGCAAAATACAACAAATAAAATGAACAAAAGCATTACTGCTATAATGCACCTAGTTGAAAAAATTTATTTACTCAATATGTACTAAATAAATTACATGCACTACTCAATAAATATTCTATACTCATTCTCACTTTATAACCTAAAATGAGGTTTCTTATTAACTTCGTAAATGGTTTTAATAATTCCTAAAGGTGATTAGACACTGGAGGATCCAGGGGGGGGGCGCCAGTGTTAGATATTCAAAAAAATATTGTAACACCTATTAGTGGTTAGTCTAGGCCAGATTACACATCCTCTCCCCCTAACATGGCTCCTTGGGGTCAGGCAACTGAACGAAACTGAAACAATGGGGGAGGGGTGGGACCAGGGGGCCAATTAATGCGCTTTTTGGGCATTACTGCGGGCCTTATCTTTTAATTTTTGGCCAAATAATTTAAAAAAATAGGCTTTCAATTTTCAAATTCTTTTTCTATACAAGCCAAAATATATTTTCTCAGATTTGAAATGGTGGACCCCTTGTAAGTTAATTCAGATCCACCCCTGCTACCGATTTACTAACCTCTGTCTAGACTTTCTAGAACATTTGAGTGAATATACCACTAATATACAACAAAACAAAGAGCCACAAAGTATATACTGTACTAGCACGCCTTACCATCGCGTAAGCAGGCGTCACCGTACAGCGTCAAAAAATAGCGGAGTACAGTTTTCTGTACGGTAACGCAAATTAACTGCTTTGAAGCAAAAACTATGACAAGGGTTTAAAAAAATTAATTTGATGAAAACTAATACGATTTCATGTGAAATAAAAACAGCATTCTCTTAGAAATGGTTTTAACTAACTGATTATGATAAATGTTTTACGAGCACTGTTCGGATTTTTTCTGAGTGAATCGGCCCACATAATCGACCCAAGTGAAAAAAGGTTGTTTTTTCACATTTCGTTTGGTTATTATTTTCCCTGCCGTCTGAGAGTATGGATTATTTTTTTGAGAAAATGTATTTGTTGACTACACATTTTAGAACGGGCGAAGATTCAGCAAACAACCATGCATTATGTATATTTAAAAAAGATCAAATTTGAACGGTGACGCACCAGCTGTACGGTGACGCCATGCTTTGATGAACTAAATGAGACTAAGATTGTATGAAATGGAAACTCTGGAGTATGATCATTTGTTCATATATAGCGCCGTTACATGCATAATGGAAGGTTACTGGAAATGTATGATACGGTAAAGATCATGAAACCAAAAACTCTCTTGTTGCTATGTTATTGATGTTTTAAAACAAGGGATGTCACAAGTAAATCTCATCTTGCATGTGTGACTTTTTAGGATGAAAGATGCAATATATTGCATGGGGTAAAGATGGCTGTGTAGGCTATCTTTGTCAGTCATATGAGAAAAGTCTGGTTTAGTTCAAATGATACCAAAGCATTACGTCAACTTTCAAATAGTTAATTCCATGAAAACTAAAAATATCGAAATTGATACTTCCTGTCCGCCATCTTAAATGCGAAGGCGACGGCTGTAACCTTCGCTTGATACTTACCAGTGATAATGTACATGTAGATCTGACGCTTCTTTACCTCTTGTTCGAACAGTAAGCTTAGAGCTCTTCATAAAATCTAAGGAAGCGTCACCGTACAGCTGATGCGTCACCGTACAGTTCTGATCTTTTTTGAATAAATACACTGAATGATTTTTTGCCGAATATTCATCTGTTCTAAAATGTGTAGATAACAAATACATATTCTCATAAAAATAATCCATACTCTCAGACGACAGAAAAAATAATAACCAAACGAAAAGTGAAAAAAACAACATTTTTCTCTCGAGTTGATTATGTGGGCCGATCCAGTCAGAAAAAATCCGAGCAGTGCTCGAAAAACTTTTGTCATAATTAGAAAGCTAAAACCATTCTTAAGAGAATGCTGTTTTTATTACACCCGAAATCGTATTTATTTACGTCTAATTAATCTTTTTAAAACCCTCATTATAGTTTTTGCTTCAACTAAGTTAAATTTCGTCACCGTACAGAAAACTGTACTACTGTATTTTTTGACGCTGTACGGTGACGCCTGCTTACGCGATGGTTAGGCGTGACTAGGGCACTTTAAACATGAAGGGCATCAAAAGTACACAATAAGCTAGATACAAGTGGTAACCTCATTCGATGCATTCTGAGCAAAACTATATATAGACATTTTACAGCTGTACTGTATCTATTTACACATAAATAAACAGATACAAAACATGCCTGCATGATTTCAGCTTTTGAGAGTGAGAGTAAGCTGACCTTGGTGGTTGTGCTACATATTTACATGTGATTACATATCTGATTCTACTACTGAGCTCTACTGAAGGTAGGTGCAGGACCTCATTTAAGATATCAACATTTAGATTTCCCTTGTGAATGATGGGGGTAAATAAGCCTATGGTTTCTCCCATAATTTGATTGACCTTGCCTTAAAATTGCATTTCTGTCATTTCAGATTTCCCAGTAATGAATATGACATCATCAAATGAGACAAATATGTCACAGCCGAAAGAGGAAAAAGATGAGATGGTATCATCATCAGATCAGATTGTCAATGTAATACAACAGCAGCAACAGACAGATGGCGGTATATTCCTTGATAAAACAAATAGTGGCAGTAAGTACATTCTGTATGCTTTATTTATCTAGTTCCATCCCATTCTGGTCTTGAAAGCATTCAACTAACTCTTAGCAGTCTGCCTACGAGTTATCTTGCAAAATCAGACATTCCCTGGGGTCTGCCGATGAGATTACTCGCACTTTAGGTACTTGGGGTTATGCTAAAGTTCATTTAGAAACAAAAAATATGCGTTAATGTGTTGATAATACACACCCAACACTTGATGACCAGATCAAAAATATATATTGTTTTATAGCCTAAAATTAAAAATTTAATGGTTACTATGGTCAAATTGTCCATTTTGCTCAAACCAGGACAGCAATACTGGGATTTAGTTTAGACTGCTATGGAGTCGAGAAAAATGTGGCTCTCCACGCCCCATATATTTCTTGCCTCAATCGATTCTGAACACCAGCCTGAATCACACCGGAATAGCCTGACAATGGTAAAGTCAGAAACCATTGTCACAAATGGGGGACATAACCATCACTTCGATTAGATTTTCATGAACTGTATGTTTAATAGAGTGACCATTAAATTTCTTTGATACAGCAATCGCTCAAAGTGTTTTTTTACTGATCATATAGTAAAATATGTTCTACCATCGAAATAGAGGCTTAATTAATTTCATCGATCGGAATATGACACAGGACAACGGATACTGTATAAATGACAACGGTGTGGGTCAAATGTCATGTAAAATCGAGGTAATATTTGACAACGGAATATATAAAGACAAGGGTAAAGTGTCTATTTACCAATGTCATTTTCCTATGTTCCAATGCAGTATATCCACCATAGTCCGTTGTCACATCTTACCATATGCAGTTGTCTTTGTAAATTATTTCAAATTCAGATTCTGTTGTCATTGACAATATCGAAGACGCGCGCGCATTGTGGCGATTCACGACCCCATTTGATAGAAATTGGGATTTCACATAATACATCATCACACGAGCTTAATACCTGCATAGAATTAGCGACAATAAACTCCCATGAAACAATGACCAAGTGATTAAAGAGTTGAAATGATCGTTATGTCCGCCATTTTTGACAATGGTATCTGACTTTACCGTTGTCAGGCTATTCCGGTGTGTAAATGTTCTCTCAAAGCCAAAAAAGAAGTGTCTATCTCAAATTGCAGACTTATACACTTCAATCTTTAAATCGGCCAGTATTTCAGAATGTCTGCCATCAGCTTTGGAAATTATCATCTAGAGCATTACAAACATTACCCGACTGAGGTTACATCCTGTTTCTTTATGCATATACATATATGTATATTGTATATATAAATGGCATAATTATAATATCAATGTATTTATTAATGTATCGTTTTGAATATCTAATTCTCATGTGCAAATGGAATTCGAATATATAAAACATTAAGAAAATAAAAAAAATATGAAAATCATCATAATTATTCTTTCAGGTCCATCTTTAGCTACAGTTGGCCTAAGTAACAACAATACAACCCTAAATGGTGCAAACAATGGAGCAAATGATGTTGGCCCAAGTAACAACAATACAAACCTTGGTGCAAACAATGGAGCAAATGATGTACCAACATGCTCTAAGTATATTCCATACTCTAATGTTATAACAGATGAAACAAGCACTGATGTAACTTACAGCAACTACACTGACATGACTGAGCATGTAACACACCAACCGAATGTGGATTCTATACAGTATGGTACAGAAGGGAATGAAACTAATATAAAGGTAGAACCAGATTTTGTATCTGATCAAGTTGAAGGTTTTGAAACTGAACATGATAATATGACTGACATAAACAATGATACCCACCAACCAATGAAACAAGAGATTAACATGAAAGATGCAGCCCAGAATGATGAATCATTTACTCAATGGAAAGACACAGCTAGTCAGGAGACTGGAACAGAACTGAAGAACCCAACAACACAGCTGATCACAACTGATCAGGAGACTGGAATAGAACTGAAGAACCCAACAGTATCATTGTGCAGACTATCACAAGCAGATGTAAAATGTGCGAGGTTGGGGGAATTCATCTGTACAGGGACAGTTATTAGACAACAGGAAAAATGTCAATATCAAATGAAACTGAAAAGACAATTGAAGGTGAAGACTTCAAAACGATCGATTTTCCACAGTTCAACACCAACCTTAGATCAATCTGTAGAAAAGCTATTCAGATGTAACATTTGTTATGAATCATTTTTCAAAATCTCAGATCTTTCTAAACACAACAAGGGACATGCTTATAAAAATAAATCTGAAGTTAAAGCTTTTAAATGTAACCTATGCTCAAATGTATATGCCAGTGCCTATTATCTTGAGTTTCATATCAAAATCCATTTACATGGCAGAAAATTCATATGCAAGGTGTGTTCCAAAGGGTTTCTTACTAGATCTCATCTTTCAACACATTATCTCTCCCATACTGGAGAAAAACAATTTGAATGTAATGTTTGCCATAAAACCTGTGCTACAACTTCAGCATACAACAAACATAAGGAAATTCATACAAGGAGAGATGGAGACAGAAAATTTAAATGCCAGCTATGCTCTAAAGCATATTTTACTAAATCAAATCTTTCTTGTCATATTAAAATTCATACTGGAGAAAAAGGGTTTAAGTGTGATATCTGTTCCAAAGCATTTCATGGCAACAGTGCTCTTATTTCACATAAAAGAACACATACTGGGGAGAAACTATTTAGTTGCAAAATCTGCAAGAAAGGATTTGCAAGTAAAAATAGTCTTTCAATGCATAACCATATTCATACAGAAGAAAAGCCATACAAATGCAAAGTCTGCGAAAAGGCATTTAGACATCCAGTGAATCTAAGAACTCATAACAGAATTCATACTGGAGAAAAGCCATATAAATGTAAGATTTGTTCTAAAGCCTTTTCACACAGTACTCATTTAAGGAGACATCAAACAGTTCATACAGGAGAAAGAAAATATGAATGCAAAATTTGTCCTAAAAGGTTCACAAGTAAATCCTTTCTTACCGTTCATTATAGAAATCATACTGGTGAAAAACCATTTAAATGTGAAATTTGTTCAAAAGCTTTTACTTCATCTGCCTTTCTAAAGAATCACTCACGTATTCATACTGGTGAAAAGCCATTCAAATGCAACATTTGTGAAAGAGCTTTTTCTCGCGCTGGTGGTCTGTTTAAACATAAAATTATCCACAATGAGGAAAAGGAGTTCAATTGTCAAGTTTGCTTCAAGAAATTTTCTTCAAAAGAACACCTTATAATGCACAACAGAATCCACACAGGAGAGAGGCCATTTAAATGTAAACTCTGTCCTAAAGCATTTCATACAAGTTCATCCCTTACTTGCCATAAACGAAATCACACTGGGGAAAAACCATTCAAATGTAAGTTCTGCTCAAAAATATTCAAAGATTGCTCTGTATTGTTGGTTCACAAGAGAATTCACACTGGAGAGAAACCATATAAATGCAAAGTATGTCTTAAGGCTTTTTATTGTTCAACACATTTATATCAACATAACTTTATTCATACTGGGGCAGATAAAAGATTTAAATGCGCATTCTGCACAAAATCATTTTGGCAAAGAAAACCTCTTGCAAAGCACGTTGAAACACATATAAAGAAAAAGAGAAACTAAAAACTGGTTTACTGCTTCTGTTTACTGTTTATCTGTTTGTTTTTATGTATGTGATAAAAGACCAATTTGTTATTGCTTGGATAGCACATTCAATAAAATGTAAATTGCTTTATATTTGAAGATTCAGTAAATTCATCCGATTTTTCAAAATAAATATACTGCTTTTATCATTACATTTATATATACACTAGTATCTTGTTGACCTATATTCAGCACTGCATTGATGAATGGGGCACTTATTAGGGCCAATATGCCATATTAATTCTTCATCAAAATGGGTAATGGGTAACATTCCTTATTGTCGGTTTTTAATAAGCTGGCTTAGGGAGGAGACTACCTACATCCAGAAGCAAACAAAGGTAGTGTTTCGATCCAATGGGTTAGGATGATGATATTTATCCATGAATTTGTGGAGCAGTGGTATATTCAAACCTGGACCCAGTATAGAAAATGTTTCCTCAAAGTCTGCTGAATGTTCCAAATAAAACCAATTTACATTATATAAGTATGTTATTCCTATTTTAAACAATTGAACTTAGCCAGTAACAGTCGACAGCAGTTTGGTACATTGCAAAACAATATTGGCGCTATTGTGGTTAAATGCAACTTCCAAATTTAAAATAATTTGCTGTTTCCAAGAAGAAAATTAAAATGAAATTATGACTGTTTTGTTAATAATGTAAGATTTGATATTTCTCTATTGTAAAATAAAACACTTGTAATAAAGGACAAAACACTGAGTACTTTTTCTGAATTTGATTTAATTGAGCTTAATCATCTTTCATCAGAGGAGTTTTCAGAATATGGCCACTGAATGAAAATAATAATGGAATTCTTCATGGTTCTACGGGATATGTTTATCAAAAATAGAGTATCATGAAAAACATGCCACCATTTCAAATCCATCATTAATGTCAAGAGGAATAATCAAAAAAACATTTACAAGAATTCATCTCTTTAATTTCAGTACATTTTTGACAAAATAGTGTTATTGAAAGGGCTTTTAAGGATACATGTATTGGATTTTATAAATGTGCCCATAATTAAACCATTATTTCAGGAAGAGTCAATTGCCCTATATAAACTTATCGAATGAGCTAAATTCCCTTTAATACTCTATACTATATGAACTTTGAACTTTGTATACTGTTAAACTCAAGTGTATTGATATAGCCTAAGCAGTGGCATAGTTCTAGGTTATGTTGACAGCAGCTATTCTATGTATAGCCTTTATTGAGACATCTACTGCAACATATTCATTGTGAAAAGATATTTGTATAGCTACTAGCTAGTGACTGTAATACACTGTGCCCGCCACTCAGTAAAGTATGACATATGAACTGCAATCATTTGAGATATTGGAGCTTGCTAAAAGCCTGTACTAGTACATTTACATTGAATATTCTAGCATTGGTAAGTATTCAGTTTTAGTTCATATTTTAGGTAAAGATAAATTGCGCCACTTACATCTACAAACTGCATGTGAGGCCATATCGAAATAAATTAATATTGGATGGAAGGGGGGATTGGTTATCTCGTTCCAAGACTATCTCTACGTTCTAGTCTTGCGAACGTCTTATTCTTTTGCCTGTATGATTACAACATGGAAGAATTTTCTACGCTTCTTACACTTAAGATACCTATTTCAATAGATTCCTTGGTATTTTAGCATTATTTTCGTGTAGTTGAATCCACAATTGTGTGGGTTTATCGGCAGAACAAAGAAATTTTCGTTTTTGATCCCAAAATTTGCGTGTAATATTTAACTTGTTTCAACCGTCAAATTCTTCCATTTATTGCTTATCCGGCCCACTTCCGGGTCAGTCAAACGGGGAATCCCCTTTTAAATCCAACCGCCATCTTGGAAAGTGATGGAATATCTCTCGATGAAAAAAGAAAAAAGTTCCAATTCTGCCGATATACCCAAACAATTGTGGATTCAACTACACGAAAAGAATGCTAAAATACCCAGGAATCTATTGAAGTAGGTATCTTAAGTGTAAGGGGCGTAGATAATTTTCCCAAGTTGTAATATCGTACAGGCAAAAGAATAAGACGTTCGCAGGACTATAGTCACGGGACGGGATAAGGGGATTGGATGGAGGGGGGATACAGTATATATAAGACATGATAAGACATGCTACTTGAATTTATTCTTATTTATTTCCCCCTCCATCCAGTATTAATTTATTTCGATTATTTTTTGTATAACGCATGGAAACTAACTTTAAAAAGTGAGCAATGTCATTAGTATTGTGATAATAACGTCCCTTATACCTATTTATTACACGTCATGTAGACCATTGTTGCTCGATTTATAGCAAAAACATCGACTTTTGCATGTTGGTGATGAAACGCCTCTTTTAATAGATCTCATATCTTAGAAGTGAGCGTTCATAAGCTCCTACTTTTAGCTATTTTTCAGTCACATTTTCAGAGGGCTAAAAAGGTTATTTCATCATGTTTAGGGTCATTCTGACCATTGCCATTGTGATCCTGGTCATGTAAATGATGGGGGCCCAATGATATGTGGAACTAGTTAAACTTACTGGAGGTCAAAACAGACCGCTGTTATCTTGGTTTAAAAAATATCCAAAATCCAGCATGGTTTTGTCACTTTCTGTTTTGTCATTTCCTGTTAAGTACCATGGGACCTTAATGCATTTTAGATAAACCAGAAATTAAGATGACATCCTCAGATGAGACAAATAAGATCACATGCCTGGAGGAAGAAAAGCTACAAATAACTTCTTCAGATGAGATTAATTCAATGGAACACCAACAGATAGATAGTCATAGCAAATTTGAACATTTAAGAGACAGACATTGGAGTGATTGTAAGTTTTTTATTGTGTTCAAGGCCAAAACATATTCTATTTTCTCCCAAAGGGGACACTTCTCGTTTCAATGGCAAATTCTTTTCAAATTCTTTCAAAGGTTTCCTGTCAAGTCTTCTCTAAGATAGAATTGTAGATTGAATATATGTGGGGGTACCATTAATTAGTGAGAAAAGAACAATAACTTTTTGAAATTTGCTTTAATTAATTGCATTGATATTTTCACCAAATAAACTCCAAGTGATATGCTACATCCCATATAGTTTGATTAGTTAACTCTAACATATGGTGGTTTGAGAGATTTCTCTATGACATCATGACCAGTACCCTGGAGCAGTTATTAATGTAAAAAAACTGAGGATTTCATGTTTTATTTTCCAGGTCCTCTTTACCAAGATTGCTTTAAGGAATATGATCCGTTTAATCCTAAAGCTCTTGGGTCAGGATCTTCTGTACTGAAGTATACCTAAGTCCTGACATTATATAAAAATTAGTTATAGTGAATCTACCATAATTAGAAATCATATAGATTGCTATGTATTTTATTAAGTTACATTGAGATCTTTGAGAATTCATGCTTATTTCAGCCAATTCTGCTCCACCCCAAAGTACTGCAAAATGGCAGTGTCTCTTATGTCACAGTCATGTGTGGCATGATATGCAAGATATGACATCAGAATTGGTTGTGTTGTCATAACAACTACCTCAGGACAATGTGTACACACAAAATTTGAAAAGTAACAGTCAATTCTTAAAAAAACATGGTAAAAAGTGCCCTGGTTTCTCGTACTTTTTAGCTGTTCCACGGACCCCTAGCAACCGTTGCCATGGTAACCGCTGTTGCAATGTATTTATTTGAAAAAATTAACGAGTATGCTCATTCAATACTCTATTCCTCAAGGGATGTATATACCAAATTTTATTGCAATTGAATGAATACTAGGATGCTGCCTCAAAATTTTCTCACTAATTAATGATACTCCCTTGTACTATGAATTCTAATACAAAATGTCAATATAAGAACAGTAATAATTGTGGGAGTATTCAAAGTAGTACATCCTTTTGCAGGTCTATCTTTCAGAAATGATCTAGGCAACAACAATGATCCAACCAAGATGATTAAAGATACAAATGCTACAAAATTCCCACCTGATGTTATTGTGGAAAATACTAGCAAAGATGTAACCAATGATGACCTGACTGAGCAAGATACACACCCAGTTAGTGCAGATTTCATCAAGTCACAGGGCAATAGAGAAGAGAATGTCAATATAAAGGTAGAACCTGATCAAGTCAATGGTCTTGAAGATGAACATGATAATGTGGATGATACAAACAGAGTTGACAATCAAGTGAAACAAGACATTAAACATGAACTTCAAAACTGTCAATCATTTGCTCATTTTGATAACACGGCTGATGAAAATACTGAAACAATTGATGAAAATTCTGAAACGATGAATCAAAAGAACCCAACAGTATCACTTTGTAGATTATCAGAAGCAGATATAAAGCTTCTTAAGTCCAGGAAATACACCTCAAAGAGGAGAATATGTTCATTGATGTCGAAAACGCAACCAACTCTTAACCAAGATCACAAAGGAGAAAGACTGTTCAGATGTAACATATGTTATGAAGCATTTTATGAAATCTCTAATCTTTCTAAGCACATCGCTGGACATCTAAAGCAAGCCAAGAGTAGTGTTAAAGCTTTTAAATGTAACCTATGCTCAAATGTATATACCCATGCCTATTATCTCGATTTTCATATCAAAATCCATTTAAATGGCAGAAAATTCAAATGCAAAGTGTGTTCTAAAGAATATCTTACCAGATCTCACCTTTCTGCACATAATCTTGTTCATACTGGAGAAAAGAAATTTTCATGTAATGTTTGCTCTAAAACCTTTGCAACTACTTCAAGATTTAATGCACATAAGAAAACTCATTCGAGAGAAAATGAAGACAGAAAATTTAAGTGCCAATTATGCGCTAAAGCATACTTCACAAAAGCAAGTCTTAAATTCCACCAGAAAGTTCATGAGGAAGAAAAACAATTTCATTGTGATGTCTGTTCCAAAGCATTTAACCATAAAAGTCATTTCACAAGACATTTAAGAACACATACAGGAGAGAAACCCTTTAGTTGTAAAATCTGCAAGAAAGCATTTTCATGTAAGAAATCCCTTTCAATGCATAACAACATTCATACAGGTGAAAAGCCATACAAATGTAAAGTCTGCGAAAAGGCATTTAGACATCAAGTAAATTTGAGAACTCATAACAGGATTCATACTGGAGAAAAGCCATATAAATGTAAGATATGTTCTAGAGCCTTTTCACACAGTAGTCATGAACGGAGACATCAAAAGGTTCATACAGGAGAAAGAAAATATGAATGTGAGACATGTTTCAAAAGATTTGGAGACAAATCATCTCTTAAAGGTCATTACAGAACTCACACAGGTGAGAAACCATTTCAGTGTAAGATTTGTTTGAAAGCCTTTTCTTCATCTGGCATTTTAAGAACTCACACACATATTCACACTGGTGAAAAGCCATTTAAATGCAACATTTGTGAAAAAGCCTTTTCTAACCAAAGCAGTCTGTGTACACATAGAATTATCCACAATGAGGAAAAAGAATTCAACTGTCAGGTCTGCTTCAAGAAATTTTCTTCAAAAGTACACCTTGTAATGCATAACAGAATCCATACAGGAGAGAGACCATTTAAATGTAAACTATGTCCTAAAGCATTTCATACAAGTTCAGCCCTTACTTGCCATAAACGAAATCATACTGGAGAAAAACCATTCAAATGTAAGTTCTGCTCAAAAACATTCAAAGTATGTTCTAATTTGTTGATGCATAAAAGGCTTCATACTGGGGAGAGGCCATACAAATGTAAATCATGCCCAAAAGCATTTTACTGTACATCTCATTTAATTAAACATGAAGTTGTTCATACTGGGGCTGATAAAACATTTAAATGTTCATTTTGCACAAAATCATTTTGGCAGAGAAAACCTCTTGCAAAGCACCTTGAAACACACATAAAGAAAGAGGAAAACTAAATACATTCTAATAAATGTATCATGACAAGATCTACTTCCTTTTTAGCTTCAACTTTCTGTTTGTTTTATGAGATATAAGTTGACAAAAAGAATAGAAACCTTGTTTCGATCATGAGAAAAAAACAATTGAAAAAAAAATTATGACAATTTTTCATTTCTTTGCTACGCATTTAAATACCATTTTTAATCTACTTATTAAGTGTAATATTAAAAACATATTTACTTTTCTTTAGACATTTTAATATAATCATTTGGATGAATTTTCCCATTGGATTAACTATCCTCTTGTAAATTATTTCAATGTGATTTGAAATAATGTGTATTTAAAGAGGCAACAAGGTCTGTAGAGAGAAAATTCAAAATTTTTTACTTTTTCCGAGCTATCAGGGCAACATTTGACTTAACATCTTCTTTGACATATCTATTTCCTTAAAATGTATGGATGAACTATCAATTTCAGCATTAAGAAGTGTAAATTCAGTTCAAAGCTTCTATAAAGGGAGTCCCACTTATTGATTTTTAGCATCAATCATGTTTCAAGAGGACTATCAGCTGAAATAATGTTCATCGACGGGGTTTCTTTGGAGAAAATAAAAATATATGTTTGTCTTGATGCAATATCAAAACTTGAATATATTTTGACACTGGTCCATATCGGTTAATGGCCCCTCTGCACTAATTGTTGCACCTTTAAATGAATGAATTCATGAGATTTTCTTAATGAACTGATCATCTACAAAAATATTTCCATATATTCAATCTTGGATTATACATATTTCTAAATAATCTAAAGAGACAATTGGTCATTTAGGCAAAAAGAGCTTACAGACTGTTTAAGGCTTATTCTAAATCTACTGGTACCATCCAGATCCCATCATAAAGTAAAGCCAATGATATTACAATGCAAACAAATGGTAAAGGGTCTGGATATTACCTGTGTGACATTGCATCGTTATAGCTGTTTGCTATCTATTGTTAATACATGCATACAGCAAGACCTGTGTGATCTTAATACCAAAAAGGCCAGTCAAAATTGATCGAATTGGCAGATTCTCACATTTTAAGATTCTTTTCACGGACATTTGTGGCAGATTAGGAAATGGGACTAGACTAAAAAACCATTCACATCAAGAGATGTTTAGATTAGGCAGGTGTTCAGGCACACAGGTTTTTCTGTGTTAAAGGTTAAACAGTAACATAAACAGTAGATTGGTGTACTACAAAACAATACACGTGTGCAGTGGCCTCATGCATTATTGATTAAAACAAACACAAAAAAAGTAATGTTGAGAAACCTATAATACACATTTTCTCATATTGTTTCCATGAAATCAATAGAATAAGAATGATAGCATTAGAATATAAATGTTCTTTGAAAGCCTTGTGGCAAATAATTCAATATGAGGTAAAAGATATGTTGAACATTTGATTGGCTCAAGAATGAATATTGTATACTGTGTTTGTATCATATTTTATTGTGTAATATTGGGTGATTGTTTCTAAACATGAAATGAGAACTCACTTTGCCTTTTAATTGATGTAAGAATATTTCTCATGCTGTGACAAAAATTCCTTTTTTAGTAATTGCTTTTCAAAAAGGATATATTGTTTTGTATTTGTTTTCAAATGTTTTAACCAGAACAACGGCAACGCCAAAGCGTAGCGAATCCCATCGAACAGAAATAGCTGGCATTTTTACAAACGAAATATATAGCAAATATCATAAAATGACACACATAAGAAAGTTGTCATCAGAAGAAGTAATATGCTTTTTTATAGTATTCACATGCCAAATATGAACAAAATCGCTCCACTACTTTTCGGGTTATAGTAAAATACTTTAAAATGGTGGCCATTTTTCAAAATGGCCGCCTTCTACCAAAAGTGTCATAAGACAGTGTGCCATGCTAATAGTATTCGAATACCAAATATGAACAAAATCGCTCCACTACTTTTCAAGTTACAGCAACAATCGTAAAATAACGAGTAAAGGCCGAGTAAAATACGTTTAAATTTTTCAAATTCCATTTTTTGTCATCAGAAGAAGTAATATGCTTTTTTATAGAATTCCAATGGCAAATATGAACAAAATCGCTCCATTACTTTTCAAGTTACAGTAAAATACTTTAAAATGGTGGCCATTTTTCAAAATGGCCGCCTTCTACCAAAAGTGTCATTAGACAGTGTGCCATGCTTATATTATTCACATACCAAATATGAACAAAATCGCTCCACTACTTTTCGAGTTATAGTAAAATACGTTAGAATGGCGGCCATTTTTCAAAATGGTCACATTCTACCAAAAATGTCATTAGACAGTGTGCCATGCTTATAGTATTCACAAACCAAATATGAACAAAATCGCTCCACTACTTTTTGAGTTGAAGTTAAAATGGCGACCATTTTTCAAAATGGCGGCAAATTTTCAAAATGGCGGCAAATTTTCAAAATGGCCTCCTCCTACCAAAAGTGTCATTAGACAGTGAGCCATGCTTATAGTATTCACATACCAAATATGAACAAAATCGCTCTAATACTTCTTGAGTTACAGCAAAAATCGTAAAATAACGAGTAAAGGCCGCCATTTTTCAAGATGGCTGCCATGTGCTATTTTAATTTCTACATTTCTAGCTTTATCAATGTCCTATATAATTTTTTTACATTTAAAACATAATGCTATCACAGTTTTACATATTGCACCTAAATTACTGTAAAATCGGCACTAAAATGGCCGCCATTTTTAAATGAGTGGCCATTTTGAAAATCGGCTTTTAAGCAGAACTTCTACCCCCATAGGGTATATGTTTACAAAATATGAACAAAATCGGGCCAACGGTATTTGAGTTATTGCCCGGACGGACGGACGGATGGATGGACGGAGGCGTTCCCTATATCCCTCCGAACTTCGTTCGATGGGATAATAATGAGACCAAAGGGCAACATTTGGAAATAACAGAACAAAACAAATCCCCTTATAAATCACATGAATTTTAAAACAGTAGAATTTCAGTAGTTTGGTTTTGGATTATTCTAAAAGTGAATAATGTTTACTGTTTTATCAATCCTAATTTACTGAACTTATCTTTTAAAATTTAACTTAAAATTGATACTGGAAAAGTTCTAAATTTTAAACTTACATAGTGATATGTCAGCCATCCAACAACTTTATTAACTGCGGCCCTGAACTCCTCAGCATTCCAGTTACTTAGTTGAGGGGTAACTTTCATTTTTCTAATCTCCCAATTGTTTTTCTTTATATGTTTGATTGTCAATTAAAAATCCCTAACTAACAGCTGTTAATGAATAATTCACGTATTGAACTATGACTTGGTATAGATTTTTTGTTCCAGTTGGTATTTTCAATTTTAATTTCAAAATTCAATAGCTTAGGTTGACAGTTATCACTCTCGTTTCCAATACTTCAGCTTTTGTATCAATACTATTGTTCCTGTGAAAAGTTAAACAAACAAAATATTGTTTATCTTTGATTGAATGTCATAATTTTCTCTAATGTAACAACCGATTTCTTCGTCCATGTGCCGAGTTAGATCCCTGAACTGCGTGATCCTAATTGTTCAGCTAATGTTTGCTTATGGTATGTAATTCCACATTCTTCACAAATCTTTATAATTGATACTACTGGGTATCTAACTAACTGATTGAAGCATATTATATCCTCAATATAGCTCTATTAAAGCAAGCCAGCTCAAAGATACAAAAATCAATGTGTAATTACTCATTGATATTTGAGCAATTAGAATCCTCCTCCAGCAGGCTTCATGACAATTACCCAAATGCGAGTAGGTAGTTACCAGTTTCACCACCAGGTGGCTGATTCGGGTCAATTAACATGGCAGGTATATAAGAAAGTTCCCTTAAACTTGAATATTATCAATTTAAGTGGCTCGATTTTCATATAACCCTTATGTGTCTGATACTTATACTAATGAAAATATGTCCAGTAAAGCAAAATATTATCTGTCCACTAAAAGCAAAGATATTTCATTTTTTGTGATTTTATAGCATGGGGTCTATGGGGAATCTCCCCGAGCTAGAAGTCACATTTTCAAAGAAAATTGTTTTTTCAAAGTTGATAAACACTTTTTAAAACCACATTTCTAGATGTAATTTTACATGTAGATTTCAAATATGATATTACTTTGACTGAATTTTGAATTTTTAATGACGTAAATCAAGATTATTTCTACTCGCATCTGGGTTATTAGAAAGGCAATAATGCAAGAATGGGAATATTGCTCAGCAGAGTTTCTCAATTAATACTAAGTGTTGGAAGAATAAAGACTTTTACTTTATTTTTTTTTTGATGTTATGCTAGACCATTCCATGTTATATCTTAAATGATCAAAATTACAAAATGACTGAGGTCTTGATATATAAAGTCAAAAATTATATATTTCTCTAATTATAGAATTTGATAAATAGACTCTGAATAAACATTGTAATCAAAATAACAATACCCTCAACATACAAAAGTTTGATTCTGATTTTGATTCTTTCAAAATAGCTTTATCTACACTTTTGAGTTAAACATAACTCTTTGTTCTAACAATAACCAATCAGAATACTTGAAATACATCGGACACCAATCATTGTCAAATAGCATTCACCGATTTTCATGTTTATATAGATACAAGATGGGATTCATTTCATATACTAATGACACTTTAATTAAAAGCCATGACAGTTATTTTTGGACATTTAGATCTTATCACATTTATCAAAACTGTACATTTATTTCTCATGATATTCAGACCCTAATCTATACTAGGATAAAGAAAAAATATTAAAAGACTGAAATTGTTTCTGGTCAATTCCTACTTCATACAATGAAACAGGTGCATTGTACACACCTTCAATTATTCATTGTACACACTCCAAATAATTTATCACTCTGCAAATACAATAACTCCAGATTGAGATGGCGAGTGTGTGAGTAACATGTTTCTATGGTTTTGTTCCATTTTTTCTTCTGAACTACTTATCGTGCCTCTTTAACTTTCTGTAAAATTCTGTCGTTCTGTTTCGGAGATAATACTGTCTCTTAATCCCCTACTGCCTAACATGGAAATCAAAATTTGGAAATAACCACCCCTCTTAATTCACCATGAAATGCATAATTAATACCTGATTACAATTCATTAGGAAAGCTTTCTGTGAAGCTCCATGATTGCAACTTTTTAATTTTGTCCTTTTTTCAATTATTAATGTAAAATAAATAAAGCAGTCATTGATTTTTAATATTTTGTATCCTTGTTTTTTATTGCAATTAAAAAAGTTTATCCAAAAAGAGATTCTTTATTTCAATCTACAATTAATCATTATCTGGGCCATAAGTAGGTCACATAAACCTAATTATCCGATCATTAATGTGTATTTATTAAATAGGTCAGTCACTTCATCTATATTTAAGTGATTAAATTAAATTAATTGATTAAATTATATCCAAATAATCTCCTTGGTTCATTTCCACAAACTCAAATTCTCTGTCTTCTATTGAAAATAGTAAAATCAGCTTCTAAGTTAAAATATTTTGCAAAGTTTGATTGACAGTTCTATTTTTAGGACTCCATATTTGGAACATGATATTGAAAGCCTGTATAATTCCAAGGTCAAGCTGAACTGGTAACTTCATAAGACAATTTAAAATCTGAATTCTGACTAAAAATCATCAATTCCAAGCCTTCATTTCTCAATTAAAACTTATTTCTAGCAAAAATCACTTTTCAAACCATTGTTGGTCATCAAATATCAGTTGATTTGAGAACTTTTAAATGCAAACTGTGTTCAGCAAAAAGACGTTTTAGCAGCTGTTTCATTCAACAGTTTTGTCAAAGAATTCTGAATCAAAGTATGAATGACAAGAATCTGTATTGTACAGGGTGACCCAAAAAAATGCAACCCTCCATTTTTTCTTTATTTTTCTTAAATGGTAAATTGCTCTGAGATTTGGCACACAAGGACTTCAATCAATATGGGATCCTCTGGCAAAGTTTTAATAATCATAGACTCATATTGATAGAGTTATGGTTGTTTCAAAATATGCTCCAGATGTCGTCAATTTCGCTGAAAACAAACTTGCAATGTTCAAGGAAAACTGTTCATAACACGGATGCATTCTTCCCTATGGGAATGGCTCAAATTTTGCAGCCATTGCTTCTTGGAGTTCTGCAATTGCGGTAGGGTTATTTTCATACACATTATCCTTTAAACAACCCCATATATAGAAGTCAGGGGCATTGAGATCAAGACTGTGGGATGACCATGGGTTCTCTGTCCTAGGAGAGATAATCTTCTCATAGAAATGACTAGTGAGCCAGGCTATGCTATCATTAGAAGTGTGAGGAGTAGCTCCATCATTCTAGAACTACTGTTCTTGTCTATTGAAGCCTCTATGTCACTCTAGAATTGCCTAGAACTTCCTGGGAACACCAATATTGCGCTGTGTGTTAACAGTAACAGTGTTGCCATTATCAACCTCAAACCAAAAGGGGCTGATGATTTCAAGTTTGGAAATTGGCAGCCAAAGCTGTGCATTTAACAGAATGAAGGGGCCTTTGAAGCACTTCATCTGGAATTTGTGATCCCAGAACACATTATTTCTTGAGTTTACATGTTCAGAAAGAAGGAAATGTGATTCATCCGAAAACCTAACATTGGAAATGGACGACATTTGGAGCATATTTTGGAACGACCATAACTCTATCAATATAAGACTATGATTATCGAAACTTTGCCAGAGGATCCCATATTGAAAGAAGTCTTTGCGTTCCAAATTTCAGAGCAATTAACCTCCATTTAAGAAAAATATTGAAGAAATGGAGGGTTGTATTTTTTTGGGGTGACACAAAAATGCCTCCAACATAATGTTGCATAACTTGTTTACATGATATCTGAATTTTTCTTTAGCACACTAAAACTGGGCTCCATGGAGCAACTCCACAAGAAGTTCCAGATGACTGGCTCAACTAGATGCATTTTTATGAATGTTACAAGATGTGCTCTAAATGTCATCCATTCCTTTGCAGGCACACCTGGAATGATTCTCAACAAAAACACATATTTTTGTAATATGACTTTGTAAATACTAATGATTTTTGCTTGTACCTTCAGGGAAAGATAGTCCATTCAATTAAACACACAATGATAGTTTCTCCACACTAATATCATAAGTTATGTTGTTCTATTCAAATACCACCAGTGCCATCTATTTATATATCTGTGTAATATTCCCCCTGCCCCTAGCTGGTAGAAACTTTAAGATATCAATTCTTAGTTGACATATATCATATCCTTGTAAATATTTTCTGAAACTGTCTAAAGGTAAGTAAAAAGTCTAATCAAGGGTTAGTATATAATTTTGTGAGTGGATGTACAGCCAGTGCCGTAAAACCTATACATCCAAACACCTGGCTAATTGGAACACCTCCCAATCTAAATACTTTTTTCTCATCATTGAATGTTGAAGAAACATTGAAGTGTGAATACCTGAACCAATTTCAACCAGTCTTTTGTGCGCACTTTTCATAGATTACCACATGTTTTACACAAAATCGTACAACACAAGACTCAAACCTAAACCAGTTGCACCAACAAGCAGGCTTCACAAGTAGTTAAGAACTAAACCAAGTTGAAATGACCATTTCTTGCGCAACACGCATTATGCCATGTATGCCCCTCTATACGAAAGCCATAAAAATTCCAAAACCCAACCTTTGCAAAACCCAAGTGAATGAAAACAAGAATGAATGAAAACACAAGTCGCTAGCTAGAGGGGCCTCTGTAAGATTGCTCGCAATCTTCAAACTCTAGCTACATATTGTGACTCCCTTTAACAGAAACTGTTACTTTTGGGGTTAAGGTCTCATAAGAATCAAATTTATTCTTCCTATTCAAAGCCCAACATACGAGGGTTGATCACAAAGTTCTCATAATATCTCTCTAATTTCTTTATTTTTCAATATATTCTAATGAAATTTTCACAGAATGTGCAGCATAGAATGTCTTATCAATTCAGCAAAAAATATTTAGTTTAACAGAAATATTAAATAAGAAATGGTTGCCATGGTAACGGCAAATCAAGGCACCTGGGGCAAATAAAAGTAATTGAGAGAATGGCTCAAATTAACCATGTTAACACACATAATAAACTCTCATAAATTACCAAACACGTTAAAATGTTAACTTGAATATGTTGTAAAGTGCTTTTACTATTAAAAAAATTGATCATGTGAATTGTGTGATGTCGTAGGGGATGCTTCCATGCTTCATTAGATGTGATACCAGAGTCTGAGTCTCAAAGCTAATGATCAGAAATGACTGAGGAAGAGAATGCAATAGATACAGAGATCTTCAGAAAAATATAATTCATACTGATAAAAGTTATGTTAAGTTTGTAAGATCCTTTGGTCAGACTAAACATGATTTAAAACAAATATATTGCTAAGATATCAACAAAATTACACCCTGTGTGTGGTCTGTACATGTCAAAAATGAACTAAAGGGGCAAAATCAATTTTCCTCAGGATATTTGACAAAACAGTCATGTGGTCTAACAGTCACTACTAATGAAGCATAACAATCATCCAATATGGGATCACACAATTCACATGACCACTATAATAGTTCACAACAGTCAAGAGCACATATTATTTGACAATTTAGTGTGTGATAGCTTATTTGACAACTTTTTATGTATTTAAACATGATTAATGAGGGCTATTTTAGCTGTGTTTTTTATTTGCCCCGGGTGCCTTGATTTCAAGTTACTATGGCAACCATTTCTTATTTAATGTTTCTGTTATTCTAAATATTTTTTGCTGGATTAATAAAACATTCGGTGCTGCACATTCTGTGAAAATTCCATCGGAAAATATTGAAAAATGAAGAAATTAGAGAGATATTATGAGAACTTTATGATCAACCCTCGTATACTGTACTAGGCCTCGACACCAAGGGTAAGAAAATTGTTTTAACTTACAGTGCTTGTCATGGCCAGGTCACTATTATTAGCATCATAGTATGTCTTGGTTTGTTTGATGGTTGTCTTTGTGGAAAACTCTACTTTTGGTGAGATGCCCTGCAAGAATAGAGTAATTACAATTAAGACATTTTCAAACTCTACTTTTGGTGAGATGCCCTGCAAGAATAGAGTAATTACAATTAAGACATTTTCAAACTCTACTTTTGGTGAGATGCCCTGCAAGAATAGAGTAATTACAATTAAGACATTTTCAAACTCTACTTTTGGTGAGATGCCCTGCAAGAATAGAGTAATAATTACAATTAAGACATTTTCAAACTCTACTTTAGGTGAGATGGCCTGTAAGAATAGAGTAATTACAATTAAGACATTTTCAAACTCTACTTTTGGTGAGATGCCCTGCAAGAATAGAGTAATAATTACAATTAAGACATTTTCAAACTCTACTTTAGGTGAGATGCCCTGTAAGAATAGAGTAATTACAATTAAGACATTTTCATTCTGTATATTATAAAGAAAAAAGATTGATGGTATAATAAATGTATATCCTTGCAATGTTTTTGCTTACTTAGTTGATATTACTGTTTGAAAATTACAACGAGGCATCAATGAGGCAAAATGTCACCACCTCAAAAGTGTGACAACCGTTACTGAGAGGCCATAACAAAAACGGAAAGTATGGAATGCTATTTTTTCTTCAATAGGTAATATTTTGTAATCAGAATGTCTACTCAAAATTTATTCAGACACTGATCGCTGATTGCCAAATATCAACTGCGGAACACCAACTGCCAAACACAGCCCACAAAAAGTTGAAGACTATAACAATACATGTACATGTATGTCACCACTAGTCTTGTGGTGATGACATAATAAGAACATGTGAAGCTTCACTTCTATTATGGACTATTTCACTTCATCTAAATCAGTGAACTGTAAGACTCACAGGAAAGTCTATAGTCCTCTCCATGAGAAGTTCTCTATCAGTTGTGCCATATACAGGACCATAGGTGGGGTATGGGTACAGGAACTCCCTGGCATTCTCCTCATATGTGGCTAGCACACGGCCCACTCCATACTCTGACACTTGTATCAGCTCCATCATAACATGTTCATCTACAAAACAAATCACAATAGGCAATATTAGATAAACACAATATAAGTCAAACTCCTGTTATATAACAAAAATATACATTTGCAGAATGGCATTTATTTTTTTAATTTAGAGCCCAGAAAATGCATGTATTGATAGTGCAAAGAAACTGTGATATATGTTATCCCTGACTGTATGCATTGTAATTATAGACCTCAGCTTTACTCATCAAGTATTCTTACCTTCTAAAAGCTCAGATACAAAGGCAGGATCTAATGCAGTGTAATACACCTGAAAAGTGAAAATAAACTTCATGAATAATAATTTTGTTGAGTAATTCAATAAATCCTCCTACAAAAAGGGATTTTTTGATAGAAAGTAAACTAATTTCATGGTCGGACTATGTGTTTGAGGATAGATGATTTTCATGGATTGTAAATTGCAAGTTTTTAAAGGTACTGTAATTATTATGTGATTGAATCTTTTATTATTGTAATGTGACTTCAACCTTTAAATATGAGTGTGTCCTTTCACTAAATTGATCCAACTAAACAAGAACTTTCACTGTTTTAGAATTGACAATGGGCATATGTGCACATATTTCAGGCCCGTAGCCAGGATTTGCCAAGGGGGGGTTCAGTTTTCAAAAATTTCCAGGGGGGGTCACATTTGACAATTTTGGCACAAATATGGCTAAAATCACTTGAGAAGTGCTCAAAATGATGAAAACTGCATGATTTGAAGGAATTTTTGGCCAGGGGGGGGGGAGTTCGCACGAACCCTGCAAACCCCCCCTGGCTACGGGCCTGTATTTTATACTCTACCTTTTCAAATCTCATTTTCTCATGTATGAGCAATGGAAATACAGGGGTAACTAATTGAGATCTCCTATGTTGTCCAAGAAGACACACACTGATATAGACGTCATCTCTCCGTTGTAGCCACACCCCTGGGGCTGTAACCTGCAAAAATAAACAATTGATGAGTCAATCAATTTGTCTCTGGATATATCTATTGCTAGTTGTGGGAGAGGGAGTTGGTATAAATTAAGAGTCACTGTGTTTCTTATATGCACTCATGTTAAGGCAGGACAAATTATAACCAATAATGCTGGTTGTCCTTATCGTGCATTGTCCACTTTCCCTCTGGGTCATGAGCCTCAGTTGACATTTGACAAGCAAAAGGGGCAACAAGGACTGTAGAGAGAAAAAACATTTTTCTTTCCTAGCTTTCAAGTCAATATTTGGCTTAAAACCTTCTTTGACAAACCTATTTTCTTTAAATGTATGTATAAACTATCAATTTCAGCATCAAGAAGTGTTAATTCAGTTCAAAGCTTCTATAAAGGGAGTCACACTTATAGATTTTTAAGATTCACCACATTTCAACAGGAATATCAGCTGAAATAATGTTCATTCAGGGGGTTTCTTTGTAGATAATGAAAATATATGTTAGTCTTGATGAAATATCCAAACTTAAATATATTTTGACACTGGTCGATGCGTACCCAGCTTACCGGGTGCTACGCCTATATGCATAGGAAACAATCATCAACATCCTGTCAATCACTCACTTGTAGGCAATAAACCAAGCAACTAATGTCACCTTACGTTAAATGACAGATAAACTGCAATTAATGTATGTGTGTGCATATTCGTCCACATTTGTTTAATTTCTAGCAGAAATCGCCTCCTCCCCATGCTTTTATTTTGTTTGATTGACGACCATGATATTGGGTTATATCGAAATAATAAATATGGATGTTTTTTGGCCCACCCTGTTTATTAGGGTAAAATGTGCAACTATGAATGTTGTTAACTCTACTAGGAACGTAAGGTACCCAGTCACTCAGCTACCCGGTTACCTGGTCACCTATTTTTTTATACAAACCCGTACATGTATTTCGACTCAAGGAGCCTTATTTCACACCATGACCATTATTCAACTAAGGCAATAACACTGTCCATGTTTGAAAGAACCCAATGTGTTCAAAAGGTAAGACCCCTTAAGGGGTGTATACACTGGCAGGCGAAATGCTTGAAGGGGGGGGGGGCAAAAAGGCTGAATTGCTTGAAATGGTTGATATGAAAGATAATGTGAAAACAGCTTATACGAATTGATTGAAATGCTTGAAAAATCAGAAACAGGCGAAACAGGCTAAAGCAGCGACACAGTAATTTTATTTTTCAAGACATACTGATTGAAATGACTGAAACGGTTGAAAAGTCCCGGCGAAATGCTTGAAACAAAAAATATGCATATTCGTTTTTCTTTCAATCATTTCGCCCGTTTCTTCATGAATTGGCTGTATGATTGAAATGGTTGAAACTGCAAAACAGGCGCAAACAGCGAAACTTTAAATTCATTTCAGAGGCGAAATGATTGAAATGCTCGAAATGACGCAAGCATTGAAACGTAGGAAATGATGCAGGAATTGAAATGATTGAACTGATTGAAACAATTGAAACGATTGAAAACTTATTTTTTATAGTGTATACAGGGCTTTAGGGACAGTGGTACCCCCTATCCCCCCCCCCATCTATAATATAGTGTTGCAAATGTTGCGTGCATGAAGAAAAAATCAAACTCTGCAAGCATTGCACTTGCAAATTTATTTTTTTCAGAAACATCTCATTTGTACACCGAGATTGACAAACATTTAACTGCTTTTTGACCTAAATAATGAACTTACAGCATGGACGTTAACTTCAACCGTACAACGAAGTCCTTTCTTCGGCATTTTGATCACAAGTTTGTGGAGTAAAGATCAACTTTTCAGAACATTTTGTTTTGGTCGTGATGGTAAACGACGCTTCTGGTGAGAGGTCACATTTTAAGCCAATCAAAATACAGCAAGGTGCTCTCTCTCTATCTAAATCTACAAATTAATAATTACATCTATTAATCCTTAATTTCACTGTACAAGCTGATTTAATCTGATAAATGTTGATTAATAATTTGATATGTGAAAAATTACAATGGTTTCCACATGAAAATGTTCTATTTATTTTGGATTTCTTGTCATGACCCAATTATTGTTTTGTAACCCGGAAGTGAACGTCGGCCTCTTCGTCACCACGTTCAAAATGAAACTTTTGATTTTGATTGTCGCTGTTTTTGCTGGCGTTATTGCCGATGACGACCATGGTAGTAATGCAGTTGTGTTCACAAGGGAAACCTTTAGTGATGCTGTAACAAGTACACCTCACTTTGTCATGTTCTACGCACCATGGTAAGCATAAAAAGGTTTCAAAAAGGGTAAACATTAAAAAATCGAAGATTTGTAAAGTCATTCGATATTGGGCCGATATTCCATCATCAGGTTACACTATACAATCATATACTGATCATAACATCCACGCGTTGTTTAAGTGGAGTTTTTTTCATGAGAGTAATATTTTGAAGCAAAAACACTTTTCCTACTCCTTGTTAACTGTTAAAAATAATAAGAACATAACTTCGACATATGAGTGTTACCTGATGAATGGGACCCTCACGTGCCTTCTAAATGGTAGTAAACGAACGCTAGTGTAACTACATCAGCTTATCTTTCCGTCCGATCAACAATAAGTACAGTTATACAAGAAATGTAAACGAAGTGAAAATATTTCCAAAACTTTTCCGAAAGGCATGTCATTCCGGAAGTTATGATACGTTATGGTGTCACTACGGTAAATCATTGAAAAATATTGAAAAAAATCACAAAATTCAAGTTCTGGTGTGAGGTTCCATATCCATCCGCCAAAAGGTATGACCCGATATAGTCCATTTAAAAATTTTAATTTTGTTCTAAATAACACCATAGTTGGCTTCTACAATAAATGGACGCTGATATCTCAAAAAGAATTAGCCCATACAATGACTATATTTTTGCAATCCCCTATACATAACCTTCATCTTGACACTATATTTAACATAGGGTTTGTGTCTCGATTTTTAAATATCGCTACGCCAACATAGGGACTCATTTTTAGGTAAAATCCCTGCTTCCCCGATGAATAAAGTAGTTCCTGTTTGCGGGACCATATTCTTGAGATTTTTTGCTAAAAATGGCACATTTAGAAAGTACTTGGCCTCAGCTTTACATAAATACCTCAAATGGCCACAGTACATACACTTAAACCTACTATACACACCATTGAAGTTGGCATTGCTTCGTTTTTAAAGTATTAATAAAAAACACTTCCTACCCGGAAGTGATTTTTACCGTAATAACACCTTATATTACCGAACATGGGTTTAAATGGAATGTTTTTTCGATGGCATTATTACACCAAAAGTAGTGCGAAAATGGCCTTTTCACGGGTTGGCATAAAGTTTTGATGAAATTTAAAGACACAGTTCCTCCTTCACGTATATTATCTCATGGAAATGGGCATACCAGCGCAAAGATCTTTGTTCCGTGGTGAAGAAAAGCTATCAAACATTGTCTGAAGAGCAGATTTATCTCCGTAATTCAACTTTTAGCATGGCGACCTTGACCTTGAAAAGAATATAGCCATTTGGGCGATAATAGGTGATTCAAAAGTAAAAAATAGTGCTTTTTTGAAGTTTTACTTTTACCATGTCAACTTGATTTTTCAAGGACATCCGCCTGATAGTTGTTGGGCCAAGTTTGATGGAAAATGGGCCTTGTTTGATATGCTGGCAGTGAGGTTGATTGTGGCAAGTAGTAAAACGGCAAACAATGGTGGAGTCATACCCGATGCTTGGATGTTCGCATTTTATTTAGCTCTCGTAAAATGAACGAACAAAAGTTCCATTTTCACTCTTGTTCGATAATATAACGTATCATAACTTCCGGAATGACATGCCTTTCGGAAAAGTTTTGGAAATATTTTCACTTCGTTTACATTTCTTGTATAACTGTACTTATTGTTGATCGGACGGAAAGATAAGCTGATGTAGTTACACTAGCGTTCGTTTACTACCATTTAGAAGGCACGTGAGGGTCCCATTCATCAGGTAACACTCATATGTCGAAGTTATGTTCTTATTATTTTTAACAGTTAACCAGGAGTACACAAAAACTTTACAGAATAAAATCAATTGTGCACTAGGAAATGGGGCGGTGTTAGTCTACCGTTACTTACTCACTTCGAGAGCCATGTTAGATTTTGAAACTTATGGCTCTCAAACGGAGAAGTGAACAGCTCATCAATAGTGACCTTTGAAATCGAATTAAGTCGATCCGTGGCTTACTTTTGGTCTCTAACTGTGTCTTACATAAGTATCATCAATCCGTGTAAGTATTGGAGCGCTGGAGTACTTCTTTTTCGATCAAGACTTTACTAACCAATCCATCCTTATAACGTAACATATTTTCTATTGTTTAGTGAATTTTGGTCACGAACCGTTCAGAAACAACAGTTAAAACGAATATTGTCCACGTCAGTTTTGATTGTTCGGCAGGGAAACCAATGGGGTTAGTACACAACTAAGCCCCGGGTATTAAATAAAGCCCTTGATTAAAGCAGATATATAATTTAACAGTGATAGAATTTGAATAGAATAGAAAACATTAACATTTAAAAGTAGATCTATGGTTTACAACTCATTAAAAATTGTAAGGCAACTTCCTGGTTGGCAATGTACCCCCTGGGAATTCCCTTTATGTTGGGATACCCTGGGACGACTCTTAGGCTACCGCCTTGACATCGCCCCTCTTTACCAGTAGTGCAGGCTGTTGCTGTACACTGGGGACCATTTACATTAAAACATTACTGTTCCATATGAGGTCATTTTGACCTTGACTTATTATATTTTTAATGTTAATTTATAATGTTCTTTAATCACATTGTAATATACTCTATGTCGCACAGGGCTTTCACAACCTCCCCCTTATACAAATTTGCTGGCTGTGGCAGCCAGCTGTCAATGTGCTTTGACAGCACATTGAAATGTACCATGCAAATAATACTAGTGTAACGACCCTTGATACCAAGTTGCTACTACAGTCCAGCTGTAGTGGCTTAAGCCTTTATAGCTCAGTCGGTAGAGCATCAGTCTTTGGATTCAAGGGTCCTAGGTTCGATTCCTAGGTTCGATTCTTTCAATTTCTTTATCTGGCTTGTTACACTATGCTCGTTAGTTAGTCATTCCCCTGGGGCGCCCTCGGGTCTTTATATTGGTGTCAGAAGTGGGATCAGAGCATTGGTTGTATCCTTTGCGCCCGTGTGTATATGGTAGTCACTGCTAGGGAAGCAGGGCTGACCACGAGGGCGTGGTCCTTTCAAAGGGGAGATAGTGTAACGACCCTTTATACCAAGTTGCTACTACAGTCCAGCTGTAGTGGCTTAAGCCTTTATAGCTCAGTCGGTAGAGCATCAGTCTTTGGATTCAAGGGTCCTAGGTTCGATTCCCACACAGGGCATTAAATTTAGCACACTTTCTTTCAATTTCTTTATCTGGCTTGTAACACTATGCTCGTTAGTTAGTCATTCCCCTGGGGCGCCCTTGGGTCTTTATACTAGTATGCAAATGAGGCTGTAAAGCAGTGTCACAGCATCCTCTCCCAATCCTATGACAGCCTGTGGCTGTGAGAACATTGTTCCTGAAATTGACCCAGCCATCATTTCAAGCCTATATGCAGTCACAGCACTGTCATGGCAATTATTTTCCGTAAAGGCCATATGTCACTGAATATAAAAATGAGAGCAAATAAGTAAAAAAGTCTTGATCAAAATCTATAATATTTTTTCTGTGCATAAAATAAATGAATTGAAATAAAACAATTGCACTTTGGAAAAGACATTGACAAACATACTTTTAGATTATTAAAACTCTTTCCTTTTATAATATTGAGGGATGTTTGAGAAAAAATCGGAGGGGCAAATCAAGAGCTGAAAAATTAAGACCAAATTTGGATTCATACAGAAATACAGGAAATATCAGGATTTGTAAGCATGCTTAGAAAATCTGAGAATACAAATTTATTTGTCCTAGAAAACTTAAATTTACATTATTTTCTTCATACAGTACTCAATATTTTGAAGTTTTATGAAACAGTTAAGGGTAAATGAGGCAATATCGGAATTGGCAAGGAATAACATTTGAATGAGAACATTGTAAGAAATGGTACGGTTTTCTGATGAAATTTACAGTATTTCCCTCTAACTGGAGCTGAAAACAGCAGTTCTTATTTTACAATACAGTGTTCACACTTATCAAAACAAATATCCTTCAAATGGTCAGAGTCAAGATATGTGGAAATCCATTCATCCGAGTCCCTTGCTAGGAGCTCTCTAAATTTGAAATCACCCTCTTTAAATAAAATACCACACAGAATAAGAGATAAGAACCATCTTTATGAAAAGCCATCAAACCGAGTTGTGAAATTGAAAGATTCCAAGTCATGGAATCATGAAAAATCATATCTTCAGTTCCTACCAAATGTAAACTTTAGAATGTTATATGTTTATGTCTACATAAGTGATTCAATTCAATTTCTAACTTGTAGGTGTGGTCACTGTAAGAGATTGGCACCAACATGGGATGAACTTGCTAAGAAGTTCAATGAGGAAGCCAGCATTATTATAGGCAAGGTACAGTACATACAATAATATTTACAATTATAAAGCTTATATTTTACCTTACCAGAAGGATTTTACTCCACTTATACTTAAATTAGAATAGGTTGAGTATTTGACAGATATAAATATTGGAACAATTTCTCAGTTTATGTAGAAATTTTGTGTATACAGAGATAGGATTGCCATGGTGAGGGAAAAGTCTATTTGTTATCATTGATAATGATAGTATAGATTAAATGCCATCTTAAATCTTGATGTCAGCTCCCAACTGTGGTCTCTAAATAAAATAAGTAAAAATGCAATGTATTGATCATTAGCATTAATACATGTACTGTGCTATTATCTGCTTTACATATCAGGAACAGATTGAGTATGTAGTACAATCTAATATGCTTCATATATCATTATCCCAACGAACGAAGTTCTGTAGGGATATAGTGAAGCCCTCCGTCCGTCAGTCTGTCAGTCTGTCAGTCTGTCAGTCTGTCAGTCTGTCAGTCAGTCCATCCGTCTGTCCGGAAGATAACTCGAATACTAGTGGACAGATTTTCTTCATATTTGGTGGAACAATGTATACTGGTCAATAGTTTTACGCAAGATGGCCGCCAGTTTAAAAGTGGCGGGAATTTTTCGCAAAAATCTTATGTTTTTCATTTTAAACTAAAATAATAAATATTATTAATTGAAATTTAAAAAAAAGTAAGAGTGGTAAACCGAAAAGCAGGAAAAATTTGCTCGTAAAAGATAGTAAAAATCAGTGAAATAAAGAACATTATAAGAAATATATTGAGATACAATGATTCCTAAGATAGTGGAGCATCTGATCAGTGAACTACAAGAAGAAGGGTGCATCCTCGGAGGATATAAGATAAACGCAACAAACAATGGAACATCTATCACATTGCAATATGTAGTACACCATCTTGGTGACCCAAGTTCAGGAACTAGAAGCAAATCACCAAGTAGGCTAATGAGAGACACAAACAGGATTAGTGCTTTCAATGCCAGTAAAAAAATAGTGAGTAGTGTTCCAAACCATGAACAAATAGGATTACATGAACAGTCAACACCTGTGAAACCTGGTCAAAATACATATAGTGATGATGTGTTTATCAATACTGATAACAGTCAAATTGTAAACAATAACACTGATACAGAGAATTCACCAAATACAGAAGACAGTGGATTTACTTCATTATTACAGACTCCCCAGGACAGAATCAACAAAGTAAACACAAGTACACAAACGGATAATAAAGTGAAGAGACACCAGTCTTGCGCAACAGAACTTAAGATGAAACATGTCGCAACTAAAACAGACAATATGGACAGAAAACATAGAGGCTGCAATGTAAATATTAAGAAACAGATGGACAACAAATCAACTGAGTGCAAAATTGATAAAGATACCAAAGAAACAAACACAGATTCTGATACGACATGCGATGTTGCAGCGCTAACAAACTTCAGTATGGCAACATGTGAAGGGAAGTATATGCGCTTCATTGATAAGATCGGAGAGGATTATATGTAATGTTGTGATGTCCATGACTACATAATGATGAATATGAACAGAATAATACGGAAATAGGAACGTGAACATATATAACAAATTGTGCCAAGTACTATTGATTGATTTAAATGTTAATTGGACAAAATAGGTACATATTCGCAATAAATGATCCAGATGATGGGATGCAAATGATTCTTGTCAAAAATGGTTGAGTTAAGACTGTGAAAATTTTGAGAACTCTATCTATCTGGAATTCCAGTAGTTTTTGAGGAATAACATTATTTCACTTTCTAAGCTTAAAGTTTTAAGACTACTATCAAGAAAATCTCTATACATTTGATAATTCCTATGTAGAATATGTTATGTTAATATGTTATCTAGAAAGGAGAAATAAATATCTATATATAAAAAAAAAAAAAAAATTAATTGAAATTTTGGTAGTATATTAACAACATCTATCTATTTCACACATATCCCGGGTTTTTCACCCTGACCCCCAGGGACCGTAAATGGGGGATCGGGAAAACAGGAATTTGCATTAATTTTGAGATGTTTTTGAAGTATAGCTTTATTATACTCAAATGAAATGCAATTTAGAGGAGATTGTAAATATTGTAACGTTTTTTTGATTCGGGCCTCAAAAAATTCAAAATGGCCGCCCAATGCGGGATTTCACAATTATTTTCTTATCTCCTCAAAGTATGGCTATATTATACTCAAATTGAAGGTATTTCAGAGTAGATCACAATTATGGCATTGTTTTTCTGATTTGCGCCTCTGAAAATTCAAAATGGCTGACTAGAGCAGAAATTTGCAATTACTTAGAGTTATCTTGAAAGTATGGTTACATGATAGTACAATGATTTAAAATATTTATTGAAGGTAAGAGTAGATGGTAAATATTACATTGTGGCTGTACAGATTGATGATTTACTTAAGTATATAGTGTTCGTTGGGATTTGCTACTCCGTGGAGTTGCCATTTTCTAGTTTTATGTGCATTATATTTCAATTATTCAAGAGAATATTGATTTTTCCATATTTTTTATTTCGATTAATTAGAAAACCATTACAAATTTGCATTTACACAAAAGATTGTCAATCAATAATGAGGTGTTTAATTCAACATATGATTAATGCATAAAAGTTAGAACAATGTTTCTGTTTTTTTAAATAATTTATTTAAAGGCAGAATCAGATCTATAGGGGATGACAAAGTTACAAGCAACATGTACAATTGACCTACCAATCTATTCCTTACAATCTCAAATACAAAATCTCCAAAAATATCTTTGATACATTATAAATTGGTGAAGTTATGATGGATTAAAAGTGCAAAAATGGGTTAAAAATGTTTAAATTCTCCCAAATAATAAGAATGGTAACCATTCTTATAGAAAAATAATACATTGTTGTAAAAATCTTTAGTTTTCCTGAAATATGAAAGTGTGTACTTTGGGGATTTTTAGAAAATAGACATGAAAAGGAATGACAGAAACCAGAAATAATCTAAAATTGAAAGAATTTTTTTTTTGTTTGTTTGGCTGCTCGCTATATCCGATTCTCTCTTTAACCTAGGGTGCACAGTTTTACACTATTATACCCCCTTTTTTGAGACGAGGAATTTGCTTTGTGATTTGATTTTTTCTGATGATATTTTGTGTATCAGACAACTACTGTTAAAGTGAATACTTTTTTTAAATTAATGAATCTAAACATTGTTACATTGAGCAAGATGTTACTTTTGTCTTTCTGTATTTATGAATAAAAATTTATGTTAATATATTTAAAGCCTTAAGAAAATTTTATGTAGCAAACTGAGGACCAATTTAGATAATCTACCTTGTGTATGACAATATGAGAAATCAGTGTAAGATTAGAAATGGTGTAAGATGAAAAATGGTGTGAGATGAGAAATGGTGTAAGATGAAAACTGGTGTGAGATACAGTATGAGCTGAGAAATAGTGTGGAGATAAGAAATGGTATGAGACAAGAGGTGATATGTAATAAAAAAAATGGTGCAGGGACAGTGTGGATAGTTAGTATGAGATGAAAAATGGTGTGGAAATGGTGTGGGTGAGAAAGGTATAAAAATATGGTGTAGAAATGATCAATGGTGTGTGATTAGAAATGGTGTAGAATAAGAAATGGTGTGAGTTAAGAAATGGTATAAGAAATAGTTTGAGATGAGAAATGGTGTAAAATAAGAAATGGTGTGAGTTAAGAAATGGTGTGGAATTATAAATGGTGTTAGTTGAGAAATGGTGTGGAATAAGCATGAATAGAGAGACATTCTGCTACATTCTAGTTGTTGTATTGTTACATTTGACTGTATTGTTATATTTAACTGTATCTTCAGGTTGATTGTACTATTGAAACAGCGTTGTGCTCAGACCAGGGAGTTCAGGGATATCCCACGTAAGATAAAAACTTCTCATTTGAATTTGCGTTGTACCCCTACCCCTTCTGTCTCCTCCCTTCCTGATTACACTAGGGAAACTTTAACATATTATTTTGAAGAAATTATTGTCCTTTTGAATAATAATAGAAGCATTGTAAAATGCAATTATTATTTTTGTATGTTTCAACTGGTGAAAATCGCCTGTTGCCTGCTGTTAATGAGATCCCTGAGATTGATATTTTCACATTTGATGCAGAGGACTGTCAGTTAAAATATTGATTCAGGATTCAATATTGTTTTTACCTCATTAGTTTTTGTGGTGGATTGAAATATATCTATATTTGATTTGATCTCCTTGATTTTAATACATGTGTAAATCAATCTAATTCAAAAATAAACAATGTAAACATGATGAAACTGCAAAAAGGTCAAAGTAATGTACAGGGTGGTCAAAAAAATGAGAACTCTTCATTTTCCTCATATCTTTGTCATTTTAGGGAATTACTCTCGGATATTTCACACATTTGCACATCATTCACGTTCCTACCACACTATTATATTTCATGACCATCAGACTGATAGTCACAATTTTACAGTGCTTTGAACAACATGCTTCAAGTTTGGGCATTATCCCGCTGTAGTCAAACCTGCAAAGTTGTCAATGACCCGAATGCATTCCTCGGCAGGTATGGCCTAAATGACACAAATGATCTCATTTTTTAGGTCTGCAATTGTCCTTAGGTCATTCTCGATCTCATACACTACTCTTTGCCTATCCCCACTGGTAGGGACCTTTTGGACTACATGTGCAGGTTTGCCGAAAGCACAATAGTGGCCACTGGGGCATGTTATTTAAAATGTTGTTACATTGTGACTCTCAATCTGATGGTCATGAAATAAAGTAGGCTGGTAGAAAATTGAATGATTTACAAATGTGTAAAATATCAAGGAGTTATATCTTTAAAAATGACAAATAACATGAGAAAAATGGCGTAAGGGTTTCCATTTTTTACCACCCTGTATTATTGTGATTTACATCTTTGATGTACCAATTACATTGTGGGTACCACATATGCAAAAGCTGTAGGACCAGGCTCCTTTAGAATTCACACATATCTCCTATACAAATTAAAATGTTTTCAAAATGTGGATGATATAAATGTCGATTATGTACTATAAAGAATAAGGTCTCATATAAAAAGTTTGTTTTTCAGACTGAAGTTCTTCAACAAAGCAACTGAAGGAGTGAAGTACAAGGGACAAAGACAGATTCCTGAGTTTGAAAAGTTTATGAAAGAGTCATTAAAAGCCTCTGCTGAGAAAAAGGTATAACCACTTGAATGATTTATCTCGTTATACCACTTGTAGTATTTAGGATTATCCAAATTTCTATTCTTGGAACAAAAATATTTTGAGGTAGAGCAATGCCATTTTATATCTAAAATTTCAAAGCTCAAACTCGGTGTCCATTTTTGTATAAAACACTTAATTTCAAAGCACTACACAATTTTTCTGGTGTTATTTTGAATATAACTTTATATGGTTGCACATGTAGTACTATTTTGATCCTTTCTCCTTCAGGAGGCTGAGGTCCCCGTTGCTACAGATGAGGCACCTCCAGCAGTACCTGAAGCTAAACATGGTCTCTATGAGCTCACAACTGACACATTCAAGTCCCATATAGAAACTGGCTATCACTTTGTCAAGTTCTATGCCCCCTGGTGTGGACACTGCAAGACCCTTGCTCCTGTGTGGGACCAGCTTGCTGAGACATTCGAACATGTAGAAGATGTCACAATAGCAAAGGTTTGTGGATAGAGATATTTATACAATATCAATGTTTTGAGAGTTGAAATCATTGAATACTATTGATAAACTGTATCTCAAACAAAATTAACTATCACATAATACTGTAAAACACGTATTATTCCCGTGCATTTAATTTTCGCGATATTCGCGAGGGGCATTCCACTCGCGAAAATAATATGTAAGTGAAAATTAAATGAATTACAGTTGAAAGAAGTTAACCTAAGATTGCCGGTTTACCGGAAGTGATCGTATAGATGAAGTTGGAGGTCAATTGTATCAAGGTGTAATGAAATTATACTCATAGTAGTTCTTAAGTGAAGCAAAGCAGAGTATAGCGAGTCATTTCATGTAGTAGATGTAATTAGATAGGCTGGAATCGGCATTACAACTGTATACATACATGTATGTCTACTCACGAAACTTCAGTCAGTCTGACTCTTTGGTTTATTATATCAGAGTCCAGACGATGGGCATTCGTTCAATCTCCCGATAAGTAATTATAATTTGGTGGTCTCCAAACCATACTTAAGTTACGTTTATCAAAAATAGTCCATAATGAATGAAATAATGTTCTAGTTAAGAATTGTTTTGGCATTTACCAAAGAGGGTTTCTGCGCAGGTTTTCTGCGCATGTCAAGGGAGGTCAAGGTCGTGAACTTTCTTGTTTATTTTTTAAAGTTTTCCTTATTCTCACGACTCTTACACTATGTTTACGCGAAAATGATGATCTATCATTAGATTAAAAACATAATTTTAAATCGATATCCAATAGTCTTTAGTGGAAATAATGAATATCAAATCGGGGGCTCTCTCTGGGAAAAAAATCCTTCAATTCGGCGGGGGATCTTCTGGGAATTTTTGCATATCGCGAATATAATATGTAGCAATTTGACCCGGGGGTGGCACTCTCGCGAATAATGCATGTAGTAGATATTAAGTGTTTTACAGTATTCTATTTTATTGATGTTTTCCATCATAACCTCAATGCATTATATTGTAGAAATCAACCTTACCCAGAAATATCTTTCATGTATTTAAAACAATTAATCTGATGCAGGGGTACAAACAAGATCTCGGGGTACTGGGTTTGTTTAGCAGTATTATGACTAAGACGAAGGCAATGTATATAACTGAGCTCAGCGGTATGATTACCACAACACAGAGCCTAAAATGCTCACTGTGACATCTGTACTGTGACATCTGTACCCTTGTAATACAAATGTTCAGTCAATTTGTTTATCAATGTTTGTACATACACACACCATACACTTGTTTTCAGGTTGACTGTACCCAGCATGGCAGTGTATGTCAAGGTCAAGGGGTAAGAGGCTACCCAACTCTCATCTTCTTCCAAAATGGGCAAATGGTAAGTCATTTCCTCTTAAACTACTTTTTATGTCACCACAAAAAGTGGTGACATATTGTTATGGTCTCCTTTTTTGTGGCGGCGATTGGTGTTCTGGGTTCACATTCAGTGTTTGTAACAAATGGCAGGTAGTGACATTTTGCATGCTAATACTGTTTCTATTATCTAGGCTAATGCAAATGTTCAGTCACCTGATTTCATATGTCATAACTTATTTTGCATTATATATCTGTCATATTAATGAGATGTATATTATTCAAATGAGAGGCATAAGTAATAGCCATATTAACAATGCAAACAAGAATGGTATACTCCACTTGTCATTAAATAAATATCATGCATGTAAAGGGCAAATCAATTAAACCTCCTTTAAGAATTAAAACTGACGATAAAACTATACTAGTATGTGTAAAACATTGCCATGCTTCATTGAAAGATGGCATAGTTGTCACTCCTTGTAATGCATTTATCAAAATATTTCTACATGTATGTAGGTTTTCAGCTTCTTACCTCATCTGTTCCTCACCTCAACTGTTTGTCATATCTCATCTGTTTTTCACCTCAATTGTTTCTCACATTATCTGTTTCTCAGCATCTGATTCTCACCTCATCTGATTCTCACATTATCTTTACTTCATCTCATTTCATCTAATTCTCACCTCATCTGATCCTCACCTCATCTTAACTGATTTACACCTCATCACTTCACCTGAATTTTACCTCTTGTGGTTGTGTTTCTCAGCATCTGATTCTCACCTCATCTGATCCTGACCTCATCTAATTCTCACATTGTCTTTACTTCATCTCATTTCATCTGATTCTCACCTCATCTTAACTGATTTACACCTCATCACTTCACCTGAATTCTACCTCTTGTGGTTACAGAAGGAGAAGTTTGGAGGTCCAAGAAACCATGAAGAGTTGAAGAGGTTTGTCTCCAAGATGAAGGAAGCTGGAGAACAACAGGAACAGGCCACAGAGGGAAAAATACCTGAACCAGTAGAAAGGAATGATGAACCTCAGGTATGGAAGATATAAGGTTTTTAGAAGACCTCTTTACTAGTATTGAAAACAAACATCATAATTCTAAAAAATTTGAAATATAAATACAATGATAGTCCTGCGGAATCGATGGAACTGGTTGCCTTCTAGGATGTATGCTATGTCTTTGTATTTTCTTCATCTATATGTTATTGACTTTCAAAATCAGAACTGTGTCGGTTTGGCACTGGTGGGCAAAATTTTTTACAGCCTTGTATAGGTGGCGCCCCCTATGAAATACCCTTCTAATTAAGGATTTTTTTTTCAATGATCTTGAGCAGAGTCTTTAACTCAAGCTACCTAGTATAACATGTTATATATCCTTAATAGCATGTCTATTTTTTTTCCTTACCTAAAATCTCATATTTACAGAGTACTGGTCATTTATCCCCCCTGATATCACATATATTCCAAGGGGTCACTATGTTTTGAAGGCATAAAATTTGAACAAAGCGTAATCCCGATCTCACATTATTCATAGATATGACTTGATACATGTTTGGGATGGTGTTAAAATAAAAAGCTTCTGTCTTAAATATTTTAAGAGTAAAAAATTATTTGTTATTACAGTAAATCCTAATATTAAACGATGCAATTCGTACAAAGGTTACATTCAAAAGTCTATTTTGACTAAATTATCCTTAACACCATCATGAATTTAAAAACATTTTATTATATGAAGTAACTATTTTAATTTTAACACATGAAAACAGAAATCAAGGATTGAGCACTAATTGTTTAGTATATAACCCATGGTCATGCCACCATGTTTGAAGGGGGGGGGGTTATGTTACCGGACATTCTGCTATTGAGTTGATGTTAACATGGAATACTTATTAACTTCATACAGGCAAGGCTAGATAGTTACTGGATGATGAAAGGGTTTGAAATACTGTTCATAAAAATTTGTATCTATCATTAATAAATTAATTTACCATCCTTTGTCAAAGATATTGTAGCTCATTGAGTGTCAGCTTTTATTCCGTTAACAAGGGTATCATTTTTGGTCTCTTTATCCATACTTCTTGGACAGCTTGCAGAACAATTCCTTCATCAAGATCATCATCATTTGTTTCATTGGTGACTGTGACTATTAGTCTATGTTTATGCAACACTCTTCACCTTTGCAAAGGCAAAATGTACTGCAGGACGAAGTAGTCTTACAGCACAGACAACAATCTATACAACAAATGATATCATTGCTTGTAGATGAGCATGTTTCCTCAAAGGCCTTGGCCTTGTTTGAAGGTGGCAATGATTGTAGTTCTGGCAGCATTTCTCTTGGTCCACACAGCAAATCTAACATCAGATGACTGGATTAATACCATAACATGCCAGTGATCTCCCCAGGATTTTTTCATAGCAGGGGGGATTTTTTAACAAGTTTCGCCGCTCGCTTCGCTCGCATGATTTTTGTGCCAATTTTTGCCGCTCGCTTCGCTCGCTATATAAACACCAATTCTCATTTAGAAAACCTTTTATTTAACAATACATGATAATATGCTTGTAGTGTCATGAGTAGGCCTAGATCTATTCATTGTTCATTGTGTTTCCTTAAAGTCTTCTGTCCCTACATCTTCTGGGGTGCATGTCAAACCACCTTCCCCATGCTGCCTCAAAATCGAACACCTCTTCCCTTGGTCCATTTATGATAATGTTGAGGACCCTGTCCACTGTTTCTACTTTCATTATATTCTTTAGATAAGTCTTTTTAATTTTACCTTTTTTTTGAGTTTCCCGCATAAAGAACCGGAAGTCGAACTTCTTTATCATGACAACCATCAAAAGCAAGATTTGAACATTAATTCGTTCGCAATTATAATATAACTATTAATAAAAAATAATACTTCATTGTCAAATTGTAGTTTCAGTCGTTTTTATGTTTGTTTTATTCCAAATTGGCGATTTTGATGATCGGTGATCATATCACTCCGCGTTGCAGTATAGGGGTAATCTGCGCCAGGTTCAACTGTTAACTTTTTCTAATTTTCTGAACGCACGCATCAAATGAACGATTTTGATAGGTTAGAATGTTTTGGGCGCATGCGCATACGTAGTCAAATCAAGTGATCGAACCGAACCTGGGGCAGATTATGTCGATGACACACGATTAGTAATAGATAATTTGATTGGATATTTCGTAACTAATCATGAGTTTTGAGCCAATCAGAAGACATTTAAGATTCGGCCTTCGGAATGGCAAATCGGGAAAAACTTTTTGAATTTTATGTGATTTCGTCGAATATCCAGGAGAATAAAATAATGTACGTAAGTTTTGAAGTAGCGGGGCGCTCAGCAGGGCGGGCGAAGCAAGCAGGGGGGGAACAGGGCGGGGAAAACGAGTGAGCAGGGGGGAGCGCCATGCAATTAGATTCTGGGGAGAACCCAGCATGCTGCTGTGAATTTAGTAGCCTGTGTCTTTACAGATATTGGTATATGGTCTTCTCCAATCCAACTTAAAGGAGCATTTCAAGTCTGGTGTTAACTGCTTTAGTCTTGCCTATGGGATAAAGACTAGATGTTTTGTCACAGTCTTTCAGGCTGCGGGCAGCAAGAAGTTGTGAGGTGACATTTTTGTTGGAAGTTGACACAGACTCCATCATAACATAAGCAATTCTATGGTGTTTTTCATAGTAGTGAAGCAATAGGATTAAGACACTAGTGTCGTCATATACTTCATTGATATTTTTTCTTCCAGTTTTTGTGTTCATAACATATTTGTTTGTTGGTGTTTTCAGGTTACCAGATTCATCAAACATAGAGGTGTGGATGGGTGCCATTGGCCTAGCTCAAATGACTTGATAGTTTTCATATCAACATTGGCTTTGGAAGGGGGAGGGCGCTGGGAATGACCGCCTCCTCCCTTTCCCAGATTTATTTTAGGCTAGAATTTGAAAGCTCTTGAGAGCTAATTAAAGTCAAATGATACTATGCCATTATTTAGTGTATATCAAGCATAGAAGATCTCATTTATCATTACTATATTTACATATGTTATTCTGTACCATTGTTTCTTAAGAACCTATACAGTATGTAAATACTTTGGAGAATAAGAGCAAAATGTATATTTTAGTAAAATTCAAAGAATTTTAGTCAAAGTCAAGCTAGTTTTCTTTAAACACAATTTTCTCTTGTGTTTATTATTGGGAATATTGTGCTGAGATGTTCATAATGCATCAGAGAGGATCTAAATCTGAACATTTTCTGAGGGCATGCCCCCCCCAATCCACGCTTCACGCACGATCCATCCATGTCCAAAAGTCAACCCCCTCCCTTGCGAAATCCTTCTGACACCCCTGTATCAAGTTGCCAGTTTATTACCAGGCTCAAACTCTAGAGTACGAGGCCCGATCAGAAAGCAAGTAACCAACTGCTCTTTTTTCTTCATACTTTATTCAATTTCATTGAAATTTTCACAGATAATGTAGAAAATATTAACCTATTAAACAAGACCAAGGACAATGGGTTAGCATCAGTTCCGTTGTTATTGCTGTTGCTATGGTGACAATTGTTTTGGGTAGGTGGGGCACCCTGTTTTAAGTCGCGTTTGAAGGCAATTTATTGAGTTTTTCTACATGATGTCATACCTCCAAATATATCAAATTTACATGTAAGACTACATTTTAACTCATAGTCCTTCAAATTAATCCGACCAAAGTCAATGCAGTTGAGGCAATGTTTCACTGTTTCACTCTGTCCTTAAACATGTCATCATTCAAAGACTGCAAACTTATTGACTTGTTGAGATTATTGAGTTCTTCTGAGAAATTGAGGATTTCAGCAAGGGTGCATCGACTTAACATGGGGACATACCTGATGCTATCCCCACTATAAGTCAATGGTCAATGGCGTTTTCCCCATGTTCAGTCAATGCACCCTTGCTAAAATCCTTATTTTCTCAGAAGAACAGTTGATTGAGTCTAAACAAGTAGATTCATGTGGGATAGTATTGCTATAATCCATTTTCAAAGGTAAGAATAGGGGTTCTTAAACAGGACATTTGACTTGCTTTGCAGAACATTTTGTTGGTACTAATAAGTGGTCTCTATCATCATATCTAACCAGATTCCATTCCAAATAGGATGACGGGTGATATGCTGTCCTTGGAGAAACAACATTCATCAACAACATTCTGTGGAAGTCTCTCCATGTCTCGGAGACTATCAGTTATCACACGTTTCAGCATGTGATACAGGAAATATTCCACGAAAGGTAATACTGTATCATCCACGAAAGCGAAGCTTGAGTGGTGATACATTGTTACCCGAGTGGAATATTTCCTGTATCACATAAGCTGAAACGTGTGATGACGATTTTATCACATGTCTAGGAATTTTGAAGCATTTTGATTTGGTCAGTTATGATTGTGTTCAGTACTTCTGGTAACTACTATAATTTTTGATTTCGCTTTGAAACAATATGACGTCATACCGTTGTATTCGTACTTGTTTGTGAAATATTATGACGTCATATTGTTTTCCTTATCTAGAAGTGATATAATCAGTGACGTCACATCGTTGCTATTGATCATCACTGGTTGCCTCTAGTAACGTGTGAGACGGCCGTGTGAGACGGGAAAACTCACACGGTAATCAACCAATCAGATTACTGGAATTTTACAGAGCATGTGATAAATAACAGTCCTTACTAGTTATATTGTCATGCAGCAAAGAAATATGGAAGCATAGATGGGTCAACAGCAGCCAAATGGAGCAGCCAGTTGCCTTCCCTTTACGCCCTAACAAGTTGCACCGTGATAAATACTGGCATTTGTAGTTTTTCTTTCTGACAATTTAGAGTTAAGAACATCTATGAGTTCCTGGTAGCTGTTTTCCTGATGAATTACTTGCCTCGAAAGTTCTTCAACAAGGAGTCTCAATGCTTGTCATGAACATTGTTAGGGTAATTCTTGCCTGTTAATCTTGGATACCCCAGCAAATTGGTTATCTCTACTTTTCAACTGTCTGACATTAGGATGCCGACACAACCAACAAAACTCATGAGCATGTACATGTCCCAGAGCCTGTTGATGAATGTACAGGGTGGTCAAAAAATGGAAACCCTATATTTTCCTTATATCTTTGTCATTCTCGGAAATTACTCCCTGACATTTCACACATTTGTACATCATTCAATTTCCTACCACTCTACCATATTTCATGACCATCAGACTGATAGTCACAATCTCACAGCACTTAGAATAACATGCCTCAGGTTTGGCCATCATCATGCTGTAGACAAAACAGCACAGTTATCAATGACCCGAATGCATTCCTCAGCAGGTATGGCCTGAATGACACGGATGGTCTCAGTTTTGAGGTTTGCAATTGTCCTGAGGTCATTCTCATATACTCTATCTCTGCCATATCCCCACAGGTAGGGACATTTTAGACTACGAGAACAGGTTTCCCGACAGCCCAAAAGTGGCCACTGGGGTATGTTCTTTAATAAGCTGTAAAAGTGTGACTATCAATCTGATGGTCATGAAATTCAGTAGGCTTGTAGCAAATTGAATGATGTACAAATACAAAATATCAGGGAGTTATTTTTTAAAATGACAAAGATATGAGGAAAATGGTGTAAGGGTTTCCATTTTTGACCACCCTGTATAAAAAAGGTTGTTGGGGTCCAGAAAATGACATCAGTGGCTACTTTGTACAACTGCTGGTGCATTCTAAAAATTGTGTAATCTTGCTTATATGTTTAGGTCAACTCCTTTGCCTGATGCATGATGGTTAACATTGTGCTTGGGTCCACTGGCTTAACATCAAGAAGTGGGCTGTAGGCAAGTTTTATTGCAGGTTTAATGATGGCGCCACTAGTCCTAGCTAACCTAGTATTGTAGCCCCCGAATGATGGTGTCCCTGGTACAGATGTAACACTTCCAATAAATGGTCTAAGATTTAACCCTTATACAACAGGGATGACCTACTTACACTGTCAACAATGAGTTTCTTTCACATTTTAAACGTGTCATCTACCCCCCCCCCTCTTCCCCCTATAAAAGGGTATACATTATAATTTTCTGAAATATTTTAATTTAAAGAACCTATGTATCTTACATAAATAGCTTAGTTTGATAGATAGACTCACAGAATCTGCTGATATTATATTTTTCAATGTTTCACAGTAATAACAGTGATATTTTTCATACATATTAATATTGCTGAATACAAGGAAGTCTATATTAATATATTTTTTTTCTCTTCAAATAAATAAAGTACAAGTCTCATATTTTCACACTATCTCTGACATGGGTTAATTTAAAGTCATGAATAATTTCAGATCACAACTTTGTTTAGTTTGCAAAATATGCTTATTAAACATAGTGACCCCTTAAAAATAGGTGGCGCTAGGGTAAAAAATCAAGCATATCTCATTAAATTTGTGATTCTATGTAATGAAACAAAGTTGACTTGTTGTTTAGACTAAATACAGTTTATCTGAATTGGTTAAAGTTTTCAACTCTACCAACAGCCCTTTAAAAAAATGTTTTTGTGAAATGGGCATTTTACAAGGGGCGCCACCTATACAATGCTGTAAAAAAATTTGCCCACCAGTGCCAGTCCGGCACAGTTCTGATTTTAAAGGTAATTAACTTATAGATAAAGAAAATACAAAGATATAGCATACATCCTAGAAGGCAACCAAAAGTTTCAATATGCCATTATTCCGCTGGACTATGATCTCAGGGCTTTGTGCATTTTATAGAAACATTATTATAGAGCTTTTTTTATTTCATCTTAGTATCAATTGCTTTTTCATTCTATTATGACTTGTAAAACAACAAAAAATGACATTAGACATGGCTATATGAAAATTGGGAGGATTTGTATGTCTATTAAACAAACAAAGTGTGCCAGGTCTTGTTCATACTATGACATTGAAAAATGCTCCCTTCTGTCTGAAATGCACTCTGGTCACTTTTTCACGATCTGTTGTGGCTTGAGAATGAGAAAGAGAAGGGGCGTGGCTTACCATGAAACTTTAAATGTGGTTTGATTTCAGCCTCAAGTGAAGGTGCTGACAAGTGACAACTTTGACGACTCTGTTTCATCTGGCTTGTCATTCGTCAAGTTTTATGCACCTTGGTAAGTATCGTTACTTTTGTTTTCTTGTAGGTTGCATCTAGTGTAGGGTTGAAAAAACTGCTATGCGACGTTTGTCAGGGAAGTGTCATGAAAAAAGAATATTCATGATTGACAAAGGAAATGTCAGGGGAAATGAGATTTGTCATGTAAATATCAGGGAAAGTGAGATTTGTCTGAAAAATGTTAGGAAAAAATTAGATTGGTCAGGGAAATGTCAGGGAAATTAGATTGGTCAGGGAAATGTCAGGGAAATGAGATTGGTCAGGGATATAACAGGCAAAAGTGAGATGGGTCATGGAAATGTTGAGAAAATATCATAAGTAATCTGTAAGAATCCTGTGTTTTGTTTGTTATCCACAATGATCCCATTTTTAAAGATAAACTAATGACAAGTTAAAAACATGGTAAATACATATTTTATGACCAAAAGTGTACCTATATTTTCTCCCAATTGATCTTGTGTGATTTGTGTTGGTAGGTGTGGTCACTGTAAGAGACTTGCTCCAACATGGGATGAGTTGTCCAAGAAGTTTAGCAATAACAACAATGTGAATGTTGCCAAAGTTGACTGCACAGAACACAAACAACTCTGCAAAAAATATGATGTAAGTAAATGTAAATGAATAATAGTACAATAACGTCATTTCTGCGGGCAATATAGTGAAGTATTGGACCTTGGGCCGATATTGACCGCCACTGTGACGTCACATATTGCTCAGGTCGATATAGTAAAATTAATGCCTTCTAAACTAGCACTAAAACCCCTAGAACTGGCCCAGCAAGGTGGTCATAATGTCCATTTGCCCTTCCACAAAGCAATAATTTTGGAGTGCGGCGATTGGTTGAATACAAATGCTGGACCAATTTTACCAAGTATTATGTATGTTGAATCAAATAACTGAACAGAATTTCTAGTTTGTTATTCTTACATGATCAAATTATTTAAAAGAATTGAGTGTTCTCGACCTAGAGAGTGTCATATAGGTTGGGTAGGATGGGAGTTCAGATGTGGTAACATGCCCTTATATTTGCTTAAAGAGGCACCCCTCTGGACTTTTTTGCATATTGAGTTTCACTACATATATACCCATCTACTTACCAAAGAAGAAATCCCAAATCCCCCTCTTTCAGTGTTAATTTTGCGATTGTGCTGATGATCTAATTATTTTCGAAGAAATTAATTCAATCTGAAGTTTGAATATACCGGGAAAGTTCTCCTTCATCTGATTGGTCGTTGAATTTGTTTATCATAAACCTGATTGGCTGCCTGGTTCAAAGCGCTTGTGGGTGCTTGTGTGACTCAATGGGGATTCCCCTCTCTAGCCGAGGAATCGATTGTGTTTAATTCTGGAGTTTGGTTGTTATGTTGATTATTTCCGATAATTCGGCAATAATATACCCAAAAGTTATTCTCTAGGTATATCCATGGTATGTGAGATATTATATGAGCAATAACAATAAGACATTGATTGTCTGGAGGAGAAACCTATGGCATAATGCATCTTTAATATGCACGTCATTACACTATTTACTTAGTTGACAGGATATAAGCAGCCATTTGCTCTTGTTCATGCTATTTATATGTTCAATAATACAGGTTATATTTCCTGTTTTTGTTTTCTGAGCATTCTCGCTAAGACAAACTAAATAGATAATAATGTCTCCTGTATTCAGTTTCAAGTTGTATACTAGGTATAGTATATAGAATATCAAATCATTTTGAAGGATATCATTTTTATTTACCAGTTAATATCTAATGTCAACCCGAGTGAAGGAAGCAATGAATGTTGATCTTTGGTCAACAAAGGGATAAAATGATATCCCAAGAATGGATCTGATATTGGGTTTTATACATGATAAATTAAAAGAATAATATGTTTAAAATAAAAACTCATTTATCATACAGCTTTGTGGCTGATAAATGATATCAGCCATATATACATGTACTGTATAAAACTGATAAAAGATATCAGCCACATATGGTGCTCCTATGGATCGCCATAATATCAGAAATATCACTGGGTGTTATTGTAGAGATAACTAGATTATTGTGGTTTAAATAGGCTTAGAATGCTAACGACTGGACTGTTATAATACTTCTGTTTATGAGTGGATATTTAGTTGTGAAATGTTAAATATTTAATTGTGACAATTACTAACTTATGGCTTAATCTTACTCAATAAACTTGATCTGAATCAATACTGCTATTAGTGGAGTCAGAATGTGGTTTTAGGCTTGCGTATAGGGCATTATATGGGACATAATTTTTAATGTACTATAGTAAAACCTGTCTAATCCGAACACCCATGGGACCAGCCAAAAGCGTTCAAATTGGCAGGTGTTCAAATTTCAAGGTTTTAGTTGGTCAGGCGGGGAGGGGGGGATTTTCATAGTTCAGTACACTATATTGAACACTTAATACTAAGTCAGAAAACAATACATGTTGTTGATGTGTTTATTCTACAGTAGCCTATATCCTATGTTTTATTTACATTTTGAACAATTTCATTATTTTAGTAAAAATATTTTGGCAAAAACTTTGTAATACACTGTAGAAGTATATGATAGTCTCGTCCGAAATCTTATGCTAATCAAATGACTTATCAGATATTATGGTTGAATTTTTTCTTTTTCTCGTCTGGAAATGCGTCTGTGTTGTCTTTGTGATTATAAAACATTTACTGATTGAATCTTAGCTATCATAACAGACCCATGGAATATGAAACAGTTAGGACCTGTTCATAATCCAAATCAAAAACATCCAGTTCATTTACAATAAGGATAAACCAATTATCTCCCAGATTCTCACCTTTCTCTTAATCCAAATCAAAAACATCCAGGTAATTTCTAATAATGATAAACCAATTATCTCTTTTGATTAACACCTTTCTCTTAATCAAAACATAAAACATTCAGTTCTTTTTTAATACGATAAACTAATTAACTCCTCTACCTTTCCAAAAAATCCTGTTGTTTTCACAAATTAGGGATGTCACTGAGACTAAATAAGTTAATTAGGACAATATTGGTGCTTTGATTACATTGTATATGTAAAGATAAATAACAACTATAACACTGACTCAATATGTGGCTATTGTTGAAATGTCCAGACATTTGATTTCTGATAAAAATGTTCAGATTAGATAGGTCACTTTTTCAAATCCGGTTGTTCACTGTTCAGATTAGGAGGTGTTTAGATTTTAAGGTTTATTTAACATGGGAGGGAAAAATGGGACCGAAAAAAGTGTTCAAATTGGAAGGTGTTTGGATTAGCCAGGTGTTCAGATATACAGGTTTTACTGTACTATGATTTTGCATATTTGTATGTATTATTAGATCTTAGTTTTTCAGCTTTTTAAACCCACATTCTGACTCCACTATATGTAGCCATGTCAATTTGAATTGTACATGTTGTACTCTGGAGTCAAATGTGTCCTGGGGCCCCACTGCCTTTATTGACTTATTATTGCTCATTTGAGGACAATTGTGAGCACTCACATTTGTATTTATCCCATTACTTTATTGAATGCATTTACTTTCAGTGTGAACTCCCAATGCCCAGAGCCTAGTATATGAATCTCTCTTTCAAACTTGGGAACAATTGTCAGTTGATTACATTTTGCATGTTAATGCCTTATATGAATTACATTGTATTTCAGAATTTCAAACTGTAATTTCAGGTGGGAGGCTACCCTACACTGCTTCTCTTCAAGGCTGGTGTGAAGATAGATGAATACCACGGGAGTAGAGACTTGGAGGCCCTCGATACATTTGTTAGGGACAATTTACCTCATGATGAGCTATAAAGATCAAGCCTTAGTGTTGAATACTCCAACTTCATGACATCACCACAATATCAATGCCCTCCAATGGTTACAAACATAAAGTGCCCTATTCAAAGGTGAAATGCCCTCATACTTACTTGGAGAGGGATGTTACATCCTTCTAAGCAGGTGTCCAGAATCCGTACCTCCTTCTTCCCCCCTGCTATACCCAAGTTGGAAGCGCCCGATTAAATTGAATCATGTGATCTAACGTGTACATGATTTCTGTCACAGTGTTGCGACAGCCAATCAGATTGCGAAAATGCTAACTGCTTATTGCAGGGGGTAAAAAGAAAGAAGATATTCTGGATTTTGAAGCCCTGTGATCGGAGGATGGGGATGATGCAATTGCTCATTTTGCTATTTTGTTGTTGTAAGGTTTTGTAAGGCACTTTTTGTGGAAAATTAAAGTTTATTTCATTTGGTGGAAGCTGTCATCATTTTGACACACTCCCTAAAGATGAATACACAGTATTGATATTTTGGTGATGTCATTACATATGTGCTCATAATGCACATGATATGTGAATAATGCACATGATGTGTGAATAATGCACATGATGTATAAACAATGCACTTCCACTTACGATGTGCATTATATGCAAATGGATGCACTCATGTGCAAATATGAGATAATCATAACAACTTTATAAAAATCCATAACACTCTTACAGTGTACTTAAGAATTCCATTTTGTAACAGTGTTGTGTAATATAAGGCTATTTTATAGTACAGAGGGTTAAAGTAGATTTATTTCTAAAGGTAAAGGCATTATAAGCTAGGTATCTATCACCAATCACATTATCACCTTCTTGACCATAGATCTCTAAAAATGTTTTAAAATATTATTCATTGCTGATTCTAAGTGAATGGTTGCTTTTTAGTGTTTCTCTTTCTTCTTCAGGAGATTGTTAGTGCACTCGTAATCAACATCATTTTTTTGAAAATCTGAAAATTTTTATTCCAACTTATTTGTTCAAAAGAAAAAAATGACACTAGTCTTAATCTGCAGTGCAGTCATAATGTTTACTTTATAAAAGAAGCACATAAAAATAGCTGACTACGTAATTTATCAAGTTTTTTTTAATTTTTTTATTAAAATCAATGTTACATATTTACAGATTGTAGTGGCTATGATCCCCAAGAAGGAGTATTAGGTGCCACATAATGGTATTTACAATGATTTCTGTTTAAATGGTGCTGCCATGCATTGATATATACATTGGCAAAAAAGCATTGGCACTACTTTCTGAACCGAATTACTCTTCATCCTTGTCCTACTTACACTATTAAGAGCCATTATACCTGACGTTGCTCTAGTCTATAGACATGAATGTTTAATCCACAAACTGAGATTAAATTGGAATACTTGATTGATTTTTTAATACAGTTAGTGCAGTCAGAATGTGGGTTTCGGCGTGCGTTCAGAGGGATTTTATGGGACATAATTTTTCATGTTACTACTATGATTATACATATTTGTATGGATTATTAGATCTTAGTTTTTCAGCTTTTAGATTTTGTGGCCATTTTACCCCCCATGGGCTAAAATTTGGACCCCTACTATATAATTGGGCAAGAACTCAAAAAATACTCAGTGGAATGTTTCCAAATTACTAAGTTGCATTGGTATAGGCTAATTGAATATATGATAAAAATTTCATGTCACATGGTTAACTGGTTGCCATGGAAATGGATAAAACATGCCCTTCAGGTGTCAATTTTCAGGCCAATTTTTCAGGACTGACAGAGTCATTTCATGCATATTTTGTCACCAATGTGTTAGGAAGGGTTAAAATGTCAATAGAAAACTTCTATAATATATAAGCAACAATTGTATGTAAAGATCAGTCCACAAAACCTCAGATTTTGGCCTTGTATTGGTCCATGACTTATACAGGGGTCTATTTCATAGACTCGAGCTCCCACATTGGATGGATGCTATAACTTTTGAAATAATGGAGATACAGGTCTCATTTTTTCAGATCTTCATAAATGGTTAGTGTTAAGTATTTTATTTTACTTTGGGAGCTGACATGTGATTGGTTGCCATGGTAACCAGGGTTTTAGGGAAATTCCGACCCCCACATTGGATGGATGCTATAACTTTTGAAATAAGGGAGATACAGGTCTCATTTCTTCAGATCTTCATAAATGGTTGGTTTTAAGTATTTTAATATACATTTGGAGCTTGTATATGATTGGTTGCCATGGTAACCAGGGTTTTAAGGAAATCCTGACCCCGACATTGGATGGATGTTATAACTTTTGAAATAAGGGAGATTCATGTCTCATTTTTTCAGATTTTTGACAATGATTGATTTAAAGTATTGATTTAGACTTTGGGAGCTGAAATTGGATTGGTTACCATGGAAATCAGGGTTTTGTTGAAATTCAGACCTCCACAACTGATGAACACTATAACTCTTAAATACAGCCAGATAAGATAATCTTTTCAGATGTAAGATAATAATAATATGTGTGTATTGTATTAGCCTTTGGAAGCTAGGATTTATTTGTCTGCCATGGTAACCATGTTTCATTGCCATGGTAACTGCTGTTTTCGTTTTCAGATTCACCTTTATTCTAGATAGGTCAATACATGACATAAAATACCAAATTGCTCAAAGTTACCATTTTATTCTTAAATTTTTTTTTTCTATTTTATATGATTTACATGCTCATGACTCAATAATACTAGAGATGCAAACATTGTTTGGCTCATAAAATATCAAATACTAGAAAAGTAAACAATACATGTATGTCTGACAATATTGCCTTATTCCATACGACTAGTTCTTACAAAAGTTCTGACTCCTAATTTGTTCATTTGAACTCATCATTACTGTTTTCATTTAGCACAATTTCCTCTTAACATCAATTTCTGTTGGAATGAAGGATTGTTTTGACCATTCTGGAGATAAGGATCCTCAGGGGATATAGTCCATTCATGCAGTATTGGACTTGGCAGAATGGGGTAAGACTGGTCCCTGTGGTTTCACTGTATATAAAATTGGCTGGGGTCCAAGGCTGAACCCTCAGATATCAATATGTTCCCATCCAATCTGTCAAATTTGAATGTGTTCTGATATCAACCAAAATAATGCCCAAAAGCCATACCAAATGCCCAAATATATGACCAGTGCCATACCAAATATCCAGATATGAAAACATGGCCATTCAAAATTTCTAATGCCTCGAGAAGAAGACATGTCATTGAGGAAAACAACCAAAAACAACCTCACATTAAGGATATACTAGATCAATGCCATACATGTGCAACAAGTGAGGGGCAACATATTTTTCACAACCATTCCCAAATCCGACCATTGCTATACTCTCAAGTCATAATTTGGAGAGCATTCTCATACCAGATCCTAAAATTTGGGTCCATTGCCATATCAAATGTCAAAAGTAACCCACCTGAGCTGAGGATCCCCTCAAGGTTTATATACAGTGAACTTCTGGGAAACGGGGGGTAATGTTTCCACTTCCAAATATAAGTTTTATCATCCATCCTCTTCAAATGTTACAATGAGCAATCATTACAAGATGGAAGAGTTCATCATTTAATTCATTGCATTATATTAGCTGCTATGAAAGCAGTCAAGGACCAATCTTGAAAGATGGGAAGAGTAGAAATGTCAACACCTCCATAAGTGAGGGCAGGACTGTTCTGTTTTGGAGAATATCTTATGTGAAACAGCTCATATTGTTATCTATTGATGTAAGTTACAAATATATTTTTGTTAATCTGCTGTACTTTTACTGGTGAACAAATCAACTTTGGATTTTATTGTGTCAGGAATTTCTATATTGATTCCTATTATGAAGAAAATAACCTTAAGAACCTCAACTGATATGAACTCTGTCCCATTAGATGTCAGAAGCTCAACCCAACCCCTGTAGCTGCAAACCTAGGACCAAGTCCTGTGTGAAGCTATATTAGCCTTCAATGCGTTTACTGGATCAGATTCCTCCAGTGCAGAAATACAACAAAACAGCAGAAATAGAAAAATAACTGCCACTAATAGATTACGAGATGAGCTGTTTCCCATGAGATACAGAAAAAACAGAACAGTGCTGCCCTCACTTATGAAGGTGTTGACATTTTCTTTCACATTTGAAGAGGGTAAATTATCCAACCTATGTATGGACACATTCCCACCAGCCTAAACCCAGCTCTACCATTATGCCCAACACTGCATGAATGAACTGTGAATTCCCTGACGAATCTTTAACACAAGAATGGTCAAAAGAATCCTTCTTTCCAATAGAAATTGTTGATATTTTTAATTAAGAGGCAATTGTGGAAGATGAAAACGATAATGATGAGTAAAAACAAGTTGGGAGTCTGAATATGTGTGAGAACTAGTAGAATGGAATGAGGCTATACTGTCAGACATACAGGATAAATTGCTGAAATAAAGAGCAAAATGATAATTTTGAGCATTTTGGTATAACATGTTGTGAATTGACCATTCTCAAATGAAGGTAAGACTGAAATAAAAAATTAGGGATACCATGACGACGAAACATGGTTACCATGGCAATCAAGTAAATGCTAAGCTACAAAGTCTAATTCAATACACAAATCTAATTAATTTTTAAGATCTGAAATGATGATATCTGTATCTGCTTGAATTCAAACATTAAAGCATTTATCAATTGAGGAGGTCCAAATTTCAATAAAACTCTAGTTACCATGGTAACCAATCAAATTTCAGCCCCCAAAGTCTAATTTAATATTTATAATCAATCATTGTCTAAGATCTGAAATAATGAGACATGTATCTCCCTTATTTCAAAAGTTATAGCATCCATCCAATGTGGGGGTCGGAATTTCCCTAAAACCCTGGTTACCATGGCAACCAATCACATGTCAGCTCCCAAAGTAAAATAGAATACTTAAAACTAACCATTTAAGAAGATCTGAAAAAATGAGACCTGTATCTCCATTATTTCAAAAGTTATAGCATCCATCCAATGTGGGAGCTCGAGTCTATGAAATAGACCCCTGTATAAGTCATGGACCAATACAAGGCCAAAATCTGAGGTTTTGTGGACTGATCTTTACATACAATTGTTGCTTATATATTATAGAAGTTTTCTAT